TCCACCACCGCCGTCTTCGACTCCAGCATTTGAGGATTTTATCGGATCCCATTCGACAATGTCGGTTCCGAGCACCAAAGCATTACCGGTGTTTCCCCGAGCCATGATTTGACTCGTAAGCTCAGACGGCGGCTGTCTCCACGCCGACGAATTGTTGTCGTTGCCCATCAATGGAGCAGGCCCCAGCGTTATCCCCCGTGCCATCGGGCCGTTCGCCCCTCTGTTATCCGGCCGCTCGAATCCCCGGGCTTTCTCTGGTCGCCGGCCGGAGATATACGCAATGTCCATCTTGGACATATTGGATTTGCAAACATGGAAGTGCAAAAAGCGGAAACAGAATGCAGCCAAGCCCGGACATGTGGGCGGCTCATCCGACATTCCAAGCGTCTGGGGCATGTAACCTGCCCCCTTACTCGATTTGGTCATGATCTGGGCTTGTTCCCTGGGAATTGCCCGATCCGACGACGTTGGGCTTTTTCTTGTTACATTGGTCGCGGCTGGTGTTCCAGTGGGCGTTTCCACTCGGTCGATTGCTGCTTTGGTCTGTTTCAGGAAATCATGAGGTCGACCAGTCGCACCATCACTCTTTCGTCGTTATTTTATCGGACCTGATGCTAAAAAGAGAGAATATAGACTGTACTTTTTGGGATGTGGAAGATACAAAAAGAAACACCGAAACGAGTGTGTTTCCTTACTGTCCATTCCTGCCTTTGAAACCCAAAGTGCAGAGAGAGAGAGAGATTTGGTGAAACATCAGCACTCAGGGGCACTTCTGATATCAACTGGGGAAGGTGTCCAGGGATAGTTAGGAAAGACCACAAGAAATCTCTGCAACTTTCCAAGCTCAAAAGAGGAACGGGCACTTCACATGCTTGCGTTCACACTCATTGTTAAATACACCGCCCATCAAAACCCCGTGGAGCCTCATTCATCACCACTGCTACCCTACATCTGTTTCTGTCCGTTTTTTGCAACAAGAACTTTCCGACTTTCCGACGTCAACATTCTTTGTAACTCCGCTTCACAACGAGTTACACAATCGAGGTCCAAGGACTCCTCGGTAGATGTCACGGTTGACCGTTGAGCGAGGTCATCTATTTGACGTGGACAAGTCGTTACGTTATTCCTTCCCATCGTTTGACGGCGCGCTTAAAGTCTTGGCCTCTAGACTCTCTTTCATACGCGTATCCATACTTTTATCTTCTCTGGTGCCGAGATCCTTTGAGCCAAGGTAGTACACCCTCCACTTACACTCCTCCTCATCACGCCGAACTGATTTCCAAATCGGGCTCGGAATCACACATCCTCTGCATTCATTCTCTTTCTAATGGCTGAACCCATGTGTATAAAAAATTGGCATGGGGGAACCAAACCACATGGCCCTGGCTAGGGTAAAATGCCACCTCGTTGAGAGTCCTCGACGATAGCCTCACTTTTGGTTCTCCTCCTTCTCCAAACCGAACGGACGCTATAACTCTACCAACCAACCCCACCAAATGCTTCACCACTGCGAGGTAAGCTTTCAGAGTCGGCTTCGCTACGTGAAATGCCATCCACCCTCTTGCACGCTCTCCACCAGGCCCAAGTTTCCGCCTGTCACTATTTACGCACGCAGCAAGGTTTTACCTCACATCTACTATAGACAGGCATATCATACACAACGGCCATTCGGAAGATTCTTCCGTCGGCAGTGTGGTACCGAGATGCCTTTCCCACCCAGGGGTTTACTCAGTCCCATCTCGTTTCAGTGGCCGAGGCCAGGTCTGTCATGGTTCGGGGGATGGGGAGTATCAACCACTTGACACATGCATGGCCCAAGCCCTTTGTCTCATGTTACTAAGTTTCAAACATCCATGTGTTATCGAACTCACACTTCTTTCTTTGCAATGGTACCGCTATGTTGTGGCTTGTCCTGATATTCACCAGGAATCTCGATACTTGCGGCTCCCAAAAGCCCAACTCCGACTCAAGCTCATGATAGCTAACGTTAACCTACAGGTCGTCTCATAGAGCACAAGAGAAGAAAGATCGACATCTCAAAGGTCTCGCCCAATACCCCCCCGGCCATTTTATTGTTACCTTACCTTTGGACTATCAGCTTGATGCCCATTCAACCTATCTCAAGCGTCGACCCTCTTTTGATCGACAAACTCAGGTCCTCCGTCCTCCAACTTTGCGGCTCTTTGCAGTGTCTCTCAGGTTCCTGCGACTGCATTTAGCCTCTTCATCCTCATGATACTGCGGTTAAACTGTATATCATACGATACCCAAGTCACGCGGACATTTTCTTAAAAGAAACAATCGATCGATCCTCCAATGATTTCTTCTTCATTTGGAATACTTTATTCTTCATTGGGCCCTATCGAAACTTGCGATGCAGTCGTACACTTGAAGAAACACATGGCTTACACCATCATCTGCGTTTCATCTTCCCCGCTGCCTTTCTCGAAGGCTGTAACTGAACGCCCCCCACAGAACTGCCAACTCTACACCATTCGATTTCAAGTGAAGCGAGATATTTGGCGAGGCCAACCGAAGCGGCCACTACCCATTATTCCTCGCATTGCTACCTCAGGAACTTCGCCGAGAGGCGCTTATTGGAACTTGAAAGTCGGAAAAGAGACCCGATAAGCGAATGGTCCGCCTCCGACAAATGTCGTACCGCTTCAGAGAGACCACTTTCGGCAATTTGTGCCGAGTGGCCGATCAAATACCGATAAAGGACACGCATTCTCACAAGACGAACCACGCATCAAGCATGTCCAACAACATGAATCTCTCTCTTGCGTTTGAGCTGTGCTCCATATCTAGTCTGGTATATCATGCACTCTCCGAGATAGCGTGCTATCTCGATAGCTCACCAACCTGTTTGTATATATTGTGTATCACGCAGTCTTGCTTCGCAGAGACTTGTTGTACCAGACTGTTGGATCTCGGAGGATTGCGAGACAATAGCGGCTTCTCTATCTGGGGAACCATACACTCCAAGACGCCAAGGACGACTTTACTCACCCATTTCACCTACTTCACCTCTCACTACTCTGTCTCATCAAGTGGTTCTGGACAAGTAGACTCCCAACCGAGCCCTCGGTTATCCCCAAAACAGCAAGCCGACCCTGACATAGCTGGGTGAAACCTGACACCTCGCTTGACCATGCCTGGTAGGTGACAATTTCCACTTCTCTACAATCGTTATGACTGTTCCTATCAATCGCTGCTCAATTTTACTTTCCACTTCTCATCTGGTCATCCACAAAGAACGGACTATCTGTGTCAACCATATCGTAACGCCCGAATGCGTGCGTCCATGGTTGGCTGGCTAGGTAGATACCTAGGTAGTTAACCAGCTCATCAGGGGGGTTTTCCGTTTAACAAACATGATATCATCAAGACGGCTTGCAAGAGGTAGGTCTCCGCCTAGGTAGACTACATCTCTGGTCTCTCGCGATGGCACCGTTCTGAACTCGGCTTCCCTCTCGTTCATTGGGGGTAACTGCACTCGTCAGCAGGGACATGACTGGAGCTTACTCCCACAGGGGACTTGAAGGAAATCGATACGAAGCGAGAAGGAAGGTGAGTAGCCGAGGATACAATCACTGCCGTCGATTTTGGCAAATTGTTCCCTTTCGATTGTTCCTGTTCATCTTGCCTGTTAGGTAGGTACCTTGCATTTGCGGGTTCTCTTCCAGGTAGGTAGACAGAGGTAGGTACCTACCTAGGTATATTGTGCAGACTCCGATAGTCTTCGTAACCGCTATATCCATTTTATACAAGGGCTGAGAAACACCATTCATTCCACTGCACATATATCTACCTACATACATGCTTTAAACAGCAACTTTATACTAATAGACAACTTGCTTAGGTAGGTATTTTGCTTATGTCTAAAACGTTAGAGTGACCTACCGTGAGACCACTCCGAGACTCTTTTCTCTTCTCTCCATTTGCATCGTAGCTCTGAGATTTGGGAATTCGGGAGCACATACCTACACATAAACAGCTGACTGCCTGGTCCGAGTAGCCCAAAAGTTTCAATGCTTCCTTCCGGCCGGTTCACAACTTCGAGTGTGATTGAGGCTAGAGGCAACCTAACCTCTCTATAAGACACATATACCAACTTACAACACAACACAACACAACACAACGCTACTTACGAATAAGGATAACCCACCCAACGAGAGATACAACTACTACCAGTTTGCCAGCCAGTCTACATGCCAGTCTACATGCCAGATCTACAAACAGCTCTCGCTTAAAGACTCAGAGACAAAGTTCGAAATAACCTTGGTAAGATCACTTTTGTGCCTCGACCGACAACTACCCGCTCAAACTATCTCCTGCATGCAATCTGCATTCATATTTGCCATGTACAGTTACACAGTCTTTGAATCGCAAAAGAAAACAAATATAAAAGAAAAAGAAAAAAAAAAAAAAAAAAAAAAAAAACAGAGGAGAGACAAAGGAGGAGGTGGGTAGACAGATGGAAAGGAAAGATGGAAAAAAAAAGTGCAAAAAAAAAAATTCGATCCACCCAGGGGTCGAACCTGGAACCTCCTGATTCGTAGTCAGACGCTCTGCCATTGAGCCAGCGGACCTTAATTGTATATCTATACCTTGAATATCAATATTTCAACCTATGTAATTAGGTCTGGCGCTGTCTGCTTTACATCAGTTGACTCAACACCATTCATTCCACATCACAAATGCCAAAAAACAAGACCATCTTCACCAAGCAACTGAATTCTACCGTGACGTCAACCGCTATAAAATTGAGTGGGGAATTCCCTTTCATGTTTTGGATCTCTTCTTACTCGCTCCTACATACCTAGTACTCTGCATCTCAAACATCGATCGCAATCCGATAACACTGCATCAACATCGCGTCGCATAGCATCGCATCGCATCGCATCGCAGCGCCCTCTCCGTCTCCACGACTCGACACTACTACCGTGTCAGGTACTACCACCTTCTTCATGATGATTCTGAGTCCATCAACCATACACATACAGTAATACCAAGTGTCGACCCAGTCACTCAGTCAGTCAGTTGTATTCACGGATTCCTCCACAACTCTAACTCCCACGTTGGAAAAACCTGACTTGTCGTCCTTTCATCCCATCCCACGTCCATCCATGAGCCGAATGAAAAGCTCATCAACACCCATCAAAGTTAAAGAGTAGAACAAAACCAAATAAAAAAAAAAAAAAGAATGCGAAAACGAGGGGAGATACGATAAAAAAAAATAAAAAAAAAAAAGACAATGAACTCCTGCACCGACGGAATAAAATCGACATGAGAGAAACAGAACGCAAGTCAAGCAAACAAGCCAGAAACGAGAATTTCCATCGTACAAAACCGGCACAGCGAGCCTGGGAGCTTTCCGACACCGCGAACCTAGCCCTGCTCCTTCCCTGACAAAGGGTAATACGGGCAGATTTCGTGTGTTGCCTGCCCGGCTATCACCCCAGAGCGTAGACCAACAACACATCAGCACAGCGCGACACCCCCCATTGCGGCTTTTCCCATCTTCTCCTTGACGGTGCAGACTCTGGGCAAGACTGTAACAACAGCCCGGCTCGGTGTTGGATCTTGTTTCGCCATGGCTTTCTCAAACAAAACGCAAGTAGTAGTATAACGGAGCAGAGATATTCGCTTTTGTGGACAGAATATGAGCAGAGATATATCGCCTAGTTCGTTATGCACAACTCCAGTTGGGAACCCTTTCGGGGTGCGGGTTCACGTCGTCGTCTCACAGCCCAGTTGGCTGACTGCCCCGGCTTCTCCCCATGTACCCCGCAAGAAAAAGAACCGTGTTGTGTGACGGTGCTCGACACGACTATGTATTGCAGAGTGTTCCCCGTATGTCTCTTTTTTGAGCGGCCGCGGCGATTTAGCGACTTTGTTATGCGTATTTGTGCGTCGTGCAACCGTCGCCCAAGACTTGGCAAATGCTTATTTGCTCGACAGCAGATGAACCCGCATCGGAATTCCGTCCGATCGGTATGCAATCTTGTGAGAAACCGTCGACCGGTGAGGAAAAGGAAAGAACTTCTGCACAGCTGAGCGGCACATGGCTTTGGCCAGCGTGCAGAAGCAGTGCGAGTATGGCTCAGACACTCTGGGGATTGAAGTGGGCGGGCTACGAAACTATCAGTACAAGCACCCAATGAGACCAAACAGTTGGGTAAACTTACAGGACTGTTGAGCATGTTGTTACGGCGGTGTCTACCCTTCTTGATGTGTGTCTTAAGAGCAGCGGAATCAAGTGGCTTGAGTAGTTCGAAGCTGCAGAGAAGCTCGGTAGAAACAGCCATGACAGCTCCCCAGTTATCAAACTCGCCGCAATACTGTTACCAAGTCAGTGAAATGTTACATATGGATCCGAAAGTGACACAACTTACGTTAGGAGCACTGAAAATAGTAACAAGAATGCGATCAGTGTAAAACTCATAGCCATCCTCAACAACCATGTGTGCACGGCAAACCAGATCAAAGTCATGAGTGGCGAGGAAGTCCGAGATAACCTTCTTCCCGAAACAGTAACTGACACCTCGTTCGTTCGCCTCCCAGTCCTGATCCATGTCGGCTGGATCAGACCAGAGGAGATCGTTGAGCAGTCCGTAGTCGGGAACGTCGGTGGGGCGCGCAATGTTGCGGATATCGTCCATGTGGCCAAGAGCGGGCGAAAGACCGCCGTGAACGCAGAAGATCTTACCAGCAACGATAGCAGCAATAGGGAGGCAGTTGAAGGTGTCGACAAAAGTCTTCCAGATCTTGACATTGCACCTGCGCTTGCACTCATCGTAGAAACCGTAAACCCGGGTAACGTTGGCGCATTCGTGGTTGCCGCGGAGCAAGAAAAAGTTTTCGGGGTACTTGAGCTTGTAGCACATCAGGAGCAGGATGGTCTCGAGCGACTGCTTTCCGCGATCGACGTAATCGCCGAGGAACAAGTAGTTGGAGTTTGGAGGGAAGCCGCACATTTCAAACATGCGAATGAGGTCAGTGTACTGGCCGTGAACATCGCCGACAATTTTGACGGGCGCATCCAGTTCCAGAAGGGCCGGCTGAGAAAGGAACAACTCCCGGGCGCGGTGGCAAATGGCCACAATCTCGGCATTCTTGAGGCAGACGCTCTTGGTGACCTTTCCAGCATAGGCGGCATCCAACAGTCGCTTAATAAAATCATCGAGATCGATATCCTTGATGTCGCTCATGGCAACACCGGAAACTGCTTGCTCATTCTGAGGATCCTGGTTGGGGGTATCGTAGACAGGGTTGATGGTGTTTTCGCGCTTCACGAGGATAGACTGGCCAGGCTGTTGGTTGGAGTTGGCTCCGCCACCTCCAGAGGGCGGTTGGTCGGAAATGTGGTCAACTTCTCCACTTTCCTGAGCGGCGCGGACATCGTGGTGGCCGCCTGTAGCATTGTGAACCGGCGACGGAGGAGGTAGGGGTTCACCGGTCGGAGACGCTAGCGTTGCGGTATCGAGCGAAGGTGACGAGGGAGAAGATGTCGAGGGGGAGGCGGGCGATGGCGACATGTCTCTGCGGCTTGGCCGCGTATGCACCGACGGCCTGCCATTCTTTCCACTCAGAGCGTTCATTTTCTCAGCGACTTCCTCGCTGGAGAGGATGGTTGAGTTCCGGGGGCTGTCCGTCTTGCTTCCGCCGGGGATTTTGGAGCGGAGTCCGCGAAAAGAGCGCGAGGAGTCCTTGGTGTCGGATTTGCTAAAGGAAGGGTAGGACTTGAGGTCGTCATCGCCTCGGTTCCTGGAAGATGCCCCCGCATCTTTGGAGGATGAGTTGCCCATGATTTCTCAGTGTCAGAACGTGGTGTTAGCTCTGGAAAGGAGAAAGAATAGGGGCTGGACGGTGTGCGCGTGTCAGGTTTGTGGTTCCGGCAGAGTCGCCTTTGAATGCCCACACAGCCTACCGCTGCACCCGTCTAGAATCGATGGAGTTGTTTTCGTGGGCGCCCCAGAGTACTAGGGAGGGTGATAGAGTCTATCGAGACAGGAAAGCAGATGGGCGGCGGCGGAAGAAGAACGTCCTGATGATTTCTCCGTTTTTGTTGACACTAGCGGGACTCGGAACGGACGTGGTAAGCGTTGAGACGTGATTTTGGCTGGCGAGCCACAACGAGTCGTCCCAGGTTGCGAACGGCCTCGGCGTTAGGCTATATTGCGGGGGTCGTCCGCAATGGGAATAGAATACGGAGGAGAGAGCGGAAGAGTCGGAAGGTCTGGAAGCGATGATAGGGTTAGACGGTCAGCGTTGCATATTAACAGGAAGGCGTTGATGTCATACAAGCAAAAGCGAGAGTGTTGCGTAGGTGGGCGGCGTGGACGCAGGTGAGGTTACGGAAACGAGGGCGCGGCGATGGAGGAAGAAAAATAAAATGATGGAGTGATGATTAGGAAGAAGAGGGGAAACAATGAATGCGGGGGTGGGATGGATGAAAGGGAAGGAAGGGAAAGGGGACTTTTTTTTTTTTTTTTTTCTTGTTTAGGTTAGGTTGGTTTGGGTTAAACGTACTTGCGAAGGACAGAAGTCAAGGCCCAGCAACAGACAGACCCGGAGACCTTGTCCAGTCTGAGAAACTGCCAAAGTCGGAAAGGATTGGCAGATGGAGGATCAGGATCGAATGGTGGACTGGACTGGAGGAGGTCGCGCTATCGTCGTTGATTAACCGTTGTTGTTGTTGTTGTTGTTGTTGGGAAAGAACTTGGCGAGGGGGAAGTCGGAATTGAAACCGAGTCTTGCTAGTAGGAAAGTGTGCAGCGCGACGGCGTTCGTGGGTGCGTTGCGTCGTGTGGTCGTTTCGTGTGGTTTGTGTGGGTGTTGTGTGAGTGTGTGTGTGTGGTCGGGGGTTGGAGTGCTGAATCGACCAAAGTGGGATCGAGTTGGCACACAGCCTGGCTCGACTCTGGCAGCGGATGCAGGCGAATGGCGAATTATAGTCGACGGTGTGCCTGGGGCCCTGGATTCGCTGGATCTGTCCGTCTGGGGGCGAACCTAGACTGCCCGCTGGAGGAGAAGTCTGCCCGAGGAGATGGATAACAACCTAGTAGTGGAAAAGAAAGCGGAAGGGAGACCAGCGACGATAGTGGTGTCTCGCAACGTGTTCCTTTTTTTAGTTCCAAATTTCCTAGACTAGAGTAGTAAAAGGTAAAGACGCGGCGGCGGCGGCGGCGGCGACGACGACGGCGACGATGATGATGAGATGATGACCGATTAAGGGTCTGACCCGGAACAGATAGGTAGGTACCTCTAGGTAGGTAGATTGGATGTAGGGTCAGAAACCTGCACGACAGACTCGGAAGGCTGATTGGATTGGATGTCCTTCTCTTTTTTTTTCTTTTTTCTTCCTCTGTCGGCGTCCAAATTCCCGACAATGTTAGAATGCGACGGAGGAAGTGCAGACGGGAAGAGCAGACAGATGTGGAAAGGGTGAGTGAGTGGAAGAGTGGGAAGACTCATGAAAAAGACTGTATGACGATAGCGGGTCGGCGGGTCGGCGGGTCGGCGGGTCAGCGGTCGGCGGAGAACGAGGATCAGCGGCAGATGCTGGCCAGCGCTAGACGTGTAATGTATTGTAATGCGGGCGTATATTACAGCACTACACACGCAGGGCATCAGGGACATAGAAGTAACCTCGAGGCGGGCTTGTTTAGAGATGTCTCATTCGGGACCGGATATACCTTGGGTCATAAGGTCGTTTGAAAAGAAAGAGCAACACTGAAACGGAAACAGATTTGGTTAGGTCTCGCCGAAAGGCACTCATGAATCGGGCAATCCGGCTTGCTATGGCATAACTTGTCCTTCCCAGAAAAGGTTCGTTACGTTACCTACCACTTCTCGGTATATACCCACTGCGTAATGATATCCCAAAGTGGAAATGGAAAGGAAAGGTTCATGAAAGGGTTCCCGGGTCAGTTGTCACGTTGTCCCCTCTGTCAGGTACGCCCGCAGCAGAGTTGCAGTCACAGCGGGTGTGCCCCGCTGGCAGGTACCTAGTAGCTAGCTGACAGGAACAATGACTGCCTGCCTGCCTGCGGTGCACAACAAAAGTCCGTCGGATGGCCTAGACCTCCTACCTCTCTCTGTCCACAAATGTTTTCAACCAGAGCTCAAATGTCCACAATAAATAATCTCGGGATAGCTGCCTACGTAGGTAGGGATCCAAGACGTGATAGGTAGAGCGCGTAGGTTGACATGCCCGACCTACCTACCTAGTAATGTAGAAGAGGCTCAAGACGGGAAGGACAAAGAGCACGTGCTTGGTTTTGCTTCAGTTCATTGCAGAGGTGAATGCGGAGTGCAGTGCACGGCAGCGAGCGACAATGCCTGCAGCCCCAGTGCCCTGTCGCAGCGCCCGGTGCCCGGTCACGGCTGGAAGTCAATGTGCGAGACTCACTGCCTTCCATTTTGGAGGAGCTAGGGAGCCCGGGGAGCCCAACGGTGGATGCTGCGTGGTTGGAAAGAAGTGGGGCGTTTCTTTTGGAATGTTAACAGCCTGAAATTGAAAAGTGTTCGTTTCACTCGTGTTCCGTCGTCGTTGTGAACGACGGATGTTTGAATGTTTCCAGTTCCAGGTTGGAGTTTCACAGTCCCGCGGGACACAGAATCGACAGATACGAGGGACGTTCTCCAGATCTGATACAAGGCGGGTGATTCGAACAAAGCCTTCCAGGTTCGAAAGCATAGGTAAAGCAAGACAAAACGCAACAAAAACAAACAACGAGTTCCCTTGAGGCTCTCTGTCTGTGCCAGTCGTGCACGGATACAGCTGAAACGAGGAGTCGTCGTCTTTTTCTTCTTCTTCGTTTCTCTCGTTATGATATCTCGTTGACGTGAACCCAATTATTACACATGTTTCTTTGTTTCCTTCTTTCGCATTTTCCCCAAAGCAGGTATGTTTTGTTTCTTAGATACCTCAGCTGCTCGCGTATTTTTTGATACTGTACCCAGGTTTTCATTTCGTTCATCTTTCAAGCGCTCATCTGAACTGGAAATTTAAATCACCAACAGACCTGATCTGGGACCTAGACGAACACTAGTAAGTAGTCCACCTAACCAAGGGCTGTCAGAATATCATTTCTTTTTTCTTGTTTTGTTCCACGTTGATACAACAGTCGAGTAGGTAGGTAGTGTAGGGGCCGGGCCGCCGGGGATACCGGGCCATGCTCGCCGGTTAGCACATTCGCGGTGCCTAACGGCGGGGCCCCCTGGTGATGGTTGGGCTCTGGTAATGGTCAAATCATCATCATCATCATCATCGTCGTCGTCGGAGTCGTCGTCGTCGCAAATGCAGAACATGTAAAAATATGCGGACTCTTGATTCATGCATGTGATATGGAATACCTGGTTTGGATAAAAGAGGGTTGCAATACTTAATTTGCCAATGTTGATGAGTGTGGACTGGCGAATGCTTCCATGAACTTGCCTAGACGGGGAATGTCAGGGGAGGCTAGTCCATTTTTTTTTGTTTTCCCATCAGGATTAATAAGTCTGGAATATCATATCCTGTACCCTCATAGTCCAGTGGTTGGGTTACAACATGCACATCGATGCTCACGAGATTCAGTTCTTTGGTGCATGTATCAATGGTTTTTTTTTCCGCGGGGAAACACGAGAAGGGGGAAAAGAATGGGGGGGGAATCCGGCATCAAGCATATGCACATGTCCAGGGAAAGGGAAGATGATCTGTAGTCGCTTCCATGGATGAACATGGGGGATCGACAACTTCACAGTTCTTCCATCCAACCTTCTTCAAGACAAGACGAAAGAACATTACATATTACATACCTACAACAACCGTGCTGGCTGCTGCCATCCCGTTCCTGATCGCGCGGGTGAGGCCGATTTGCTTGCCCGAGGTCAAGAAAAGGGTGGTCGCGTGATTTTCAGATTCCGTCCCGTCGTTCCCTCCCATCACATCCATCCTTCTGAACTTCCCTTGTTTCACTTGGGTCATTGTGCCTTTCTGTGAATGTGAATGTGATAGCGGAACGGGTGCCGCTGCCGCTGCCGCTGGCTGCCGCTACAGGCTAGCTGCGTACTACACAGAGCTCTGCGATGCAACTGTGGCATCTGATTTCAATCAAAACCTTGGGACCCAACGTTCCAGCCCATTTTTGTTTCTTTCGCTTCCATCCATCCACCATGTCATCGGTCGCTTCAACCAACTACACTACACCACCCAACGGTGGAGTTCTAGGTAGGGTCACAAATTCCAAAGTGGAAACAAACCAGAAAAGAAGAGGAACAGGAACAGGGGGAGAGAGGGATTACTAGGTTCCCGACTCTCGATCGAGAGAGAGAGAGAGAGAGAAGCGAAAGACACACACAAGACAGACAGACAAGACAGACAAGGACCGTCGCCGCGTCCACAATCACATCACACTGCCTGCCTGCCTGCTTGCGAGAGAGAGAGTTATCTGTCGACTTTGTTGGAATATTTCCTCCCTGGGTTGAAATAAAGTTCCTGGCAGTCCACATGACCGAGTGAGTGCATGACATGCACCTTGGCGGTGTAAAGCGACCAGGGCTCTCCGGCCATTCTACTTGGCTTCTCTAAATTGTTCGTGATGGTGGATGGTGGATGGGGATGGGGATGGGGATGGGGATGGGGATGGAGATAGGTAGGTTCGAAGGAAGCGAGGAAGGTGAAAAAGACGTGGTCACTCGGCATGTCAAGGTTTTCCACGCGTTTTCCTATTTGGGGCAAAGGTTGGGTGAGGTGAGGCCAGGGCAGGGCAGTGAGTAGGGCAGTGAGAGGGAAAAAAACGTGTTTACTTTGAGTGGACATGGGTGTGTGAGTGTCTGCGTGCGACGTACCATAGTGGGTATCCAATGTAGTGTAGTGTAGTGTATCTCTTTCGCTGGTCAAATTTATCCTTTTAGCGCCGACAGGGGTTTATCCAATAGGACATGCAGTTCAGTAACAATTTCCTTATCAGCTACCTTTCTCTACCTCACTTTCTATGCGATAAGACCCTTCTGCCAGTACCTCAAGAGTAGTCGCCTGATTTTTATGGGGCGCGCTAAAAGGATAAATTTGACCAGCGAAAGAGATCGGTGCAACGATTTTTCGAAACGCTCATGTTTTCAGTCCTTTCTTGTTTTTCATCTCCGCCGTTCGGTGAAGGTTAATTTGTTTCTCGGTATCCGAGCGGCCGGCGCGCGGATCCAAATTTGAGGAGTCTCACTGGCGGTGGGGGATGCCTCTGCTGTACGTGCTGCCTTAGTTGACGGGCCAGAGCAGTCCGTAACGTGGCTCCTCAGGTTGATGCCCATGTAGTATCGAATGATGATGGCTTCTTTTGTGGAGGCTGGCTGGCGCGTTGGGTACAAGTCGACAAGAAAAGGGTTTTTTACGCAAACAAAGAGATAAGAAACGGCGATGCCGGAAAGGGCGGGAGTCAGACATGCATAATAAAGGATATCCCGTGAGTAAACAGACTGACATGTGTTATGAAGTTGACGGTCAGTTCTGGTATGTTTGTTTGACACGTCCGACTGCGGAGCGTCTCACTCAGGGTTGGGAAGGGGAGGAAGGGAGAAGTGGCATGGGTGAGTGACTCCTTCGGACACCTACGCGATGCTGTCGGAGATTACAGCCGGGACACGGAAGAGACGGAGACGGACTTAATCGGCGTCCAAGTGACATCCCCGAAGCCGACACGGAACGGCGATTACATACAAGTGGGACTCGGCGAGGTGTTGACCGCGCCGAGGTTTCCCATGTTTCACCTCCGCCTTAGCCAATACGCCGATAAACAGGGGACGACGATCTGAATCCGATACTGTGGATTGAGATTTGCGGTGCCATCGACGGGTCACTTAAGGTTAGGTTGGTTGGCAGACGATCCAAGGCGGGCGAAGTTGAAAGTTTGGAAACATTGGAAATCTAGAAAACCTAACGCGAATTTTTGAACGGGTAAACGGGTGGGCGGGCGGCAGTGAAGAAGGAGCCCCACTCATTTTCCCGCCCGGCCGCGTCAGATGGTGGGGCCTCGGCCGGTAAAATACGTACACCTTACGGCATAGCATCAGCTCTAAATATAGTGCTGCTGCGCCCCCCCCCCAACCTACCTACCTCTAGGTCTCAACCACCACAAGGGAAAGCTTCCATCGCTGCCACGCAAGGCACAGGCACGACATCGACCAACATCCAGAGCTCAGCCTTCCACTTAGTCGGGTTATCATCTAGTTGAGGGCACTCACCCGTTTGCCCCCTGGTGAGCTTTTTCACCGGTGGCTTGGAAGGGAACCAATGGCCGCCTTGGCCGCGGGCTTGGTCAGGCTTGGTCAGTCTTGGGAGGGGGAAAAGCCCAGACTTGCCATAACTGCCCAGTGCACGGTTTTGTGTCTGGATCACAAGAGGGGTAGGTGAGCGGGCTGACATGGGCGTGGTGGTGGCTCATGCCCAACACGTGTGAATGGATGAAAGTACGCAACAGGATGGATGGTTAAGTTGTTATCTAGTCTCGTCAGAAATGCAAGATACAACACAAGAAACTTCAACCCATTCTACAAGTGAAAAAAGAGGTTGACATAATGAGTGGATATAAGGAGGGGTCAACGCCAACAACAGGCGGGGATACCTTGATGCAGACTACGGGACCCAGCATCTTGGGTGCCTGATGGAGGGTCGATAAACCTGAAACGTCAGTGAGGTTCCAAGCCCTACGATCAAGGTGGTGTATCAAAAAAGATGTTGACCAGCCCTGCCCAGCCCCTCGCTTCAACGTTGAGACAAAAAGATCCCCAGCGGGATTCGTATGTATGTCCCTCATTCGACTGCCGTTCCTCCGAAGGCCGCAACTGCTCCACCCTGATGCCGAAAAGGGTTCGTTGCTCTGAACGTCGTCTGGAGGGTCACGAACATGGATAGGAGTATAGGCCGCCGACTTTTTGTGGTGAAAGGAAAACACCCTATCGGCCGTGACGAGTTTGCTTCTTGTGCTCCATCGTATGTCCAAATAAATCCCTTGCAGTCATATTCCTTGTGCGGGGTTTATATCGATATAACGGCTTGGCACATGTCTTTGTTGGTGAGGTCTACGAGGTCAGTAGACATGTTTTCTCCAGACACGTGTAGGTGTTTCCCAGCTTTGCCATCCTATTGGGGAGGCCGTTCGAGGTATCACGGTGTATCATTGCGGCTGTCACTACAAGTGTTTCTTGAAAATGCAAGCAATACGAGGTTGAACCCTCCCGTCCTCTGTCTCGTCCCGACAAACTGGAAAAGATCTCAAGGTCAAACGGGTGGAGGGGCGGGGTACCTAAATCTGATGACAAGGCCAAAAGGTTTCATAACTGGACACTGTACTAACAAAGCTACATACCTACAGTCCCGGACCAAAAATAAAACACGTTTACCCCGCAACCCTACATTTACCGCTTTTTTACTTTCTTTTATTTTCAATACCTTCTTTTTAAATGCCCGCTATCACTGCCAGCCCTATTAAGAAGCTAAAATTTAAATATTCAACTCCTTAGCGGAGGAACTAGATTATAGCGAAATACTAAACGAGCGTCACATCTACCGCTATAACTATACATAAGGGCGTAACGCCAAAATTAATCCGAAGTATTATAAAGTACTTCACTGCTTAGGATTATAGTATCTCTAAACCTAGCCATAGACAACCACTACTCTTTTCTAAGTAAAATAAAAGAATTATTTTACGAAAGACTACTCTCGAGCCCTTTATTTCTATTAGGGATTTAAGGGTTGCGGCCTATCCCTATATCTTAACGCCCACTCTAAAGCGCTACCTCCGAAAAGAAGGTATTTTATACTCCTTAACCGTTATTCGGCTATATCTTTCCTAAGAAACAACTAGTACTAAATATACTTAGTCTCTCGAATATAGTAATAAGCCTCTATCCTTTTAGAAGACGGTTTTATTTACGGATAAATTAATAGTAGAAAAAGGAACTAATAGAAGGAAATATTAGGTTTTTCGCCCTAAAGGTAAAAAAAGACTCCGGTAGCCTTTCTTTTCTCTTTTACCTAAAAATTAACTAAATTGTTTTATTTTAGGTTTATTAGCTATTAATCCCAAGTACGTTCAAGCCCGGTATAAAAGATCTCGTTTTTTATAAATATTTTAGAGTGCAATTCGCTATAGCGTAAAGAGTAAGCTCGTTCCTTACCCCGGCGATTCTAATATAAAAAGAGGAAGTATTACAATTCGAATTTATAAGGAAATCCTTAAAAAAGAATTTCTTAAATTTATAGAGCCTTATATTACCTTTATATAAAATAATGTGCCTATTTATATAGCGAGGATTGTAAAGGATTAGTTCGAGGAAATATACTTTAAAGTATTAGCGTAGCCGCTATATTTTTCCGATTTTAACCTTATTGAAAATTTATAGCATTTACTTAAAACTAGGATTATAGAAAGATATCCTGAGCTTTTAAAAATGCTAAAGAATTCCTAAGTATTAAAATTATTATTAGAGGTAGTTGAAAAGGAATAGTTGGACTTTGAAATTAACATAGTCAATAACCTGGTTGACAGCATGCCTCGAAGAGTGCAGGCTATAGTGGATGTAAAAGGCTGGTATACGAAATACTGAATAATACGTTTTATCCGCCTGGTTCTGAAGTACCTATTAAACTATTTTCTAAGCTTTTTATAAGGGTCTGCAGTTATAAGGTACAATGGAAGAAAGGTGGTCGTTGTCATGAAATTCGGGAAATTTGGAACGTGTTTTATTTTTGGCGCCCCACTGTAGATACCTCAGCACGAGTGTCGCCTCGCTCCGCCCTTGCCTCTCTAAAAACAGTTTCAAGAGGGCGATGAATTGGCAACGTTGATAAACATGAATCCGCGTAATAAAACCCGACACGCTGATGACGGGACGCGTCAGTTCACTACACCATGTAAATCATCATCAGGGACGGTGGCTGCTCAAGACACACACATTCGTAATGCCAGTGGAGGTCCGTGACAGTGTGATTTATGGTTTTAACAGGGCAGCTGTTTGCGGGGGATGACAGCCAAATCCCGTCAATCTCACACGGCCCGGGAACTGTACAGGTTCAATTTGTTAGTACTGCGCCACCAGTTGGCCGACACAGCCCACCTAGCTGAAGATCCTTCCATCTTTCCGGCCAACCAGCTCAGCCAGCTCAGCCATTCGCATTTTGTGATCATCTGCTGCTGTCAGCACCCGACTGACAAACAAAAACCCGAAAGCATATTTGTATGTTTTGACGGCCCTTCTTGTGTCTTGGAACTGTTCTCTTTTCTCATCATTTTCCTGTGTATCTCACGAATTCGGATTCCCTCGAATACTTCAAATCGAGTCGACATCATCAACAAGTCAATAATTTGGCGATACAGTCGAGGATAAACACCCCCGCCAACCTAACTCTCAGCCTAACGCACGACACCTAACCCAGCGCGTTTCCCCTCCATCCCCCGCACGACCTGAATCGATACATACTGTAGAGTACAACGTCACAACGAACCGACCCACGATCCGAGCACCACTACGTACCTTTTACTACTAAGTAACCTAGTCGTCGACGGCCGACAACAACAACTACAAAAATAACAACAAGATGGGTGTCGGTCGCGTGGTCTGTGTGGCCCTGCCATTCCTGCTCACAGTAGCATCGCTAGTAGCCCTCCTAGTAGGCGGCCTAGCAGGCGTCGCCGACAAGTCCATGTACATGTTCGATGTCAACCTTTCCAATTTCTCCATCTCGCTCGCCGACGCCGGCGACCTCCTGAACCTGAACGAGTCCTCCATCCTCAAGGCCGGCGCGCAGCAGATTTTTGGCCGTGACGTCGAGGCGATCACTATCGACGACCTGACCAAGCGCGATGATTCCAACGGCGGCCTCACCAACCTGACGGCGTCCCTCCTCGGCTTCTACGACATCTACGACATCTCCCTCTGGGGCTACTGCACCACGGCCCACAACGGGACGCGCGAGTGCACCAAGGCCAAGTTCAACTGGGCCGAGGACGCGCTGAACGGCACGCAACATGACATCAACTCGCTGCTTACCCTCACGGGCCAGAACATTACCCTGCCCAAGGAGGTCACGGACGCGTTCAAGACGTACGTCACGGCCAGCAAGTGGGCCCAGATCGTCTTCATCATCGCCCTCGTCGCGCTCGTTGTCGAAATCGTCTTTGGCATCTTTGCCAACTGCTCGCGCGTCGTTTCGTGTCTTACGTGGTTGGTCGCCGGCATCGCGGCCGTAGCCGTGTGCGGTTTCGCCGCCCTGGCCACCGGTATCTCGGTCATTGTCGTCGGCGCCGTCGAGACCGTGGCGGGCAAGTACAATGCCGAGGGCGAGTTCAACAAGCGGTTCATGGTGGCTATTTGGGTTGCTGCGGCTTTTGCGCTGGCGTCCGCCTTCTTCTGGATGTTCACCATTTGCTGCTGCGCGCCTAGCTCTCATGGTGGTCACTCCAGCAGGAGCAGCAGACGGAGTGTCGGCATGGAGAATGAGAAGCTTATTGGTAGCCCGTATCAGCCGGTGGGTGGGTTCCATGCTCATGGTGCCAATGGCAAGCCGAGCCAGGGCTTCCTTGGAGGTGGTGGATATGCTAGCCAGCCGCAACAGCAGTATGCTAAGCGCGATATGGCTTATGAGCCTTATTCCCACCAGAGGATCTAAAGAGGAGTGGAGGATGAAGGGGTGTGGAGGGTGGTGATGGAGGAGCACACTTTTCTGGGTGCTGTTATGACTCTCTCAGCGAGCAAAAGGTATTTCTTACTTTGCTCGCTTTATGACTTGGGGATATATCTTTTATGGGTGCATTTACCGGCGTTTGGAAAACTAGAGTAAGAAGGTGGCTATGGATATACGACACAGTTGATTGTTTGTATGCCCATCGTGTTGTGGATGATGATACCTATTCCTTTATCGTTAGTTATTTACTACCTAGTTTTCGAGCTATAACCTGAAATGGACGAAACATATCTCGTACAGCAACTTACAGCCTCCTTTTTCCTTTCTAGTGAAACATGAAGATTCAACCATTCTCAAACATCCTTTCCCTTTCCGGTGAAACATGCAAGATTGAGCCATCCTCAAACCTTCTTAGTGCCCTAACTAAAACTTCAAGCTTTCTCCCCCCCACACGCATACATACATGTCTTGCCGGGCCACTAGACTACCACGTCACCTGTCTCTCCTGCCCGATTGAACACAACATATGTACGCCCTGCATAAATTAGATCCAAGGAATGTCGATGTGAGCCAAATGTGCATTTACATCAATATGTCCCCGCCTTTTCTCCATTCGGTTCGTCTGTAGCGGTGATGCACATCTTCACGGCCTGCCTGACATGAACGGTCTTGGCGGAGGATCTGCTCCGCCAGTTGAGATACTGCATATGTGGGGGGGAGAGATACTGGATGTTGAAAGACTGTTGTTTCAAGGAGCGGAATTTCACGAGGGTGAGGCCTCCTTCCCTTTGTTGTATTAGTTGGTGAGTGGGTGGGTGGGTGTAACTCGAGCGTGCGTGGCTGCGGCGGCGTGACTGGGAGTGGGAGTGGTGTTTTGTTAGTAGGTAGGTAGGGTTACGCTGCTGGTAGAACTATGGAAGAATAAGTAAGACAAGGGGATTTTTATTTATTTCGGAACATTAAAAAAAAGAAAAAGGAACTGAGATAAAGAGAATAGTACCTAGTTTCGATGCATAAGATTTGAATAATAATGTTACGAGCGGGGAATAGAGACAAGTGGAAGGTATGAGTGAAGTTGGAGAGTCTATAAGGTAGGTAGGTAGGTAGCACTTGTCTGACGAGATCGTCGCAATCACGTGTGTACTGTAGACTGGAAAAAAATCACCCTTCAGTTACGAAGAAAAAAAAAAGGAAAAAGGGAGAAGAGAAAGTTGAATGAAACTAGGTAAGTATTCCGTGATCTTGGTCGGAAATACTAAAAAGTTTGGTAACTTACAGTAGTACCCATGTAAGAAGGTTGTTTAGGAGTGGTCAGAGGAAAGGACGACGAGATCAGGAATACCTACCTTAAAAAGGAGGCTGTGAAGGGTTAGGGTTGGAAGCGCTCATAAAAAAAAAAATGGAGTCACTCGTTTCACTTTGGGAATTTCCTCACCTGAGTTGTGGATTGGTCGTTCCTACCAAAGGACATCAAGGTGCCTACGACTAGGTACTTGCACAGCACAAACTCCCAAGAATGGATAGCTGAGATTTACTTGGATCCGATTTCAACGCAGCCGACCACGCGGACGCTTCAGTCCATCATCACAGCCCAACATGACTCAAAACGTGCGTCAACAACAATGTTTTCCTTTTTCGCACATCATTCAGTGCAAGAAACTCGACCTCACCTCACTCTCAAGTCTTCACAGTTACAACTTACCTAGGTACTAACACCACCCACAGACATCCCTCACGCACACAAGGCTTCCCACCAAGCTCCGCCATAACTTTGTCCTCAACCCCATCACGGCCCTCGCCTTCTACCAGTCTCCCAATTCTCGCGTCTACCTCCTCGCCGCCGAAGACACCTACCTGAAAATCTACGACGTCACCACCTCCCGCCTCGTTTCCCAGATCAAAGTCTTTTACTCGCAGCCTATTCACGGTCTGTATGTCTCACCTTCACCTTCACCTTCGACAACACCCGCAGGGACAGCAGGGACAACAACAGGCCAGGATGAGGATGACGTTGAGGATGAGGATGAGGAGCCGCGGGTGTTGATCTGGGGCGCGAATTCCGTGGCGGTTATTTCTCAGGGGACAGTGGATCAGCTCGTCAAAGGACATGGGGGTAGTGGGGTGGAACTGAGAGAGGAGAAGGCAGGTGATTGGATATATGATGGGATTTTGTTTCCTTCAAGGAAGCGAGGAGCGGAAGGAAAGGAGGGAGGGAAAAGAAAAGTGCAAGGAGCGTTGGTGACTGCGCATAATGAAGTTGTTCCGCTTTCTATCATCGGGGGGAAGGACGGAGAGGTTACGTTTGGCCCGCTCACCTCGCCTTCACGACCGATTTTGTATTCGGCGAATCTGTGTTTGTTGGATGACGAGACAGTTCTGGTGGCGGGGGGTACGGTGTTTGGAGAGATTGTCGTCTGGAAGTATTTTCTCGATGGGAGGAGCGGGGAGGGTGAGGGGAAAAAGTTCGAGGTCCTCTACGTCTTTACCGGCCATGAGGGGTCTATCTTTGGGGTTTCCATCTCGCCGGAGATTTCCCTTTCTAATGGCGGTCAAAAGATCAGACTGCTAGCTAGCTGCAGCGATGATCGGACGGTGCGGATATGGGATATCACCGATTCGCCGACCAGGGGTACCTCTATTCTTACAGATGGTTCTGGAGAAAATGATCACTCAAAGAGAACATTGGGAGAAGCGAGAGAGACTGGGTTCGGAGGACCCAACAACTCGGAAGTCAAGGTCGAAAACCAAAACGACAAGGCGAGATGTCTTGCTGTGGCTATGGGTCACGTATCGAGGATTTGGCAGGTGCGGTTTACGGGAAGGACGCAACATGGGGATGGAAGTCCGATTGAGATCCACTCGTTCGGTGAGGATGCGACGAGACAGAGGTGGGAGTTAACGCTGGATCAGGCAAAGTGGAAGCAGGCGCTGGAGAGGGGCTACAGTGGTGAACAAGACATTGCTGGGTCGTTTGGCACGCTGAAGAACTGCGGGATTGTGAGTTGTCATAATGGCAAGAATATGTGGTCGACGGCGGTGTCGGGGGGTGATGGACTGCCGACGTTGATTGCAACGGGTGGAGCGGATGGAAAGATTACGATGGCTGGTGATCAGGTGGTCAGAAATGGGGAGCAAACGTATAGGGATATTGACGTTACGCTGACGGTCGAGGATGCCATGAGGGTTGCTGAAGGGGTTGAAGAGGACTCGACTGCGCCGGTGGAAGGACAAAAGAAGAACACGGTCAAAAACGGGTTTCAGAGATACGCCTTTCTGTCTGAGAACACGCTTCTCGCTACGACGTCGTCTGGGAGGCTCTTGCATGGGACGATAGGCGAAGGCCTCACCTGGAAGAATGTTCACCTTTCGGAGACTGTTCTCGCCGACCTCAAGTCCTACTACGTCGTCAAGAGCCCAGTTCAGGGGACCGCTATCCTCGGCAGTTCCAGTGGTAAAGTCTACCTCTTCCTTGAAGACGGCCACAAAGTCAAAGAACTCCACGCCTTCCCCGGCAAGATCTCCGATATCCTCCTCATCGAAGGCGCTCAAGAGACCCTCCACAAAGACCAACCCGGTGCCTGGACAGTCATCATCACCGTCCTCGGCCTCGACCACGCCCTTCTTATGACTTTCGACCCCTCCACCTCCTCCGTCACCGTCGACCCGCGCAATATCTGCCTCTCCAGCGACGACGTATCCCCCTTCATTGCCACGGCCGCTGCCTTTTGCGGTTCGAAACTGATCCTCGGCTCGCGCGTCGGTGCTGTGGCTGTCTACAAATCGACACCTGACGCTTACACCCTCGATTACTCCCGCAAGGACGCGCGTACCAAAGACGCAGTGACCTGTATCGTTCCGCTACCGGGTAGTTCGACCTCTTTTCTGACAGGCTGCCGCGATGGTCGGTACAGGATATACACCCTCACTTCCACCACTAACTCAGCCACACTGCACCTCCAACACGAAATCTCCCCTCCCCTCGGCATGATTGAAGGCGCCCACTTCATCTCCTCCTCATCTGGGCTAGACTTGATCATCCACGGCTTCCGCGGCAAGAACTTTGTCGTCTGGAGCGAGTCCACCCGTCAAGAGCTCACCACCGTCGAATGCGGCGGTGGTCACCGGGCCTTTGACGTCGTCTTTCCCTCTTCTTCTTCTTCTTCTTCTTCTTCTGGTGGCTCTCCCGGTCCATTACGATTCATCTTCACCAAAGCCTCTGCTCTGCGGTTCTACAGCCAATCATCCCCTCCTTTACGCACCCTGAAAGAAGGCGGCCACGGTCGCGAGTTGCGGGCCGTCGCTGCTTCTGTTTCTTCATCCTCAGGGGAAGTAGGGCGGTATGTAGCTACTGCTGCGGAGGATACTACCATCCGTCTGTGGCAGTATCGGGACTCCTCTGCCCCTGTTGGGAAAGAAAAAACAGAAAGGGGTTTCAAACCGCTCGCGATCCTGGAGAAGCATAGTGCTGGTATCCAAGCCATGAAGTGGTTTGGCGAGTCGCACTTGTTGAGTAGCGCGGGGAATGAAGAGTTTTTTGTGTGGAGGATTACTAGATTGGAATCGGAGTACGAGGCGTTGGCGGTGGTTTGCGAGAGCAAGTACCCGGATCGGTCGGCAGATGGGGATTTAAGGATTGTGGACTTTGATGTCCAGCGTTATGGATCACAAGGAGAGGAAAAGATGCTTATCAGCTTGGCGTTGAGTAACTCGACGCTGAAAAGCTACCTCTACTCAACCGACTCTCAGCAGTGGAAGTTGCTTGCCCAAGGCCGGTACACGGGTGCTTGTCTGACGCAGATCCGGCACTTGCGCGTCGCTGACGCTGGTGAGGATATCCAGGTCCTGACTGCTTCGACGGACGGTCATGTTGCTGTTTGGTCTACTTCTGCCTCAAGCGAGACCGAGACGGAAAAGGCAGAGTACCAGATGGTTACCCTCGCCAAGGTCCATCAGAGCAGTATCAAGGGTCTTGATCTCTCGTCGTCTTCATCAGGCCAGAGCTGGCTGGTCATTACAGGCGGCGACGACAACGCCGTCCACTTTACGAATCTGCAGTATTCTGCTGCTGATAAGACGTACAAGGTGTTGAGCAGGTCGAGAGTCAAGGATGCGCATGCTGCTGGTGTGACGGGCATTTGTACCGTTAGGGAGGAGGATGGAGAGGCGGTGGAGGTGGCTAGTGTTAGCAATGACCAGCGAGTGAAGCTTTGGCGGGCGGTTTGGCAGGAGGGAAGCGAAGAGCCGGTCAAGGTGACGCTGTTGGATAATCAGTATAGCTCGGTGGCGGATGCTGGGGATGTGGAGGTGATTAAGGAGGGGAGGGTGATGGTGGGGGGAGTGGGCATGGAGGTTTGGGATTTTGGGGTTTAGAAGGTGTGAGTTGGTTTAGACAAAAGGGTATATAGAGTATTGTTGTCATTAAGTAGCACATGATTTGAAGCCAGGTCGAAGTTCTTCGTTTTGTTGTCTCTGCTGACGATGATAACGATTTGGTTGGGTGTATGCATTTTGTCCACTTATACGCCAGAGCACTAACAGTAGCGTCAGCTATGCGAGGCCAATTTCACGCAAGCAAGATCTTCGAATGTGAAGAAACTTCTTTACAGTTTCTAGAAGACAGGTTCATTATGATTCAAGATATATTCAACACAATAATTCATGGATTTCAAAGCTAGAAATCCGGGAGTTGAAGAGACTGTTGACAAAGTGCTAAAGTGACGACTTTCAGAGCATCGTTGCTGTTAGTAAAACTGCCCCACCTTCAACTCCACCATCCAATCAAACCCCGATAAACAAATTCCTCCAAATCCGGGGTTGCGCACGGCCCACTCTTCAATGCTTCCACTTTGTGCTGTGCGGGCCGGCGGGGCCTGGGCGTCCGTCCGATTTGACGGGCATTTTTGAGCTCCATACCGCGACCGTCCGTCCGTCCACCTTCAACCTGAATCCCGCGAACCCGCCCGCCTAGCCGGCTCCGTCCACTCACTTCGACTCGATCGATCGACCGAGTGTGGTGTCGTCTCCAACCACCAACATCACACACCACACACCACACAACAACCACCGACCATGAACCGTCAGGTGGTCACCTCCACCCTAGGCCGGCGGGGTGTCGCCAGCACCCTTCTCAACGCCCAGCAGCAGCGTCCCTTTTCCTCCACCACCACCCGATGCGCCGCCGAAGACGATAAGAAGCCCGCTGCCGCTGACGCTGCCACTCCCTCTCCTCGCGCCCCCGGTCCCATTAGCGCCAGCCGCCAAAAGTCCGAAGCCGCCGTCGGCAAGCTCACCCAGCTTCGCGGATCCTTCACGTCCTTGACCAACGACAACTCCTTCCACAAGACCCTTCCCGCCGGTGCCCGTGACGCCCGCCGTCTCGCTGCCGCTCCCATCGCTGGCAAGGGCACAACCAAGGACGCCATCGCTCCCCTCGGCGGTGGCGGTGGTGGTGCGTCCGGCGCTCCCAAGGTCATCAACGTCCGTTCCCTCAAGGGCACCCTCGGTTCTCGCGGCAGCAACATCCCCGGCGCCGTCGCGCCCGGCGCTGCTCTCCGTCCTCGCTTCGCCGCTGGTCCTAACGGTACCCGTCCGCGCTTCGGTGCTACCCCCGGTACCCCCGGTGCCGGTCCCACTGGCGCTCGCAGACCCCCCTTCGGTGCCCGGCGCGCCCGTCCCGCAGGCGACAAGAAACGCGGAGGATCCGGAGGAGGAGAGAAGCGCACCAGAGGCGACGACTACGACGCGCCGCCCACCGAAGAAGAGAAAGCCTTCCTCCGCGGCTTGGAGCAAGGCAAAGTAACCGAATACGTCCCCAAACTCACGCCCGATACACTGCTGGGGTACGGCCCGCCCCTCGCGACGGACGCGGCGCTGGGTAAAGTGGAGTCAGCAATGCGCACGATGCGGATCTTGGGCGGCGGATTGCCGTTCAACGACCAGTCGGGCGTCACGAGCGATCCGACGGCTATTAAGCACCGGTACGTGCACGAGAAGAAACCCGTGTTTTTCAGCAGTGTGGAGGAGAAGGAGTGGGTGAGGGAGTCGTTGGATAAGTTTGCGGTTAGTGAGGGGCCGGAGAAGAAGACTAAACAGAAGATTCTGGAGACGAGCGTGTTGGGTAGGTATGAGGAACCCAAGTATGTGGAGAGTTTGACGGAGACGGTGAAAATGGTGGAGAAGTATCACGGCGGAACGTTCAGTTATGCGCCGAGTGATGCGGAGAAGTTCAAGAAGAAGTTGAACCAGTTGCTTGCTGCTGGTCTGCCGAGGGCGCCGGCTCCGGCTCCGGCTCAGAAAAAGGCGTAGGTTGAGGAATTGAAGGGGGGTGGAAGGGGAAGGGGAGGGGATTGTGATGTAAAAACAGATAGAAGAAGAGGACTGAGGTGTAGAAGTGGTCCAGTTGTAACATTATGAATACCCGTATTGGCTGTCTTGTTGTGCCTGGGGGGAAATAAGGGTATGTGAAAGTCTTGTGCGGTGTCTTGGTTGTGTCCAAATTTTTGAAAGACATATTGCTCTGGTGGTCTGGATTGCTTTGACATACACTTTACCATGCCATGCTCAGAAAGAAACGGAAGAAAAGATGAGTATCGGGTTTATGGGATACTCAGGTCCAGTCGTAAACATTTCAGTCTGTTAGCAAGTCAAGTACAACAAGTCTAACCTTTGAATCCACACGGTGAATGTTGTTTTCATTCACCCACAAATTTGCTATCACGAACTCTGAACTTATAGTCTCAAGCAACTACGGTTTCAACCCAATGGTATTCCGACTCCATCTCGACACTGACCCAAACCCCACAAACACCCCAAGATAATAATACACACAAGAACCAACTCTTCACACAAACTCACTTCCTAGCCATCACCGCATTACAAACCTCCTTCTCCCTCGCCGCCACCGCCTTCATCCTCTCATCCTGCAACTTCTGCACCTTGGTCTTCAACGCCTTGACATCATCATCCAATATCTTCTCCTGCTGCTTCCACTTCTTATGCACCGCCTCTCTTTTATGGGTCTCCGCCCTAAGTTTATCTCTCCACAGCTGACACAGCTCCTTCACTCTCTTTTGGAGATCCTCCGCCCGTTCCGGCTCCACGGTAATCGTCAGTTCCAACGGATTCTCCTCGCTTCTTTGCGGCTGCTGGTTAAAGTCCGGGGACTTTTGTACCGCGCTCATGATAGGTTTTACAGACGACTCGTCAAAGCACAGGATGGACCATTTGCGGCCTGAGCCCGAGACTTGTGCGACTGTTGCTAGGTCGCGCAGGGGGTAGCTGAGGGACGTGTCTTTTTTGTCGGGGAAGATGGGTAGAGCGCCGATGGAGTCAGCGGAGAAGCGCGAGCCGGAGCGGAAGGTCTTGAGGGCGTCGAGGTAGTGCTTGTCGGCGCGGTCGAAGGCGTAGGTCAGGTCGGAGAGGTCGTAGGGCGTTTCGGGGGAGGGGATGGGGCGGTTGGGGTCTTTGGGGTCGTTTGACGACGCATCTTCTGCGGGGGAATTGTTGGATTTGGAGCCCTTCTTGTCTTTCTTTCCGCCACGGGCGGGCGGCTCTTCAACTTCTTCGTTGCTGCCGCGCTTGGATTTCTTGTCTTTTTTGCCGGGGCGGATGGGGGTTGTTGAGAAAGGGCGGACGGTCAAGGGAGTCTGAGAGAGGGTCGTGCGGGGGGTGGTGAGGAGGCATTGGCAGGCGGGAGAGCCGGAGGCGGTTACTAGAGGGGCGGCGGCGCTGTGGTGGTTTGTTAGCTTTAGGATGGGAGAGGAAAGTAAACAAAGATGTTTGAGACGATGATGGTGGTGGGGTGACGAACCGGGAGATGGCATTCGAGGCAGCAGAGTTGGTGCGCAGAAGCGCGTTGGCGGCGCGGAAGGACTTCATGGTGAACAATTGGTGAGAGGTGGTGTTTTCTCTCAGAAAAGTTAGTGGGTTAGTTGATGTTGCGAAACAAAATGGTGAAGCTTCGTGAACCGTGATGGTCTTGGAGCTTCGAGTTGACAGACCCCGCCGTTTCCAAGAGCTAAAGTTCGCGCCAATGCCGGCTGGGGAGGTGGTTCCGGCAATGTTTGATGGGTACCTTTATCCTGGCCGTTATAGTAAGCCAGTAACAAGCAGCTATCAATAACGGTTGCGTGGCCCAGTGGTTAAGGCATCTGCTTTACATTGTAATCGCAGAGGATCGCAGGTTCGAGCCCTGCCGCGATCATTATTTTTTGCGTTTTTCTCAGAGCCTATCGTCAGTTCTCCATTGGTAAAGATTGAGAAGCTGTCATGTGCTTTTCCTTTTTTTTCTTTTAGTTTATCATTATCAAGGTCCCTAGTTAGTTATTCTCTATAATGCTTCGTTCTCGTTGGCTCCAATGTAAGTTCAAGTCATCTTTCACGTTGATACAAAATGAGAATTCTTATTAATTGTACAGCTTCATAGTCAAGAAGCTTTTGATGCCTCAGCTGTGTTCTCTTCACGGTCAATTGACATGATCTCTTCTTCTTTCAAGTCTGTGATATAACGCCTTTCAAAGAATGACTAAACAAAACCTACACTCTGTGTGATAAGATTGAGACGGCGAATATGTCTTTTATGACTTTCATTTAGGGAAGAGCCTCCTGGTTAGAATGTTGACCATCGTTGTCTAACATCGACCACTGCCGTTTGATGCTCCTTGTTGCTTCTAGAGTATCATGTCCTCTGATGATTTAAGATGGGTAATCGACGGTGTACACCAGAGAAGCACCCATGTTTACAGCAGAACATCAATATCATGAAACTGGGAATAATGGTACACAAAAAAGCTACAGCCTAGGAATAAGCATAACCATAGCGCAATCATTAACTATCTTGTTCTCGTTCTTCCTTCCCATGGCTTCCCCCCCCGAGGTATCATCTCACTTTGATTTGTACCATCCGATCCAAAACCTTATCATTACCAATTATGCAGACTAATAACCTGCCTGCGCGCAGTCTGTCCGTTCCATCTCAGGTTCAGACAGACCAAGAAAAGTAGAGGTATAGAGAGTGTCGCTTAAGGAATCCTGCCATCCCATCCCATCCCATCCTAGCTCCAAGGTCGTGTAGTTTTTCTGTCTGTTGGGTTTGTGTTTGAGGATTCACTGCTGTTGCCGACTTTCGTGTGTACCACCAGCAGGATGCCCGTAAAGACGCGCCCCTAGCACACAATCACTGTCCTTGTTTAGGCAGCAACAGGCTCAGTGTTCCTCCCGCGCTGATGCTGTTCGCTCTCGCCGTCCAGCATGGAGTGGCTGCCCGATGCATGAATATCATCTTCCTCATCGTCATCGTCGTCCTCCTCTTCCTCCGACACCTCATAGTCCGCCACCTCCTTGTGCTGATTCGCCGGCACCCACGAGTCCCGATCGTTAAGCGGGGCGTCCTGGCCCGACAAGTCATGTCCCTGTCCTGCGCCACCTTCCGTCCTCGCCTTGATGTTGTTCCTCCTGCGCTGGCTCAGCGTCCTCGAGCGAGTGGAAAGCTTCGCTGAGACGGCCGCGTTTTGCGTGACCCAGTTGGTAAGGGAGTCCTCGCAGTCCTGGATGATGGCCTTGGAGGCTTCGTAGCCGTCGTAAGCGGGGCGGGTTTCGCCTGGGGTGACGGGGGTATCGTCGATGAGTTCCAAGAGGTGCTTGCCGTAGCCGGCAATGATGGCGACTTTTTCGCAGTGCTCGCGCAGGGCGTCGAACTGGTAGGTGTAGGCGGCCTTGATCTTCTCACGCGTTATGTTGGAGAGCTGGGCTTCGGCGACGAGCGACTCGGCTTCGGCGCGGACGAGTTCCTGTTCGAGAACGACGATGCGCGGGGAGTTGGGCTCTTTGTACTTGAGCTGGGCGATTTGGTCGGTAATTTTTTGCTTTCCTCGTGGGGTGTTAGTGGTGAAGAGCGACAAGAGTTGGGACAGTAGGAGTAGTAGAGTGGACCTACTGTCTCTGCTGGGTTGCACCGACGCCTCGATATTCCTAATACTCTTCATGGTGACGCGGTACTGGTCGTAGCGATCGACGTACTGATCCTCGAGTTCGCCGATTTCGTAGAGCAACACGCCCAGCTTGTCTGTGACATCGGACACGTCCTCATCGCAGGCCTCGCCCCAGAGCGACAACTGTTGGGCGACCTCCATGCGCTCCTTGGCCACCATTTCCAGACTGCGCATCACGTTCTTCTCCATCTTGACCAGCTGGGAGAGCTTCTTGGCGAGATCGGGCCCAAAGGCGCCGGCGGCGTTGCGTCGTAGAGCATGGCCTAGCCCTCCTGTTAACGTTCACACAGGCTATGAGCTGTGCTGCTCGACTTTTATTCTAAAAAAAGAAGAAGGGGGGACAAGCTCACCAATTCCGCCGCGACCAAAGAGACGTCCCGACTTTGTGGATGATGGCGGTGGAGGGGGGTTCTGGATCTGGGAGGCGGTTGGCGCCCTGGAGGCGCGCATAGAGTAGGTTCGATGCATGGTTTATGTAGTATTTATCGATTGTCGTCGAGGGTTTTGAAGTTGTCGATCACACAAGGTGGTGTGATGTTGAAGTTGAAGTAGTAGGAACGGACAGTTCCAGTTGACGGTGTGAGTCGGGGGGGCTTCTTCCCTTGTTCTCTTGGTTGGAATATTCAATTGGGCGGTAAGCAAGCTAGTCAGGGCAATGTTGGTGGGAATCCGAATGGCGGACGAGTAGAGAAATTGGTGGAAGGAAAACCAATGAAGGGATTTGGGAGCAGGAGGAGGAGTTCGTCTGGCCTTTTTGATCAGTCCAGTCAAGAGACGTGGAAAAGACAACCAAGACAAGTTCCAGTTCTGGGCTCGAGAAGCGTCTGTCTGTCGCATGCGCGTGCCGGCAGATGCAGTCCCAGGCCTGGCAAGGGGGGGATGACGTCGGTGTGCAACCTCTGCTAGTCACTAACAGAAGACGACACTGCAAAACTAGGGCAGGGCCAAGCTCACTTTCCCCTATCGAGAAGAGCGAACAGGGGGGGTGTCACCATAAGGGGACGTCCCCACTCGTCATCGACAGTGCATCTCAGCGCATCGACAGTGCAGCTGCCCTAACAATTACCTGCATCTGGTTCAAGTTGATTTTCACTCCGCAGTCTCCGGGCAAGTGTGGCATGTCCACCTAGTCATGATCTTCAGATGAAGCCGTCACTTATACTAGACTACTGATCTTGCCCGATAGTGGTTGATTGTGGACAACTCCCGGTCAGCTTTGACATGTTGACTGTTTTCCGAGAGCTGCCATATCAACACTAGGATAATCGCTGTATGGTTTAGTGTAGTAGGGCCATCCCATTCCCTGTTTCGGATCATGACAAGACTAGAACAGAAGGAGAAGAGGAACCTTCATATGCTCTGAAGAGATTTGGATGACGGATGTCGATGGCCAAGCTTGAATGTCTTGGAATGGAATCGGCCTCTTTGTTGTTGTTGGCGCCCTATAGTGTCGGTTTTAGTGCCCACAGTCCGAAGACGGAAGATGACGTTGGTGTCCATCACATATTCCGCCGCTCACTAAGCAAAAGTCAAGGCCGTCATCACCGACCCGGTTGTGGATGGCTTCTTGCTGAATTGGGATTGACGCACAAAGACCAAGTCAGCTAGACAGGCACTGTCTAACACCATGGATGAACTTGGGTCATTTGGTCCAAGTGAGAAGAACAAGTCCTTTCAGTCATATCATTGTACACATATACAGATAATTGATAAGGAAGAGCCATGCGAATGTGTGTTTTTAGAATACCTTTAAAATACTACATGTAACCCCAACCCTGGACTCTACCAATTCAACATGGCTCGTGCACTGCAATGAACCCTCAAGGTTCACTGAATGACCTTGACTTCCACTTTACGGTTTCATGCAAGTCTTCCTACTGGTTGGAATGGCTTGAATCGCGTCGCAACAACCAACCTCGCGCGTCTTATTCATCCTCCTCACCTTATTGACGACAACCAGACCAATTAGGTGCTCCATTTTTCAAATTGACAACAAGACGACCACTAAAGTATTATCTGATGCCATCGAAAAAACTCAATCGGCTAATCTGAGTTGGAAATGAGAAAATCGACCATTCCGAGGACGACGACAGGTCTTTAGAGGAGGGGTAAACCAAAATTCACAGCTCAAGGTCTTTTATGGTTCGGGTCGAATGCATCCCGGTCGGTTGGCAACTCATCAGACTGGGATCAGAGGGAGGGCGTTGTTGGTACGGGCTGCAAAAACACCAAAAGAGAGACTTCATCTGACGGAAAGCTGAAGCGATGCCAGTGCCCGATCCATTCTCATTGGCTGACCGTTTCACCGATGAATCGTCCAAGGATGCCAGCTCCAGCAGTTCGGACGACGAGGATGATGGCGTGGTGGTCAGAGCAAACGCTCCAACAGAGGGCATCACCTTCAACGGCTCCATCCACTACCGAGAAGACCTGAATCCCAGTCTTGGCAGAGGCAGAGGTTTGCTGTGGAAACGGCCGACCATAATCCCGAGACAGCCGTCGCCAGTCCAAGTCATCATCAGAAAGTCATCATCACCTGCACAGACGACGACGACGACCTCCACCAGCAATCACCGCGGCACCGGAACCAAAACCAACAACACCAGGGCTGGAAGTGGCAGTGACAGTGACAGTGGCGACAGAAGCAGCAGCAGCAGCAGCAGCAGCAGCAAAGAGACCAGCAACGACCGCGAGACAACGAGGCCCCCTTCTACACAACAACCCAGGCCTACAATAAAGACTATGTTCAAGCCCACGTCAACCCAGCGTGTTCCCGAAAAACCTCCAGCTCAAGTTCATGACGAAGAAGAGCCCAAGAGACCGTACCACCCTCTACTCAAGCCCGTATTTGGACCTGCTAGGAAAACTGCCGGCTCGACTGCTCCTAGTAGAGTCCCAGAAGGAGGACATATGATATCGGCTTCTCAGGGACAGTCATCAAAGTCCACAGTCGGAAGCATATTCAGGCCCCCCTCACAAACCGCACCCAAAGCTGCACCTATTCAGCTCCAAAACAGCCATTCGAGGTATTCACAATCCCAGCCACAATCACAAAACCCATCGTCTTCCATCTCATCTCAGCCTCCTCTCAGAACCGCCTCACAAACCGCTCCCGGTCAGGGGCAGCGCCCTAGTCCACCGCCACCCCCTGTGTCCAGTAGTGTATTCAAGCTTCCGCATCAGCCCCCTAGGCAACCAAGCTCCCAAGCACCGCCCGGGCATATCCAGAGAGAAACGAAAGTACCGCCGCCCAATGTAGGCAGGAACATATTCAACGCTCCATCCAAATCCTTTTTTCGACCTGCATCTCAGCCAACTTCTGGTCAGGTTATTGACCCTCAACCGAGAATGCAACAACCTTATCCTCCCAATAAAGTTCCCAAGGCTCCTCCTCAATCACTATTTAGACCAGCTGGACAAACTCATAGGTCTGGGCTACTGCTGTCACAACCAACACCGTCTCGGTTATCACAGCCGCAATCATCAGGAGCTAGAATATCTCAGTCACAGCCAGCAGGGCCCGATATGCCACAGCCGTTGGCGTCCGTGACATTACCACCACAACCACAACAACAACCACAACCGCAAATGTCAACCTCCGAATTCTTTTCAGCTCCGGTAGCCTCCATCTCAAGTAAAGTCAATTCCCAGGAAGCTCCGGCTACCCGGCCTCCTGAGGCTCCTAATTTGACAGTACAAGACATAGAGTCCAAGCTCCGGTCCTTTATTGCCACTGTAGGCGAAGACCATGCTCGTTATGTTGAATATCTACTTGATGAGGCCGAACAGATGGCCCCAGAGCCAAAACATCTAAGCGACTTTGATGCCTTTGCTGACATGCCGGCCCTAAGCGCTCCTGCTACTACTTCCGACACCGCTTCTGTTTCAGATGACGGAGTGGAAACCATGGCGTTCAAAATTAAGCTTCACCACGGTGACAATGGAAAGCCCAGGGCCCCCACCAAGGCTTTCAAGTGCCCGGTCGTCAAAATCAAGACGGACAAGGAGGTCGTCCCCAAATACAGGTTTCACCATACTGAGATCAAAAAGAACATCTTGGTTCCCAATACAATGCTCACATTTGTTCCTCATCTCCGGGATGTCGACCCAGACTCTGTGGACGAGAGAGATTACATCAACTGGCTCAATGAATTGGAAAAGTTGGACACCCAGTCTGGATTCAAGACGGAAAACAGGCAACAGAAAAATCATAAGCGTGTCCGGGATGAATTTACCGCCACACTCTCCATGTACATTGAGCCTTGGCTCAAGCAACTAGGTCTCGATGTTGTTTGTGGCAGACCGACGCTGATCCGCTATATGTTGAGCCAGGAAGAAAACAAAGCACACATCACACAACAGCAAAAGGACGTCCTCCTCAATACCTACAAGGACGATGCCATTTTGTCGCCAAAGGCCGTGGAGGCGGCACGCATCTTTACCCTGGCATTCAACAACGTGTTTGGAAACAACACCGACCCGGAGCGTTCCATCACCCTTCGGGATGTCTTGCTCCTCGAAAAGCGTGAGACCGTTGTCGACGAGAAGCGTGCAAAAGAGACACCCCCTCCAGCCAATCCTCAAAGTGATCAATCAGACAGCAACGGTCTGCTGCCCAAAGTCGAGGCCTCGCTTTCAAGTTACGCGGTTCTGGGCTGCAATGTCTGCTTCAGCCACGATTGTGAGCATGGTGACATTGACGCCCACAACTACCACCGGACATTTTCCCTTGATAGTGTCGGCGGTGTCATCCGGGCGCTCAAGAGAAAGTGGGCCGACCAAGTCGCCTCGATGGGCGGCGACGAGGAAGCTGTGGCAGCAGCCTCTAAAAAGGCTCTTCACCTCCCCTGTCACAACGCCTGCTACCGGCACTACGACGTTGGTCCTGCTGCCGCCCCCGTCACCCCCTGGGCTAACAGCGAAATCTCTGTTTTGGAGGACATGTTTGTCAGTGTCGGACACAGTCAGACCCTTAAGGCTCAATGCGTGGTGGCTTCCATCCTAGGCCGCAAATGTTGGGAAGTCTACCGCAAGATCAAAGAGCTCGACCTCAGCCTCCCGCAAGTCTCACCACCTCGCCCAAAAACCGGCCCCAAGGGCGGTCCCCCAACCAAAGTCAAATCGCTTCCTTGGTACGACCGCCGCAAGAAGTGTCTCATGGGTGACTGGCAAGACCAAACCGCGACGCACGAGCACTCCATCCGCGAGATCACCGAACCGTGTCATCACGACGGTCCCTGCACCAAAGAAAACGAGGCCTGTCCTTGCGCCAACGCCTCGCCTCGTCCTTTACTCTGTGATCGGTTCTGCCAGTGCACGGTAGACGAGTGCGCCCTCAAATTCACCGGTTGCGCGTGTCACTCGACAGGCAAGACTTGTATTCAGAGACAGAAGGAGGGTAAACCGTGTATCTGCATCATGCTCAACCGTGAGTGCGACCCTGTGGTGTGCAAGGGATGTGGGGCGAAAGAAAGGGCAGATCCGGATAATGCCCATGATGAGACATTGCATTCGACGGGGTGTCAGAATGTTAGTCTTCAGCGGGGAGCATCCAAAACTGTTTTGCTTGGAAAATCTCAACTCGAAGGATGCGGCTACGGTCTCTTTACTGCCGAAGACATTTCCCAGGACGAGTTCGTGATCGAGTACACCGGTGAGCTAATCACGCACGACGAAGGTGTGCGTCGCGAAGCTCGTCGTGGAGAAGGGTTCGGGTCCCAGGGCACCAGCTCTTACCTGTTTACGTTACTCGAGCATGAAGGCATCTGGGTCGACGCAGCCATGTACGGCAACCTCTCCCGGTACATCAACCATGCCTCGGAAAACGACAAGAAAGCTTGCAACATCACGCCCAAAATCATCTACGTGAACAACGAGTACCGCATCAAGTTCACCGCGCTTCGGGACATCAAAGCCGGCGAGGAGCTCTTCTTCAACTACGGCGACAACTTTCCGAATCTCACCAAGAAGCTGCTTCAAGATCAAGATGGAGATGGCGAAAATGACACCGCTACCAAATCCAAAGGCAAAAGAGGCAGTAGTAGTCTCGCTCAAGGGACGGCGCGTAAAGCAACCACTAAGGCTAGTACCACCGCCAAAGGCAAAGCGAAAATCCAAGGTCGAGCACGCGGCGCGCGCAAGACGGCTGTGATGGAGATTCCCCCCAGTGATGATTACGAGGACCAAACGTGGATTAGGGATCCCCTTCCCTTGTATGATGAGTATGATGAAGACGATGACTCTTACTTGCCTGTGGGCAGGAAGAGGAGAAAGCGCGGTGGGAAGAGGGCTGGTGCTGGGAGGAAGAAGAAGACTCCTAGTCCTGAGGAGGGGGAGGATCAGGGATCAGCTGGGGAGGATGAAGCAGAAGCGGAGGCAGAGGCTGATGAAGACGGTGATGCTGACGCTGATGGTGATGCTGATGGCCCCTCTAATCAACAGACTCGCAAGCGTCGCGCTAGAGCCGTCTCGGAAATAAGTGACAGCCAGGCCGAGCGCGATGAGGACATGGACGACATGGAGTCAGAAGATAGCGACGCGCCACTTTCGCCATCGAGGGTAACTGCCCGTCGTAAGCGACAGTTGAGAACCACAGCAGCGCAAACCGCCACCACCACCACCACCACTACCACCACCAGCGCAGCAATAAACAACAACAACAACAACAACAACACCTCCCGCGCCACATCAGCTTCAGCATCAACATCAGCTTATACCACTGCCGCGTCAACGTCTAATTCTACTCCCGCTCCATCTCAACCAGGTAATGGTGATGGTGGCGGTGACGGTGACGATGAAGCAGAAGGCAACCAGGAAGAAGAAGAAGAAGAAGAAGGAGGAGGAGGGCAAGAAAAGAAACGCTCTAATAGAGGCGGCGCCCGTCCTGGTGCAGGCAGAAAGCCGAGGAAGACGGGGAGGCAGCAGGCTGCTAGTGGGTCTGCTTCTGTTTCTGCTTCTACTTCTGCTTCGGAATCGACCACCGCGACTGGGAGTCATGCTGGGAGTCATTGGGATAGGTTGAAGAGTAGTATCGCTTTTGGGTCTGGATCTGGATCTGGATCTGGATCTTCATCAGGCTCTGCTCAGCTTGCGAACCCCCACTCAGGTTCTCTACCCGCTAACCCCAGTGGCGTCTCCCCCAGCAAAAGTAAAAGCAAAAGCAAGAAACGCAAAGCTCCCGAGGCAGATATTTACTCCATGGATGAGCACTCTTCTTCTGCTTCTGGTTCTGGGTCCGACGCTGAACTCTCAGCTCCAGAGTCCAATCATGTGTCCATGTCATCAAAGAAAAAGAAGCAGAAAACTACCTCTACCTCTACCACTGCTGCAAACAGAACCAGAACCACCCGCTCTTCCCGCGCCACCACCACCAAGGCAATTCCCTCCCCAGCAACAACAACAATGAAAATCAAACCTCTCGGCGTCACCGTCACTAGGTCTCCTGGTGGTAGAGGAACAGGAGCTCGTCATACCTCTATGCATAACGCTGCAGCCGAGGCTCAAATTAGGGCTGAACAATCGTTGAGGGATGAGGCTGCTGCTGCTGCTGCTGCTGCTGCTGCAGCGGGAACAGCGGCAGCAGGAGCGATAAGAGAAGCGCAGCAGGGGCAGGGACAGGAGATGCAGATGCAGAGTAGTACTGGACTGTACCATACTGCGGCCAACTTCCAGCCGTTCACTTCTGATAACGACGAGGATGATGGAGAGGAGGAGGATGTCGCTTCTGTTGGTTCTGGGGAGGAGGAGGAGGAGGATGAAGAAGAAGAAGAAGAAGAGGAGGAGGAGGAGGGGGGTGAAGAGGGGCGGGCACGGGGTGGTGAAGCACCTGCCCCTGGTTCGAATGGGGACAACCACGAGCAGGCTCCATGTGAGTGGTGTGATAATTATGTTTGGGATGTCGATGGCGATACGACTACGACCACCGGCAGCAGCAGCGTATGTGAAGCCGATAGAATCGCTTGGGAAAATTGGATGAATTTACCTCCAACACCGCGCGATGAAGAAGGACATGCAGGCCGGGCACCCGGCGACTACGACTCGGATGATGGCGCCGCCGTTCCTGGTCGTGATGCTTCAAATGCCCCTGGCCCTGAATCCGGCTCTGCCAACGAAGGGGGTGAAAGCGACGACAACGGCGACGACAACGACAACAGCGAAGAAAGTGAAGAAGAAGTAGAAGAAGTAGTAGAAGAAGAAGAAGAAGAAGAGGACCAGCCCCCCGTCAAGCGATTACGGCCTCGTCGTCCGCATCAAGCATCGCCACCAGCAAATTTGAAGTCAACGGCGAGTAATGCTGGGGCTCCAGTCGTTGGCGGGAAGGTGCTACGGCAGCGATCCAGCCAGTCTCAGTCTCAGTCGCAGGCTCAGTCCCAAAAGACCAAAATCACAAGACAAAGCACCGCCGCCACAGGCACCAAGGGCACCGAACGGAAAATCACCCGTAGTACCAATACATCTGGCACCGCCACCCGCAAAACATCCAATCCCAACACCAATCCCAATCCCAAACCCAAAGCGTCCGGTCCCTCCAAGGAGACGAGATCATCATCATCAGCAGCGGCAGCAGCATCAGTTCAAAACCAAAACCCCACCAGAGGATCATCATCATCTCTGAAAAGGAAGGCGAGTGGAGCAGATGGCTCTAGCTCAAAAGGATCAAAAGGAGGAGAAGAGGGAACAAGTCATAGGAAGAGACAGAGACCGCTGAGATATCGGAACGAGGAGGAGTAGGTATTTGACTCGTGATTTTAGATATCTGGTTGTTTGGTTGTCTGGGGTTCTGTTCAATATTCATTGGATCGTTTCATTCGAAGAGGTTCATGACGTGGGGTGAGAAGGGGGGTGAGAGGGGGGTAACAGAGGAGGAAGAGGAAGAGGAGGAAGAAAGGCTAGGGTCTTAGTGAGGAGTCTACAGAATAATAAGCTTACCTACCTAAGCTTAGGCTCAAGACGGAGACAGGCTGAGACTTGGTTATCTGGCTTGGGCTTGGGCTTGGCTTGGCTTGGTGGTAACGAGGAAGAATTTAGTTAGAGGCGAAGAGGAGTTGGAGGTGGCTTGTGAAGAAATGCGCTGTGCTGATATGAAAGACGAGAGAAACGAGGGCAAGAGATGGACATGAAGAGGGGAATGAGAAATGGAGAATAGAGAAGGGGTTTTAGTTTCGCTGCGCGTTTGTACCCAATCATCTTTTTTTGTATTGTACCTACATACCTACCTTATCGTTTTCAAGAATCGGAGTTAGTCGGTTTAGATGGTTAGACACGAATGCAGGGGAGTGTGATGCACCATTTGCTGTCGTGTAGTGGATGATGCTGATAGCAACAATCTAGGTAAGTGATACTGTCATTTCCTCGAGGGGTTCATGGCGATATTGAAACCTTCCGTCATTTGGGCATGGCCCCGTTGTTTTGAAAGCTCTGTTCTGTCGCTCACCACATGTTTTGCTATCCGCTTTGCATGCCATACCATATCTCCTACTCTATTGTAACCCTCTCACCTTCGTGTTTTATCCCGCCGTGTTTCCCTTCTACTAATCCGCTCGCTGTCATGCAAACACTCCCAGCTCTTCCAGCTATTCCCAACTTCATCCATGCTTGAACCCCCTATTTTCCACTTCGCTTTTTATTCTTCCTTCTTACCTAATGTCCGTATCATACCACTATTTCCTCCCCCGCTCAAAAGCCTTACTTATCTCCTTTTTTCTTCTTACCAACCCCCAAAGTAGAACCTCCACCTCCTCAACCCCAAACATATATCATTCCCCCCTCCTTTTCTTGTCCCACTCCTCCTGCTCCCTCCTTTCCTCAAGCGACAATTGTCGTAGCACCGTCACTTCTTTATATTGGTATTTCTGGTAATTTTTCTTCTTCATCTTGCCCCATATGTGTTGTAGGTTGGTGGGTGTTGGGTTTTGTGCGTAGGCTGGGTTGACGGGCTTGAGGTCGGGGTCGGGGTCGGTTTGGGGGTTTGTGTTGGGGGTAGTAGAGGTGGAGGTAGAGGTGGAGGTAGTGACCCACTCGTCCTCATCATCGTCATCATGGTTCGTTTTGTCTTGGTCTCCGTGCTTGTCTGAGCTAGAGCGGCCCTCTTTCGAGGTATCCGAATTTGGTTCGTCGTGATTTTTGGAAACGGTTATTGCTGGAGGAGAATGACGCCGATGAATATCCGTCCTCACCCTCTTCACCCTCCTCGTCGTCGTCATCGTCCCCATCATCATCATCATCATCGTCGTCCTCACTCCCCGAAACCTCCCCCGATTCACTCTGGAACTATCCGCCTAGGAAATCCCCCCGTCTCTCCACCCCGGATGAAACCCCTGTCCGAACCCCCTGTTCCGCGCCCGGACCTGACTTGCAAACTCCTCTAGCTCGATCTTGGTGATATACTGTCCTGGAATGACGACCAACCCTAAATGGCGGGAGGTAAGGTCGACTTTTACTTTTCCTGAGGAGGAGGAGGTGGAGGTGGCGCTCTCGTAGGCCTCTTGGGGAGTTGCGGAAGGGTCTGAGTCTGAAGGTGCAGAGAGTGCAGAGGAGGAGGTGATTGTCGTGCCGGTGGGGGTGGGGGTAACAGAAGAGGAAGTGACGGCGGCGGCCACTTGAGAAGAGGTGGGGAAGCGGTATTCGTAGGCTGAGTGGAGGATTATGTTGCTTTCCTGGGCCACGGGTTAACATGTGAAAGATAACGAGACAAAGGGGGATGAACTTACGGCATCAACGCACTTGAACTGGCCCCAGAACATGCGGCCGTCAGTCACGGAGACTCGGAGGTTTTTGTTGAGGAGGGAGTTGAGCCAGTCTGTGGCGTCGTCCCTGTCTTCGGGGAGGAAGGTGGTGTTTGGGTCTTCGGACATGGTGAAGGATGTTTCTTTATGTGAAAGTGGTGTACAGATTGTCGCCGGTGTGGTTTCGATGAGTGAGCAAGGCGGATGAAAGAGATAGGTGCCTAATCGGTGAATGTCTGATGATGCTCGTATGCCGTGTGTAATGAATAGCGGATGTCGCTACTGAAATAAGCTTTCCAATTGTATTTCTGATCGAACCAAGCAACCCCCGAACAAGTTGTAGAGCCCGTTGATGTGTTCAGCGCCCGCGCCGTCTTGAGCTTCTGATGTTGACTTTCTGTTGATGTTCAGGGTTGAGGAAATGGGCTGTTGTTGACCACTGCCAACCCTGGGCCCAAGCTCCTATCCCCGGAAAGTGCATCGTGGGGCAGGCATCGGGCTTATTGCATAAACAGAATTGAGATAAGCGATAAGAACTAGCCGGCAGGCAGCAGCCGGATCGCCGTCAACAATCATGGCTTCGATGATGAGCGTGAACTTGGCACTTTGTCATCACTGGATTTCTTCACGCCACCACTACCGTACACGTGAATGTGATTGTTTACCTCTGGTCTATTTCATTGCCATGAGTTTCCTCACTCGACCAAAGTGAAAAACCACACCTTGTCCGGTCATTGCGACTGTCTCTTTGCCCTGACGTCACTCCCCGTTAGCGTGTTTATCCCGACTAACAGCGCCCTTCGTTGAGCACCTTGACGACCTCCCTTACATCAACACCACCACCACCATCACCACCACCACCACCAGCATTACAAGTCACAGCACCAAGTAAACACCCACCATGGGTGTGAACGGCCTCTGGACCGTCCTCCAACCCTGTGCCCGCCCAACCAACCTCTCCACCCTCAACCGCAAACGCCTCGCCATCGACGCCTCCATCTGGATCTACCAATTCCTCAAAGCCGTCCGCGACAAAGAAGGCAACGCCCTTCGCAACTCCCACGTCGTCGGCTTCTTCCGTCGAATATGTAAACTACTCTGGTACGGCATCAAGCCCGTCTTCGTCTTCGACGGCGGCGCCCCCGCTCTCAAGCGCGCCACTATCCAGGCTCGCCGGCGAAGACGAGAGGGCAGACGCGATGATGCCACTCGAACAGCAGGGAAGCTACTAGCAGTACAGATGCATCGTATGGCAGAGGAAGAAGAAGAACGGAGGCGCAAAAGGGCAGAAGCACGAGAAGGCAAGAAGACGGCAGCAGCAGCAGCAGTAGCAGAAGAAGAGGAGGAACAGGAAGTACTCCCGGACATGGACAAGGTTGTATACGCCGACGAACTAGGCATGTCCAAACAAGAACGCCAAAAGTCTCGACGCTTCCACAAGCAAGACGCCTACCATCTTCCTGACATCGACGGCGGCATCGAAGCCATGGGCAAGCCTGATGATCCGCGCATCATGTCTGTCGAAGAACTCGAAGAGTACGCTAGACAGTTTGAGAACGGGGAGGATATCAACTTGTACGACTTTAGCAAGATCGACTTTGATGGCGAGTTCTTCAAGTCTTTGCCGCCGGCTGATCGGTACAACATCTTGAATGCGGCGAGGTTGCGGAGCAGATTGAGAATGGGGTTGAGTAAAGAGCAGCTGGACGTCATGTTCCCTAACCGAATGGATTTCAGTCGGTTTCAGATTGAGAGAGTCAAGGAAAGAAATCACTTGACGCAAAGGTTGATGTACGAGATGGGCATGACGGGCCTGGACCTGACGCTGGCGGTGAATGCCACAAGGGTGGCGGGCGATCAGAATAGGGAGTATATCCTGGTCAAGAACGAGGGTGCCGAAGGCGGGTATGCGTTGGGTGTGGTGAGTAAGGAGAAGGATAAAGGACAGATGACGAATCCGATTGATGTGGATGAACTAGAGTTTCAGTTTCAGGGCAAGGGAGAGGAAGAGGAGGATTCGGAAGAGGATGTCGAGTTCGAGGACGTGCCAATTGAAGGGTTAAATCGGTTGCCCAAACTTAGTAGGGCTGCTGGTTACAGGGCGAGGGGGATTGCGAACGCGAGGAGGCAGTTTTATGAGTCGAGACAGAGTGAAGAGGCGGAGGACGAGGACGAAGATGACGAGGCTTTGTTCGTGGACAACGGACAAGATGCCGTCTATGGAGAGGCGGATGCGATGCAAGAAGCTGATGAGGAGGAAGACCTCAACAAGGCTATTGCCATGTCTCTTCAGAATCAGCATGGTATTGGTATGCAGCCAGAAGAGAAGGAGGATGAGGATATGGAGTTTGAAGATGTTACTCCCCCAGAGTGGACGCAGAAAGCGGTGGAAGCGCCCAAGCCCATTGTTAGCACCAGTGGTCGCATGGTTGCACACATTGTCAACAACAGGGCGAGTGCCGCCGTCCCAAGACGAAGGGACAGTACCGACAGCAGTGACAGCGAGGGAGATATCCGAGCAGCCATGGCCGCCGCTAGGAGGAAGCAAGCAAAGGTTCCCGCGCCAAGGCCAGTGGTCGAAAACCGTCCTGCCCCTGCCAACACTCCCTTCAAAGGTCCACTTCCATTTGAAAAGCTGAACTGGAAGCAACTGCTCGGGGGCAACCGACCGAAAGCACAACCTCAGAAGGAGAAGGTGTCTGAACCACCCAAGCCTGTTGAAACTGGTGAGATGGAACCTCAGTCTGATGACGATGCTGGCGGTTTTGAGAAAGAGCCGAAGGATGCTCCTCGTCCATTACCGCCATGGCTAGCGAATAACGACGAAGACATTCGCGACACTGTACGGAAGCAGCGAGAACAGGACAGGCAGATGGCTGAGGAGGATGAAGACTTGGCTCGAGAAGAGCAGGCCAGAATTCGAAAGCAACGAGAGGATGAAATCCTGATGATTGAGTCATCCGATGAAAGTGATGGTGATCTGGAGATTCTCGATGCTCCTCCATCGCCCAAGAAGCCCACTCAGATGCCAAGGACTAGCTTGTCTTCTTTGGACGACGAAGTCTCGCAAGAACCAGTTGAAACCAGCCGTCGATCACCCTCCCCTAATGAGGAAGAAGGTGACGACATTGTGTTTGAAGACGTAACCCTTCCATCTCAAACCATGACTCTTTCCTTCGGTCCACCTGCCACCCAAGCTGAAGAAGACGCCCAAATCGAAGCCGACCTCTTCAAAGACGTCCTTCCTCCACCTGCCCAACAGGAACGAGTTGAAGGTTTGGCGGCGGTTCCAGACGATACCACCACTGACATCGTCCCCGACCCAGACGCCCCCGCCCTTTCCGAATTCGAAGACGACTTCAGCGACCCCGAAGAACAAGAACTCCTTGCTTCCCTCGCCCAAGAAGCCGAAGAACACGCCCGCTTCGCCACCCAACTCAACCACAAGACCTTTCAAGAAAACCAAGCCGCCTACGAACAAGAGCTCAAAGCCCTGCGCACCCAACAACGCAAAGACCGCCGCGACGCCGACGAAGTCACCCAAATCATGATCACCGAATGCCAAGCCCTCCTCCGCTTCTTCGGCATTCCCTACATCACCGCCCCCATGGAAGCCGAAGCCCAATGCGCCGAGCTGGTCCGCCTCGGTCTCGTAGACGGCATCGTCACCGACGACTCGGACACTTTTCTCTTCGGCGGCACCCGCGTCTACAAAAACATGTTCAACGGGAACAAATTCGTCGAATGCTATTTATCCTCCGACATTGAGCGTGACCTTTCCCTATCTCGCGACCAACTCATTGCCCTCGCCCAACTCCTAGGGTCAGACTACACCGAAGGTTTATCGGGCGTCGGCCCCGTCACAGCCGTGGAAATCCTCTCGGAATTCCCCCCTGAACCTACACCCATCTCGTCCCTCACGACCTTCAAAGAATGGTGGACCAAAATCCAATCGTCCCCTCAACCAGACCCGTCTTTACTCTCCACTCCGTTTAGGCGCAAGTTCCGAAAAGCCCAAGCTACTAAACTGTTCTTGCCCGTCGGGTTCCCTAACCCGGCTGTCTTTGATGCGTATCTCCATCCAGAAGTCGATTCGACCCCGGAGCCATTTCAATGGGGCGTCCCGGACCTCGAGGGGCTCAGACAGTATCTGATGCAGACGATTGGATGGAGTCAGGAGAGGACGGATGAGGTGTTGGTTCCTGTAATAAGGGATATGAATAAGCGGGAGAGGGAGGGGACGCAGAGTAATATCACGAGGTTTTTTGAGGGCGGGCTGGGGTCGGGGACTGTGAGGAATTTGGGTGGTGGAGGAGAGGAGGCATTTGCGCCGAGGAGAAATGAAGTCAAGGGAAGTAAGAGGATGGCGGAGGCGGTGGGGAGGTTGAAGGCTAGAAATAATAAGGGGAGTGGAGGAGGGGGACTGAGTTTGGCGTTGCCGGTTATGGCGATGGGGCCGTTGAATGGGGAGGAAGAGAATGGGAAGAAAAGGAAGAGAGGAAAGGGGAAGGGGAAGGGGAAGGGGAAGAAGGCTGCTGCTGTGGAGGAAGAAGAAGAAGAAGAACAAGAGGATGCGGATGGTGAGAAGGAGGATGATGTGCAAGAGGGAGATGAGGATGAGGATGATGAGGATGTTGTTGGTTCGAGCTCGAAGGGGAAGAGGGGCGCGGCAAGAGGAAGGGGGAGGGGAAGGGGAAGGGGGAAGAGAGCGAGGGCGTAGGTGCCGTGCTGTTAGTGCAGAGACACCCAATTTTGGAGCTTGTTGACATCTGAATTCATGTATTTGCTCATGCAAGTCTGTGTCATTATTCATCTGTCATACGGTAACTCGATTCAGTTGCCAATGTCTCCAGGTGTATTCAGGTACGGCGGCATTGTCAATCACTTCCCCCCTATTCCCCCGGCAAAGAATGTTAACACGTCGATGTTAGTCATGAATCTTGTTGTATGAAGAACCCTCCCTAACCCTACAAACAGAACTACGATGAGAACTCCCTACGACGATTGAACACTGCTTGGACACTCTAAGATATCTCAACGCCCACTACGCTCAATACTCCTACAAAACAACATTTCACGGAATTATTTTATTCACTTTCGAAAGTCCTCCTATAGGGAGCCAAACTAAGTATTATTCCCATATCGAGCATCTTTACTAAGTACCTAGTTCTACGAGTTTGTCGCAACAGCTAGAGGTTCCCATTCACTACAACTTTTATATTGCTTGCATCACAAACACCTCATTTATTCCACGCACGCACACACACACACACAAGCACATATCAACCTAAACAAGCTGACTGACTGAATCATTGACTCCTCTTGATGACTCCTACCAACAGGTACCCTCCCTGGTCGAACGCCACGATGCTCAAAGCCAGACATTACCTAGGTACCTACCTGGGTGACGGCCCAGCAGCTGAAGAGAAGGGGAGGCAAACCTTCAACCGTGAACGCTCGCCTATATGCTTTAGTCTGTTATATATCGAACGGGTACCTACCGGTATATAAACCCTTTGATGTCCCTGTCTACTGAACCCATCTGTGTTTTACTTGGACCATTCTGTGTTGCATGTGCAGGGCATGCTGTCGGCGCTGTGGTTATATCTACCTACCTGTAGGTAGGCAGGTACCCAACCCATGTTCTGAAATACGGGACGATTTTCGAGCTTCGTACCGTGGGCCAGACTGTCTTCGTTCGTGCGTGCGTACCGGCTGGAAAGAGATGGAGATGAACGGTGAAAAGTGGCTTACTTCGCTACCTGGGTGGTGTTCTGGTTCATTACGGGCTTCACTGTGTATGGCTTGGGTGAATATTCCTGGGAGCTCACCCAACGATCGAAATCCCTACGCTGAAACCTAAGTGAAGGCGTGGAGGGTGTAGGATTGAGATGCTTGCTGGCTGTCCGGATATGGGACGTTTGTGGTGAAGGGTTGGACTCCCTTCACCGTCCACGGACCAGCAGATAGTGCGTGGAGATGGATTCTCCATCGTCCGGTCTTGACTGTTTGGAAGGAAGGTTCAAAAACGCGAAGGTGTGGAGTTTGAAGCTCTTGGGAATCCCTTCACTGGGGGTGGGACTGGCATCCGAAGTCGTTCCCGGGACATTGAAGGTCGTTTGGGACCTGGCTGTTCTGACGGCTGTGCAGGTGAATGGTTGAGGGTTGGATTCATTGCAGTCCTCCAGGTCAGAAATAAATTCCCAGGACCCCCTTATATAAGAACCAGGAAATCTCTTTTCGTTGCTTCTTCCCTGGACCATCGGTTACCCTGATCTTGAGCAGCTAGCGAGATATCGACCGCTTACGGCTGAAACACTTGGACTCCTTACTCGCGCTCTTGAGTGTTTACCATGGCTTCCAACATCTACAAAGTCATCATGCTTTTCGTGGCCTTGCTCTCCCTTTTCGGAGTTACAAGTGCCATGCCCACTAGCCTCGATACTATCAACAACAGTATCTCCATCATCGACGGTTCTTCTTCCTCCAGTCTTCACGCTCGTTCCTTTCGCAACTCTGCCCCCTACGCGGACCCTCACGCCCAGGACCCCCTTCAGCTCGTCTCCTCCGACGACCTCTGCCAAAACAGGACCTTCGAGGATGGCGACTACTACTGTTCCCGCGTCGACCAAGTAATTTACACAAACGTCGCTCACGACGGTGACTACCGTGAAGTCGCTTACATGAACGACGAGACAGGCGAGTGTCGTTTTGCCGAAGTTAACCACACTTTCTCAGGAGAACTCGCCCCGTTCAACGAACCGGTAAGTCCTACATAGCTCCTGAACAGACACCACCAATACCTACCTACCAATAGCTAACACAAGGACAACAAACAGGTCGCTCTCATCTTCCGTGGCCCCATCCACCTCAAGCAACTCGGCATTTATACCCCCGACGGAACCACCTACTCTCGCATCGGCCACTACAACGCCGCCCAACAGACCACCAAGGGAATTTCCTTCCTCGGCAACCGCGGCGGTGAAGGCTCCGGCGCAGTCAGTCAAACCTTTGGCGCTTCCCTTTCCTTCATCAACCCCCACGCCACCGGCGGGGCCGCGTCTCCCCAGGTTCTCGCCAACGAGGTCATCACGGGTGAATTCGTCGTCATGACAGACCAGGACTGCGATGGTTCTTGCGGCTATGTCCGGCCTGGTTCCGTGGCTAAGAGTATGTCTCTCCTTCCTTCCTCCCTCCCATCTCCTTCCCTCCATCCCATCTGCTTCATCTCTATCCCTTTTCCCCCGTTGTCAGCACCGCTAACATGACAAAAAAAGAGGGATTCCCCGGTACATCCCGGATCTTCCTCATGGAATTCTCCATGCCTCACACCGGCGGAGCCGACATGCCCGCCATCTGGCTCGAGAACGCCCGCGTCCCGCTGACGCAACAATACGGCGCTTGCTCATGCTGGACTTCGGGGTGCGGCGAGTGGGACGTCTTTGAGATTCTGCATGCTGGGTACGAGCGCGCCGAGACAACGCTCCATTTGGATCCGCCTGCTGGTGACGCGAATTGGTTTCAGCGCCCTGTTGATCAGAATGCTCCGATTAAAGTGGTTGTCTGGTTTGATGGGGGTGTTGATGGGGGTACTGCCAGTGTGAAGATCTTGGGGGGGAGCGATGGGGTAGTGTTTGGGGAGAGACTTGCGGAGGAAGAGGTGGGAGCGCTCAAGAAGAGGAGTAAGGGGGTGGTGAGTGAGATTGATTATGCGGTTAGGAGGGGGGAGGCGTGAGGATGTGAGGTTGCTTAAGCGGCGATTTGGGAATGATGAGGTTGGCTGGGTTGTGGTGGTGAGGTTGAGATCTGGTTGATCGTCGGGATATTTCAAGGGAAAAAGCACGGCGTTTGGGGCCTGAGAGGGGAATCAGATGCTTACCTACCTAGGTAGTGATTTGGTGATACCCAGGAGTTACGGTAGCTGTGAGCTCTTTATCTATTTCGTTCCCTCTGAGGTACTCTTTCCTTTCCTCTGCTATTTTTTGTCGTTTGCTACCTCTATCTACAATTATTTCCCCTGCCATCTTCGTTCCCTTTTCTTGTTGGTTTTGCTTCCTGCTATGCCATGCTAGGCCAACATTCCATTACAGCCAGATGTCATAGTTTTACATCTCCAGTCTCTTCGGTAAACGAATTATTAGATGCAGGTACTGGTATTTCACTGGATGGATTCAAGATCTTATGAGAATCATCATTAGAGAATTATGGCATTCGGCACAATTTCTTGTTCATAACGTCTTCATGGCCTGTACTGGTCAAACTTGTTGGAAGCACGCATTTTCCAGAGTGGACTTGGTCCAGACCAAGTCATACCATCATGATGTCTCTCTGCTTCTATCTTTTACATATGTCTTTCAAGCCTTATTTCGTGTCCTGCCGACTTCCATCTATATTTCTTCCAACCAGAATATATTGCAATGAAGCCGACGGACCTTATGAGGTGAAGGGTTATATGCCGCCTTCGGAAAAAGGTTTGACGGCCCGGACACTGATCTTGACAGCCACAGACCGTCCTGAGATTGACCACTGCGGCAGAAGGTCGGATAACTTCCAGTGAAGAAAAGGCCAACAGGTAAAGTGGCACGACAAGAACACACCCGCCGGAAGGTAGGGCAGTGAAGTGGATGGCAGAGCTCCAAGTCTGTGCCGTCCGAACCTGTCAGGTTAAGATCCGTTCGCATATCACTTGGCATATTCTTCGAGTTTCTCCCAGGAGGCTCCATATCATTGTGAAGGGGCTCCAGAACTTCAGACGGAGCCTTGCCCCATACCTCATCCCCATCTCGGACGTGTAGAATGGGGAGTGAAGGTCCCAAAACCCTCTCTAGTGGAGACTTCCCGCCTTATATATCAGACCAAGATCCCTTCACCTGGACGACCACACCGTTTACTCCATTTCACATCCCGTCTTGGCCTTGGGAGTGAATGGTAAAGCCATGGAATCCACCTAGAATCTCGGTCGTGAAGGGAATTGGAAACCTCTCCTGGAATACCATAAAAGGACCCTTCCTCCTCCTACAACCAAACTTTTCCCTTCTTCAGCAACAGCGAGATCACTCTAGCCATTAGTGATCAGCACCGCGAGGCCACACATATCTCAACAGCCACAGCACCTTTGAGGATCCAGCCATGATTCTCAACCATCTTATCCAGGTCCTTGTGACCTCCCTTACCTTCGGCACCATTCCTGGTGCCAACGCCTTCGCCATCGTTCGCGATGGTTCTTCGTCTGTCTCTCGCTCGATTCCCTCTCTTCACGGTAACTCGACCATCCTCGCTCGTCAGGGTGATGTCTCCCCGTACAACACCGATCCGGATTTTAATCCCCACTTGAACGTCCCTGACATCTCTTCCGACGACCTGTGCCGCGACACCAAACATGAAGAGGAAAATGGTAACTGGTACTGCCAGAAGGTAGACCAGATCATTTACACCAAGGTGACCAAGCCTGGTACCTACGATGCCGTTACCTTCATGGACAACCAGTCCGGAGCTTGCACCAAGACCCCCAAGCAGTTCAGCGGAGACCTTGCTCCGTACAATGAGCCTGTAAGTGATAGATGTTCAGTTTGGTGCCAGTGTCCCAAGTAACATCAGAAAGAGACTAACCATCTTTGCTTCAGCTGTCATTGGTCTTCCGCGGACCGCTCCGCCTCAAACAATTCTCGGTTTACCTTCCCGGTGCTGGCGGTTCTTATAACCGTATCGGCGAGTACCACGCCGCCACCCAGACGCGCAAGGGCATCATGTTTCTTGGCAACCGCGGTGGTGCTGGCTCCGGTGTTGTCTCGGGGTAATATACCATTCATGAACCCTCTCGAGATACCTCAAACTAATGGATTCGTTTTTATACAGCCCCTTCGGCGCCTCCTTGGCATATACCTCTGCCGACGGCCTCGGTGGAGCTTCTTCGCCTCAAACCATCCATGATGCTCCTCTTGTGTCCCACTCTGAATTCATTGCAACCACAGACCAGCCGTGCGATGACACTTGCGGCTACAGGCGCCCTGGAGCTGTGACGTACAGTAAGTGATCATCTTCCCGACATTCTGGAAGTCCAATTGCTAACCACCCCCGTCCACAGAGGGTTTCCCAGGATCCGCTCGAGTCTTCCTCTTCGAGTTCAGCATGCCAGATGAGCCCCAGCACAACGGCGACGATGGCAACAAGCCCGCCATCTGGTTGCTCAACTCACGGATCCCCAACACCGCGCAATATTTCAGCTGCAACTGCTGGTTGTCCGGGTGCGGTGAACTGGACGTCTTCGAAGTCCTGGCGCCTGGCCAGACAAAGGCGATGTCCACTTTCCATTTGGGAGACAACGGAAAGTCCGCTGGAGATGCGAACTACTTCCAGCGGCCTAGTGGCGGCCCCATCAAGGTGGCTTTGGTCATGGATGCCACCAAGGGTGGTACAGTTAGCATCAAGAACCTGGGCGCCAGCAATGGCGAGCGCTTTGGTGGATCTCTCTCGGCCAGCCAAGTCGAGGATCTCAAGGCCAAGAGTGGCGTGGTCTCGGAGTTCACCTACCCGAACCATTAAGTTAGGGGCGGATGCAAAGGGGAGGGAATAGCTGAAGGAAAGATGCATAGATAGATAGTGAAGAGCTCTAAGGAGCAATGGGATTAGATCTGGGGTTTCAGCATGGCGTCGAGGAGTTTGTTTTCTTTCCAGAGATACCCCTCTTTCATAGGCGCGTAAGCAGAATAGTACTTTCCCTTTCCCCGATCATGTTCATGCGCTCTGGTAGCGCTTGCATTCTGATACCTTCATGCATAACGCAATGCAATCCATATGTTTCTCTCGCTTCACAGCCACGAAATTTCAAATTGCACATGAAGTCCTGTAAACTCTCACCACTTTCTCTATCGTACGATGGACCACGAAGGAGCGATCGTCTACGACAGACGCCACGGGCACTCAAATAAGGGGAAAACGCCAAAGCATGTGTTTCTGGTACGCGAACATGACACTGAAGTTATTCCCTTCCCGGCTCGGTTCACAAGTGAGCTTGAACGCTTTCGGACACTCGCGCGTAACGAGCCGTTTTGAGATCATTGGAAATTACCTAAAACTTGCTTTTCTGACTTACGGACTGGAAAAACTATACCCTGCCGCTATTTGTTAGCTAGGCAGCTATATAATTAGCAAACCCATGAGTTTGAATGAGTAACGCCCTGCTTGGTGGGAAGCAGATACACTACGGGCATCGCCGACAATGGGTCTGCTGTATCAGATCGTTCAAGCTCGTATGTATGAGCCGTATTCAAACGGCTTCCGCCAGCCCTCACCACCAGGGACGACTCATTTATAGAGTTTTGTATCGGTCCAAGTCTTGTACATGCGCCCAGCTTGTGGGTGAATTTTTCCCAGTATGCTTACAGTTCTGAGCCCCTTGTAGTGGTCTACTGGGCTTCATAGTCAAAGGAATCCATCTTGATCACTCGCGAAGCCGCTATATCAAGCCGCCCCATCGTTCGTTTGGAATCCCTTGCCAGGGAATCCAACCCCTGGCGTCTTCCGTGCAATGCACAATAGCAGTCTGAGCAGGACTCCGCCCCGACAGCAAAACCTTCGAGATTTTACACTTCCCCCCCCCTTCACTTAATGCCGTCCCGTCGTCAAAGGGCCGGGGTCCCCACATCCCCAACCCTTCACGCACGCGGGACCCTTTACCACCGCAGCCGTTTGCTTCAGAACACTCGACGATATCTCGGCATGAAGGTTGCGGTACGGTACCCTGAACATTCAGCGGGAATGTGCATTCACTCCTATTTTCCGTTTCCATTTCCGTTTCTAACTTCCGGAAAAAGTGGATTGCGGACGGCCGGCAAGGTTTGAGATGCCTTCACTCGTGGCCGTAGCCGGTGGCGATGGCAGGTGAAGTGTACTTGGATATTTTGAGTGGAGTTTCTGGAATATTTCCAAGAGTAGTATATAACCATCCTATTCTCCCCTTCTCTGGAATCTTTTGACCATCACCATCTCGGACATCGACATTCTCAACCCTTCGAGAACAGCAGTCAACTCCGAACAGTCAAGGCCGACTACAGTCGACCACCTAACAACGCCATGAAGTTCAACATGGCGAGCTTCATCATGGCTCTCGTAGCCCTCCTCTCTTTGGGTGCGTTCGTCAACTCGATCGCCATCAACAACACCCTGTCCTTCATCTCCCACTCTGGTCTTGCTTCTCGGTCTCACGCTGCTCTCCTCCCCCGCGCCCACGCTGGTCCTCCTGATTCCGGTGTCTTTAACCCCCATTCCGTAACCCCCGACACCCCCGCCGAGCCCAGGATGCAGACCGGCAGTCAGGACCTCTGCAAAGGCCACGACACAGATGAGAACGGCAACCACTTCTGTCAAAACGTCCAACAAGTCGTGTACACTAATGTAAACACTCCGCCCGGCCAGTACAAGGCCGTGACATCGATGAGCAAGGACACAAGGCGCTGTGACATGGCTTTCAGGTCCTTCGGTGGAGACTTGGCTCCTTTTAACGAACCAGTAAGTTATCCTCCGCCTCCATCTCAATCCCACTTCCTGTACTGATGGCGATCCAAAACCAGATCTCCATGCATTTCCATGGCCCTCTTCACCTGAAACAGTTCGCTTTCTACCTCCCCGGCGCCGGCGGCTCCTACGAGCGAAAAGGCTACTACCACGCCGCCTCCCAAACATCCGAGTACCTCACTTTCATGGGTAATTTTGGCGGCCAAGGTTCCGGCGTCTTCAGTGAAGCGTGGGGTGCCTCTCTCTCCTTCGCAAACGCCCACGGCGACGGCGGTGCCTCGAGTCCTACCATCCTCGCCGACGCTCCTGTCTCTGGTCAAGCTGACTTCTCCATCTTCTCCTCCGATTCTTGTGCTGACGGCTCCTGCGGCTACATCCAACCCGGCGCCACAGCGCGCAAAGGGTTCTCTGGTACTTCGCGCATCTTCCTCTTCGAGTTCTCGATGCCTCACGACGCTGCGAACCCCGGCTTCGACAAGCCAGCCATCTGGCTTCTGAACGCCCGGATCCCGTACACACAACAGTACGGCACCTGCTCGTGCTGGGACTTTGGCTGTGGAGAGTTCGACATTTTCGAAGTGCTGAATAACGCGGACACCAAGGCCTTGAGCACGTTCCACTTGAATCCGTTTGGGGCAGGTGATCCCAATTGGTTCAAGAGGCCGGTAGACGGGCCGATCAAGGTCTTGCTGTACATGGATCCGAGCGAGGGCGGAAAGGTCAGCGTGAAGATGTTGGGGGGCAGTGATGGAAGTAGGTTCGGAAATACCCTGTCAAAGGGAGAGGTGGATGGGTTGAAGGCGAGGAGTGGTGGGTTGGTCAGCGATTTCGCTATTCGCCGTCCTTAGAGGTAGGCGAAGAGGACGTCCGAGAGAGGGACCCCAATGGATAGAAGACCTAGACTGTATGGTGTCTGGGGATGGAACTAGGGGTAAGAGCTAGATTTGGGAAGGCAAAATGAGGGTCCTGAAATGGTTGAGAGAAAAGATTGGGTTTGGCGTTTTTGTTGCTTGCTTTCCTCGCACGAGATACCCATTTGCTTTTTTGGCACTTCTTTTCCACATAGCGACCACAGAAGTCGTGCAGGTAGTAATTCAGTCCATATGAACCAAAACCCACGGTCCCACGTTGCTCTTGAGCTTTTCGTGATGTTCTGCGATTCGTTGAAACCTTTTCCTCTCCCATAAGTGAGCTATACGTCCCCCTCAGATCTTACCGAGTTGTATGGTCCACGATTCGAAGTTAAAAGTCGGTAATCAACTTGGATCTGGTTTCTCGGACTCTTGTCATTATATAATAATCCGTTTGGACGAGGTGAGTATGCCAATTGAGCAGTCAAAGTTCCATCGCTGCGTCGTTCGAGTCACCACTCAGCGGACACCTACAAAAGGAGTGTTTGCTTACTTACCTGCCATTTCCATGAGTCTCCCAAAGCAAAGAGGCCCCTCCAGTATCTAACCACGATACTTGCGGTCAACCAAGGCTTGAGTTTGGCTAGAACACCGGAAACTTTGACAGCACTTCGCTTTCTCCCCAACTAACGGGGACCCAAGTTGCACCTACCCTTCCGTCGATGCAAATATCCATATTGCACACCCCTCATATTTCCGTCAGAACAGTTGCAACAAAAAACACCAAGCAGAAGCTGACAAAATTCGCGAGTGACCAATGTGAGAAAGCCTACCAGCTTTACTCCTACCGTCCCGTTGATTCTTGTTTGTGGTACATAAGCCAACATCCGCCAAGCATCTCCACTAACAAAACAAAAACCCAAGGCGGATGTTCCTGCTGGGACTCCGGTTGTGGAGAGTGGGACATTTTCGAGATTTTGCACGCCGGCAAGGAAAAGGCCGAAACCACCTTCCACTTGGACCCTCCCGCCGGAGACGCGAACTGGATGCAGAGACCTGTCGATCAGAACGCCCCTATCAAAGTAGCAGTGTGGTTCGATCCGGTGGATGGCGGCACGGCGAGCGTCAAGGTCTTGGGAAGGAGTGATGGGGTCGAATTTGCCGGGCAATTAAATGCGGGTGAGGTGGGAGACCTGAAGAAGAGGAGTGACGGGGTGGTTAGTGAGATTAATTATGCCGTTCGTCGTGGTCAGGCTTGATGGGTTGGCAACATGAGGTAGAGGTGTTGTTGGCGCGACAGGGAGGGGACTGGGATGAGTATGGAGAGTAGGTAGGAATCGAAGTGGTGGTCAACGGCTTTGTGATACCCATGATCAGACAGATTTACCTAACATTGATCCTCAGTGCACGAGCATGGTGTCTCGTTGGGTACCATGGAAAAGACCGGCGTGAACTGCTCTCCAGACCCTCAGCGCGTTGTACCTTCTTGCAATGAACCAGTTGAACAGATTAGCAGTTGCCCAACACACCACAAGTCAACTCCGACCCTGTACCTTCCATCAAGCTCATATCTCCACCGCGACTTCCGCACCCATGACACTCGTTCCTTCCCTCGTAAACCGATCACAAATCGCCAGCCAACATCCGGTGCATTCCACACCTCGCTCCGTCCCAATCCCATCAAAAACAAAAGCAACAAAACACCAAACCACCCATCACCAGTAACCAAACACCAAAAAGCATCGTCAAAAGCTGCAAAAAAAAGAATTCCAAACGACGCGAGCAGGATTTGAACCTGCGCCTCCGAAGAGATTTGATAGGACCTCGACGCTAGTTCGAGTCAAACACCTTAGGCCACTCGGTCATCGCGCCTTTATTTCTTCTGTGTTGAGAAATCTGGATGAGAGTGGGCTTATGTACCACCAAATATGTGGGATATTTTCCAGACAAGGCTGGCAGCAAGTCGTCTCACGTCTGTCACTTGCGTTGTTCGTCTGCTCGTTACATTGTGTTGAAATTCATACAAGGGGTTATCTCTTGTTGGTGTGTTCTGGAGGTGTTTAATTAATAGGGGGTGCAGCTTGGATTTGCGGTGGTCAAGGGTGGGGAAATGAGGTGTCGAATTCGTTTGGCTGTTGTAGCCTACATAAAATGACATGGACTGGGCAGATACTACTCTGTGATACTTGTTCCTTTATTGCATGCATAAATACACTCTTTGGATATCTGTCTTCAGTCAATGGTGACTTGAAGATTTGCTGACTGTGGGTCAAGATCGGGTGCCTCCAAAGGTTGTGGACAGATGTCCTCCGTTGTGACTGAGGCGATCGCGAACCGACTGGACGAGTTTCTGAAATTGGTCCTACTTCGCCAATGATACAAGGCATCTTTTTCAAGCAAGTGAAGAAAGCATAGGTTGATTCCAGGAGTTGGTCGATTGAAGAGAGCCTGTCTTGTTCTGCCCATCTATGCTCATATAATGGCGATAGTTCTCTTCGGAATGAGATCAAGGACCTTTTTCTCCAACTTCAGCATGCGAAAATACCCTACACGCTGAAAAACCGCATCTTGATCGACGCCTTCGACTTCTGGATTGTTGACAATCTGACACAGAATTGACCCCTCAAACTCTTCCGAATAACGATCAAACATCAACGGAACCATGAAAAGTCGAATGCGACCTTGTTTCGCCAGATCCTCGAGCAGGACCCTCTTCCGCACCGCACTTGTGTCCTTCAAAATTCCATCCTCAGACACAGTATGCGGAAGCGGATCTAGATAGCTGATGAAATGGTCTCTGGAATCACCATCACCTTCGTCCCAATATGTTTCAAACTGCAGAGTGTCGAATGCCTCCCGAAGACGGCTATCTAGGGGCGTAGTTGTAGTAAAGCCCCCTAGTCGTGACCAGCCGTGGGTGAGAGGTCCAATAAGATGGGATTCCAGGTGCAAAATGCCGCCCTTTACCGTACCGGCCTTGTACTGTTCGTCCTCGAGAACTACCTTAACATCCACTACACGACAAGCCGGTTCAAGGAACCCATTCACCTCAACCGGGCCCTCTACTGATACCCAAGACCAGGAGGGGGCACGATATGGATGGGGCCGGTACCTGCGAACTTGGCCGCTTTTCTCATTGGACTTCGTATACCAACCTAATGCTTGTGGTAAATGAGGTCGCCAAATGCCGGCGAGATAATGATTTTTATCAAGAGAAAAGTCTTGACTTTGTATGATGCTGAAAGCCTGTGCAAGCCCCGATAGCGCGGGTAGCTTATCATATAGGTAGGTTAGATTGCAGCGGGAGTATCGCTTGACAAGGTGTTCCCATAGCCTTTCCATGTCACGGCCGTAGACAGAATGATGACCATGACCGTTCAATGCATAGTATTGGACCCTTTCCCATTCTCCATATCCGAAATGGGGAAACACCTCCGGAAACACTTCGCAAGCAAACATATCATGGCATTCCCACCAGAGCTGGTTGCAAGTCATGAAGAGATGACGCCTCGATAAAACGCGTTCCTGCACAACCCAAGCGCGTAGATTGAGCGGTGAGTTGGTTATCTCCGAGTTGTACATGCTAGCATTTACAAGTTTGAATTTGATCCGATGGAGGTATGATGGAAGTGGACCAAGCTTGCGCTCCTGGTCATCGTGATGGAGAATACCAGTCCACTGAGGTTCGATATCCAATGGCACAAAGATGCCTCGATCTCTGCGCTGGAAGCTCGCCTCTGAAGAATCTGCCGCGGCTGAAGCGCAAAGATTGAGAGAACTGTTGGCATAAACGTCCTCCATCATGGCGGCCTCTTTGGCCCAATCATTGTGGCTATTCTGTATGATGCACAGTGAGTCAATCCAAATGTATCGAAATCCAAGGGCTAGGCTGACAGAGATTGCCTCCCGATAACTGGTCGGTAAACTTTGAACTTGAATGAGTGAACGTAGTTCTTCGATGTTGCCTCTCGTCCCTTTGTCTAGGTCGTCTTGGAGTAGTTTGAGAGCCTCGGATTTCCCCCAGCAGTGCGAGAAAGCGACATAAGCATGACTCTTTGCCTCTTTCTTGGTTTCAATGAGCTGTACCGAGGACTCGTCGTGGATGTAGATGAGCCTTGTAGGGTTGAAGGCAGGATCAACTGGTCCACATGATTCGTGGTTTTGGAGACAGTCTTCTAGCCAGGATCTTGCAGTTTCCATGACTGCTTGATCAGTAAGGCTGGCACCAGGATTGACAGAACAAATCGGCGCATCCGGACCTATATTGGCGAAGCGTTATTACTTGCACGGTCTCCTCACCCTGGTTCTGGTTCGTTTTGTCAGAATGCGGCCTAGACTTACTTGCTGTACTTATGAGGTTGAACTCAGAGTGGTAATGCTCGGACCAGATGGCGAGAAATCCATGCTTTGGATAGGGACCGCAGTCTCGAGAATTTTCTTGGGGACTCATGTATAAACTCCAAGAAAATGCATCATCATCATCATCATCCTCATTGAAGACATTGTATTGAGCCATGGCCTGGGCGACAACACTACTGCAGATATAGCATCCTTCCTCAGCGGATCGCCTGAGGCTGGCAAGAGACTGATGATGAGGCATGAAACCTGCGTCAACTAGCAGCCCGGTGAATATGCCATTGCACACGGCGCACAATCTGGTCGACATGGTCGCTAGTAAGTCTCAATCTCAGTCGTGTGGTGACATGCGGGGATGGCCAGCGGGCGGTCGTCGGCTTCTGGTGCGCTTCTTCCGTCCAGCAGCAGGAGCCGTGCTCACCAGAGAGAAGAGTGGCCGTTTGTTGAATCTGTTGACGAGAAACATGTTCGGGGAGAGTCGTTGAGGTTGTCAGGACGTTGGAATCGCCACGGGTTGAAATGAGGGGAAAGAAGTCAACCTTGACGAAACCTGGTTGATTGGCTGCCTGAAATGATCATTGAAACCCAACATGGAGAGCCGGCGTAGGAATAGGAACCAAGGCAAAGCTGGATACCTACCTAGGTAGGTACTAGAGTGGTCAGGATGAGACCTTGGGTGTCGCCCACTGTACGGCGAGAACCAGTCCTTTTGCTTCATCCTGTAACGAGGGAAATTGAATTAACTAGATTGGTTAAAAAGGTAGCATTCGTTGAGGTGGTGCATGATAGGATTGGTCCGATGGAAGAGGAATTGACATGTTGACGATCGAGGCGTCGTCGTTCCATGTTTCAGTTCAAAGCTGCGAATAAAGAGGCGGCAGACACAGACAGCGGAAACCGGGAGAAGCTCTTATCTTATCAGTGACATCCAGCTGAACCACAGCAAGCGAAATCGGAAGGGTCGAATCGTCCTGTACCTGCTGCGGGAGGGCTGCTATCAATGGGGTACCTTTCTAATCCGACCAGACGGAGTCATCATCATAGTGTAGATGTAAATTGGAGAAAATATGTTGGGAAACAGCAGAGTACCGGGTGATGTCAAAACACCCGACTGATGAGATGCCAAAGTACCTCCCGTCGATGTACATCAGTCCTTCCAAGCAACGTGGGGTGCATCACTCAATTCAGCTCTCACATTCCCCATGCAACTTTTGTAACTCTTTCTTCAGCAACACACGTTCGCTTGTGTACTGGAGGAAATCCAGAACGGGTCCTAATCCATCACCAGAAAGATTCGGGGTGTGGAGATAAAACGTAATGGTGTTTGGTGTTTGGCATTGCGACGGACGATGCTGAGTGGTTGCCACTGTTCGGTTTCGACATCTTGGCAGGGAATTGCAGGGAATCCGGGTGTGCCGCCCATCACATATGTGTCAAGGGAGATATCGGTTAGGAAACACCATTTCGGGATCGATGATGTAGTGTATAGTGCAGATTCGGGCGATCTAGAATTGACCACTGATAAGTATCCTCGAGGTATCCTAGCTAATCACCACGCAGAGAAACCCCTTTCGAGAACATCTTCCCAGAGGTAATGCATGTGGTTGGCTGCGCGGGGTGCGTTTGTGTGGCTGCGTGAGCCGTAAACGGACTCGGATGATCAGCGCAAAATGTTCGAAATGTTTTATAAGACGGCATCGTCCGACTCGTTGATGTTTTGACTCACCCACGTTCCCGCACCTCCCGCCATAACTATTTCGAAAGCCATACAGAAATTAAACATCCTACGACGGACTCTTCGCTTTCCACATCTGCGAGCGCCGACGACAGACATCACAACTACAATGGCAGGACCCGAAGTATCCCACGGCCGTGGCGGCGCCGGCAACATCAACCCCGACGACACCAAGTACGTTGACGGAGAAGTCGTTAGAGCAGGCTCTGAAGGCAGCCACGGCGATGGAGCGTTCAGCACCGGTCGCGGAGGTAAGGCATTCCATTCCACTTCTGCCTTCCCTCCATACCTCTACCTATCACCAACCCCCTCCGCGACAACGACAAAAAGACAAAGAGAAACCTGAAAGAGACCGGGTGGTGTGATGTCAAGCACCCATTCAACCGCTTATCTCAACCTACATACAAATCCCTTATCACCAGCCAAGCCCAGCTAGACCAGCCCACTGAACCCAGCGCGCTCGCGAACCCTCGAAAGCGTCAAGGGGATCCATGTGAAGATTGAAGGAAGCGAGTTCTTGTCCCACGTTTGCCAAGATCTCTTTCAGGGAGAGCAGCGATAAGACCAATCACCGAAACCCGCTAGCGCTGTTTTTGTTCCCTATCCCATCCCCCAACTCCCCCCAGGCCCCAGCCCAGCCAGCTTAGCGCAATTTCACCACCATCACCATTATCATCCATACTCATCACTAACATACCTTTTAAAAACAACAGGCGCAGCAAACATAGGCGACGCAGGCGTCACGCCCCACCGCCGCGCCGACAAGGACATCATCCCCGACGCCGCCATCCGCCACTCCCAAGAGACGGAGAACTACCACACCGGTCGGGGCGGCGCCGGTAACGAGCGTCACGTCTCTCCGGCTGGTACTGGTAACGGTAGTAGTCACAAGGCTGCCGTTGTGGACAGGGGGACAGGGGGTGGTATACCTGGTGTTAGTGGTGATCATCATCATCATCATCATCATCATCATGGTACCCATGAGAGACAGCACAGTTTGGCGGATAAGTTGAAGTGGAAGATTTTTGGAAAGCCAAAGGGGCATGAGACTGAGGTTTCGCATGTTGGGGACGGTCCGGGTCACTGAGGGATGCCCGACAGGATGGGGTGGAGATTTGGCTCGGCGCTCGGCATGTGGGGGACTGGGGCTGAGCTGAGCTGAGTTGAAGTGAATGTGCGCGTTTTGAATTGGCGAGCTGAGAAGGAGGGGGAAAGGCCAGTTTTTGTTATACCAAATACCCATTTTTTGTCTTTATTCGGCCTTCCAGTCCTGGGCATAGCTTTTGGATAGATTTTGTGGTTTGGGGATTTTGATAGCAAGCTGCTGTCCATTAATATTTATCATACTTTCTTGAATTTGAGAGTTTGGGATGGATTGATGGACGTCTTGGCGGTGACTAACACCCAGAATTGCAACTGAAGTTACTGAACAGGATTCAATGCGACGCTCCGAACCACCGACGGGCGGGAGCATGAACAGAGATGTTTTATGATTGTTATGTACGTTGTAGTTAGTCTGCCGTCAGCCAAGAGCTGGTAATGGCAATATCTTCACTTCATTCCATAAGCAGGAAATTGTCTTGTCCTCCGTCACACTCTTCGAACCAAATCTGGTACCGACGGCACCTTTACTACCTACCCTTTCACACCGAAGGCCGGAACACCGAGACCGGACGGACCTCCTCCCCAACCGCGCCGGCCCGCAAAAGCAGAGAGGACGGTACGGTAGCGATAACACCGGTTACAAAATTCCATTCGTCCTTGGAAAGCGTTGCGTTCCAGTCACGCACGACGCACGCACGCACGCACAGAGCAAACATTTGGGAATGAGCTTGTCTACATAGCAAAGCCCCCCCTCATCCGGTAAATGATCAGCAGCCCTACGGCGAAAACAAAACCTCCTAGGGATGATGCCGGCCTCCGAGCGATTCACTCAGTGGGTGGAGGCCATCCATCCATCCCATCCCCACTTCCCGTTCATGCACTGCACTGCTTTCCAGCTCCAGGACCCCAAAACCAAGAAAAAGGGGACCAACTTTTTTTAGCCACTCCTCTTCGGAGCCTGCTTGCGTTGAGCCCTGGTTTTCTGGGGGTTCGGAATGCCGTCAGTTTGCAGCTTCATCACACTTTGTGCTCTGGCTTTTGGGCATCACCGACTTGGGTGGTCAAAGGTAGGGTCCAAGAATCGAGCGATTTGCTCATGCGGACTTGAAGAGTTTCTTTCTCCCCCTCAACTTTTTTTTTTTTTTAAAAAAAAACCTGGCGGTGCCACTCTTCTTGTACTATTTCAAGCTATAATGTCTTGAATAGTATGGGTCTTGGTCCCTCTCACTTGCGATTTTCTTGTTTGAAGAGGGAATGTGAAGTGGGTGATCAGTCACCGAGCCGCCCTTTGCGCCCTTTGCGCCCTGAAAGTCTGAAAGGGCTCCTCCAACGGACCGAACTGCTTTGATCGAAGCAGGAAAGCAAGACTGAGCCGCTGTTTTTTGACTCTGGGACAATTGCTTTAATTGACCTTTATCTGCTCTTTTTTGCATGTTGAACTTTTTTCAAAAGTTATTCTACTTATACTATAGGTACGCAACTTATCGCAGCTCATTCGACGACCACTTCGACCTACCGCCATCCGTTATCATCTAGGCCCATTGTCCTCCGAGACACCTGTTTCCGATTGAATACCTTACGACAGCTCGGACTTTAAGCGCCCCCGCTTTCCTCATCCAGCCACCAACGCGCCGACTCTGGTGTTCGCTACCGAGTGTCCGACCTTGCGACTCTCGACTGGTCAGCAAACGAGAAGGAAGCTGGACCTGGTATTACGAGGTTCAACCTGGAAGATTCAGAGGTACAGAAAAGCGAATCGTGCAAATCCAATTCAAGTTCCTGGACGGAGGGTTGTTTTTGCTGTGTTATCGGGTTGCTGGGACTGGAAGGCAGACAGCGGTACCTGCAGTTGTACCTGCTCTGTACGATACGATACATAAGGTACCTTAGCGGGGGGATCCACACCGCCTGCCGGACTTGGGCGAAGCGAGGCCCTTGATTTGCTCACAGCCCCAGGGTGGTCCACGCACTGAAGGTGACGAGAGTGCTTCGCCTATCAATGCCCTGCAACGGGCCCCAGCGTACACCTAAAGTACAGCGCAATGACACCACGGCACAACAACGTGAACCACGTCTACCATGGAGACATCCAGTGGGACGAATCTCTCCGACCGCCACCAGCTCCGCGGCTCTTTTCCCGTTCATCCTACGCATCCTACGCGTCCAAGGCCTCCAAGCGATCCTTCTACTCGTACACTTCGTCCTGCTTCGAAGCCGACGACGAGCGATCCGACACTCTCTCGTTTGCCGACTGGATCACCACCACCATGTCCGGCAGGATGAGTCCTGCCAACGCTGGCGACAACAGCGATTCCTACCCATACGGCGACGACACTGACGGCGACAGCAGCAGCGGCCTGCCTCCCCCACGATACCCCGGTGACGACACTCGCCCCACCAGCCAAAAGGAACTCGCGGGATGGTATGCCTATGCCTTTGCTGCTGAGGTCTATGTTATTTGCGGTCAGTATTATCACCATCAATTCCATCTTTTCGTCTGACTCTTTCAAGCTGACTGACATGTTTTGACAGGTATCGGTATGTTGATGCACCTATTGACACCAATCGTCCGAACTGCATGACTTACACGCACCCCTAAACAGGTTCCTTCATCCCAATTCTCCTCGAAAGTCTAGCTCGCGAAAATGGCGTCCTCCTCTCCGACCGATCGAAACCCTGCGGTTCCAGCTCCGATAAGCATACCACCTCTGCCGAAGGACAATGTGTCGTCTACGTACTTGGCATGGAAATCAACACGGCCAGCTTCGCCATGTACACGTTCAGCGTCAGCGTCCTGCTGCAAGCCTTGTTGGTCGTCAGCATAAGTTGCGCCGCGGACCATGGCAACTTTCGAAAGAAGCTGCTACTTGCCTTCGCATGGATTGGAAGCGCGTGTGTGATGGCCTACATCTTCATTAGCAAGAGCACTTATCTCATTGGTGCTCTGCTGGCCATCATTTCGAATACCTCGTTTGGTGCCTCCTTTGTGCTGCTGAACTCGTTCTTGCCGCTTTTGGTCAGGCATCACCCGGAGATCGATCAGGTTGGGGACTATGGCTCGCCAGGGTATGCGACTACCGAAGAGGGCGATGATGAGGACGATGAGTACCAGGAGGATAGCACGCGCAACTCGACGACTGCCTTGCTCGGAAGCCGAAGATACGATGAAGGCGAACCGCTTTCCCGAGTCCAGACGACTGAGGAGTTGACGTCTCGCGAACTGGAACTGTCCACGCAGATCTCAGCCAAGGGCATTGGCATCGGTTACATTGCCGGCTTGTTCCTGCAGTGCGTGGCCATCGCCATTCTGATCACACTGAAGAACACTACCTGGTCACAGCGGATCGTGCTTTGCGTTATCGGTGCATGGTGGGCCATCTTCACCATTCCAGCCGCCATGTGGTTACGACCACGTCCGGGACCTCCCCTACCCACCAAATCCAACACCGGAGGCGTCCGCGCCTTGTTCCACTACACCATCTACGCCTGGAAGTCCCTGTTCCGCACCATCCATCTCGCCCGGCGCCTCGTGGACATTGTTCTATTTCTAGCTGGCTGGTTCTTGCTTTCGGATGCCATTGCTACGACCTCGTCGACCGCCATTCTCTTTGCCAAAACCCAACTCCACATGGAACCCTGGGCTCTGGGTATGATCAACGTCATCTCTACTGCCTCGGGCATCCTCGGTGCCTTCTCGTGGTCCTTCATCTCCCGAAAATTCCGCCTCAAAGCCCATCAAACCATCTTGGCATGCATCGCCCTCTTTGAGCTCATCCCTCTCTACGGGCTTATGGGCTATCTCCCCTTTGTCCAAGCATGGGGCGTCGGTGGCTTGCAGCAGCCATGGGAGATGTACCCCCTCGCCGCCATCTACGGGTTCGTCCTCGGCGGCTTGTCAGGCTATTGCCGCTCTTTGTACGGAGAACTCATCCCGCCCGGATCCGAGGCCGCTTTTTATGCTCTTTATGCTATCACCGATAAAGGGTCGAGCGTGTTTGGACCGGCGATTGTGGGGGCGATTATCGATGCGAGCGGGGAGATCAGGCCGGCGTTTTGGTTCTTGGCGGCGATTGTGGGTACGCCGGCGCTGTTTATTTGGTTCATCAATGTGGAGAGGGGAAGGACGGAGGGAGAGGCGTTGGCAGAGATCATTGAGGGGTTTAAGCTGAGCGGACAGAATGGGCTCCACGGAAATGGGGCGGATGGATTGGCGGAGGACAGGAGGGGGAGTGATGCTAGTAGGGCGATTTTGGGGAGGTATGATGATGAGGATGAGGAGTGATGATAATGATGGTGTTTGATGATATGGTTATGTTGGGGATTATGATGAGTTATGGTGGGATTATCTGATGGTTAGGAGTTGGGTTGCTATATGCATAGCGCTGGCGTTGGCTTGTCTGTGTGGTGTTGCTGGTTTAAACGATGTTGTCTCTTATCTGTATTTGTGTACTTTTGCTGTAGATCACTGAATCTATCAAGTTTCTCTGGTCAGTTTGAGGCAAACAATTGTGTACATAATGTCATGTTGAAGACTCCTAGGTTGACGTTGTCAGTAAAGTTTGTGGGAATAGCGGCAAAGACTGACCCAAACGGGCAAACACAAACACAAAAAACAGTCAAATTGTGGGTAAAATGGCACAATCCGAGTTCGTGCTCTCAAGCGGGGAAGCTGGGGCCATCTTTCGCTATTATTGTAGCCGTCCACCAATAGTGTTCTCAGAATCTACCCAGGTTCTCCTCTTTGGAGCTCACCTTGGCGGCAGATGGTCATCGATCTAGGTGAATCACGTGGCTGAGTGCAACGGTTCTTTTTTTCTCAATCCGAAATGAATAGAAAGTTCATAGACAGTGTTCGTTGTAAATGGACGCGGTCTCGGATGGCAAGAGAGAGTTGGTTTACTTTACAGACAATAGACTCCTCGTATTGTACATTGAAGTTTCTCCATTCTGTTGTCCTATTGTCACGGCTATTGAGCAATCTATTCTCTTATTGTTACATAAGCGTTTTATTGACAGACTTGGTCGGGTACCCTTTGTTCAGACTTTTTGGGTCAATTGACTCAAGTTGACAATAAACTTGCCCCCGGCTTTTTTTGGCTTTGTTTTTTTTTCTTCTGCCACCCACTCCCCCCCGGTCAAGCTTGTCCAGTCGCAGACAGTTCCAGACCCTTTTTCCCCATTCCTCCTCGTCATCCACAAAGAACGTCAACCACGGTCGACAGACACAACACAGTCGCGGGTCGCGGATTCTTTCCCAATTCCTTCTCCCAACTACACTACCACCGCCATAACCACTTGTTGTCGTCCATCGCGCGTGCCGACTGAGTCAAGCGGACAAGTCATAACATAACACAACACAGGCCTTCTCCAACTGAAGTACAAAGTGGAAGTACTTCAGATTCTCCAAGGTTCACACCCACTTTTTTTTTTCCGGCATCGAACTGAACCTTGCAGGACGGGAGCTCGAACCTTGACCCGGCAACCTCGCGCCCGCGCCTGCGCCCGCGTTTCTCCTCGCACGACAAAGCCGAAGCCAACCACGTCACCTCAACCTTCTTCAGGTTCAGGCCGCTCTCCAACGTCGTCGCCGTCGCCCAACTCGAAAACCTTGACAACACCATACTTGTCGTCTCTACTTAGAGGAGAGGTAGCGCAACCTGAGGCGCATCTTTCATCCGTCGTTTCTTTACGCGCGACCCCACCCTTCTTCTCTTTCGTCGCATCTTCGCCATCGTCGTCGCAAGTCATCACCAACCTTTGCGCCACCAACTACCGGCACTTCACGGCATCGCCACCCTAGCCGAAGCGTAGCGCTCCTAGCTCGTTAGACCTTTGCTCTTCTACTACACTTACATTACTCAACAATGGCCTCCTCGCGCAAGAGACCAAGGGCGTCCGATGCCGACCGCCAGGACAGGGTGCAGGAACGGAAGGAGGATAAGGATAACACCCGAGCCGAATGCCCATTCCAAGTCCACATTGTCGACCCCGTGGTGGCAGAGAAGAAGAAGAACAAGAAGCGCAGACGCACGGTCGGAGGCAAGGCCGAGTCGATCGACGACGAGGACACCGACCCAGCGGATAAGATCCACTCTCAGCCGTCTCCCTTTCATCCGTCGGGCAAGTTCAAGACGTACCCGAACATGGATGTACACTACAAGGTCGAGCCGGCCAAGGATTGGACCGACATGACGAGGTACAACAGCTTTGTGTGTGAGTTTGGCCTTTGTTCCCTCTTCTCTCGCAGAAACTTCCGGTTTACTGACTACGATGAATCTACTAGTGAATAATGTTAAATACTATGCAGAGAACTTCATCTATGTCGCCAATGACCTGAGCATAAAGAAAAAGGACCCAAAACAAGGGGAAAAGGGACCGAACGACGAGGCAACGGCCCCGATACAAAGGCGGGACACCGAGTGGGTCGCCAGGATTCTCGAAATCCGCGCTAGGGACGAGCACCACGTCTTCGCCAGAGTTTACTGGATGTACTGGCCTGACGAGCTGCCGGCCAAGACGCGAGATAGGAAAAGGATTGTGGAGGGGAGACAGCCGTATCACGGGACGGGCGAGCTGATAGCGTCTAATCACAGTGAGTGGGCCACGACCAATTCCGGGTGAGGTAGATGTTGTGTGTTCGCTAACATGGCTGGCAGTGGATATCATCAATGTGGTCAGCGTTACCGAGCCCGCGATTGTAAAGCACTGGTTTGAGGAGAACGACGAGGAGACGCAGGATAGTCTGTACTGGCGACAGGCCTATGATGTGCGATCTCAGGAACTCTCGGTACGCGCTATCACATTCACCTTAGCCGTTCCATGCATAGATGCTGACAAGGATTTTATCATAGACCGTCGAACTCGTATGCGGCTGCAACACCCCAGCGAACCCTGACAAACTGCTAGTCGGCTGCTCTTCAGAATCATGTAAGAAATGGTTACACGAAGAATGCATCAAGGACCAAGCCTTAAGGGCAACCTACGAGCGACTTGGCACCGACAAGCCTCACATCCCAGTAAAGGAGGAGAAGGTGGACAAGAAACAGGAGGACGAGGACGACCAGAAAGAGGAAAGCAAAGCCAAGACGGAAGCAAACGGCGACACGCCGCAGCAGCAGCAGCAGCAGGAACGAGGAGAATCCGTGGACGTCAAAGCCGAGAAGGACACTACGCGAACCACCAACGGTAGCAACAACAGCAACGGCAACCGCGCCCTCAAAGCCGACAGCGAAGACGATGCCAAACCAGCGCCTTCCGAAGACACGCCCGACGCCGAAGCCGCAGAGGACGAGTCGACCGCCTCCGGACTAGCATTACGTTCAAGAAGAACAAGGACAGCAAGCGCAAAGGCATCCAGAACTACCACTCCAGCACCAGGATCAACGTCAACGACAACGACAACAACGACACTAATAAAATCAGAAGAAGGGCGAAAGAAACCCGGCCGACCCCGCAAAAAGGCTTTAGTTCCCCCTCCTCCTCCTCCTCCCCCCAGAGGAGGAGCCAGAGCTAAAGTGACCAACAAGGAAAGACCATGGGAAGGATTATTTGCTGTCACGCTCGAAATGAACGGGACGCCGTACCTGGAGTTTACGGATCTTCGCGCGGATGTGGTGGCGAGGGGCGGAGCGAAGACGTGGACGGAACCGATTACGTGTTTGGTGTGTGGTGTGTTGGTTAATTAGTAGCATGAGGTACGGACGTTGGTTGTTTTCGTGGTTTTGGTTGTCCTTGTCCGACTTTGAGACGTGGAGGCATGGAGGTACGGAGGCATGAGGATTGAACCGGGTTGATGAGGTTCCTGATGGGAAAAAGAGATGAAGCTGGGTTTGTGTCGGGTTGGGTTTGATGGGGGAGGTTGAGGTCCTTGAGGATTACTACCTTCCAAGCATGGAACCTAGAGATGGGCGGGAGAGGATGTGGGTGTGAGCGGGAGGACACCCTGCCCTGGTTTGTGCTCGAGTTGGTTGGCATGAAGTCAAGGCAGAGAGGTTGGAATGGGGATGGGAAAAATGGATTCCACGAGCGATCTAACCGGTGCTGAAACTATTGCTCACATGACACGACACAACAATAGAACGATATTTGCTACTACACATACGTTTTTGCTGCGGGATACCTACCTAGTGCTTGAATGGGATGGAGGAGGAAGAGGAGCGGCCTCGTTGGACGATGGAATGGAGGAGGAGCAAGATGGAAGAGGCTGAAAGAGGCTGAGGGACGAGTTGCTTCAGGATGTAGATACCTACCTACCTACCAGCTAGCTAGCGGAATAAGGATGATGGAAGCGAGTATACCTTTTTTGAAACCTTCTTCTTGGGTACCTTGGTACTTGAAATAGGTCTACGGCTTGAGTGGTGAATGATGTGAGGGTCAAGTGGTGGTGACTTGGAGACTCGAAGAGAAGAGAAAGCGAAAATTTCAGATCCAAATCCGTAGATCGAAAGAGGGTAGTAAGAATTGAGAAGGATGAGAAGTGAAAAAAAAAAAAAAAAAAAGAAGAATGAGAGGGATGATTACCTAGAAAGGAGGGAGAAATGTGCTAAATAAATGCTGCTAGGTGCTCATCATGTTAATGCCTCTTTAGCTCTACCTCGCTGCTATGTAACTACTAACTAACTACAACACATTACTCACTACTTGTAAGATACCTACCTACTGTTAGTTCCTGGTGTACACCCCTCTATCTTGGAGAGTTGAAGTTTACAAAGGTAGGCAGTGTGCTATCATTTTTCCCTATCGTTACTAATGCCACTCCAGACTTCTGTAAGTATTCCTTGTATGTACCTACCTACCTTACCTAGACGTATAATTAGTGATTTGCTAATAAGTAATTGAAACGTGCTGTTGGTTGCATTCGCGAATAACTGGGGTAACTTCAGGTGAAACATTGTGCAATGGTGTAAGTTGGACCGCTGCTGAGTTTCCGCTCAAGATCGAGACTTGTGAGATGATGACTAGCAAGATCCCCCGGCTAGGAGGGTGCTTAGTTGCCTCCTGGCGTTTTGGGTGGTCTGAATTCTGGTTAAGAGGAATAAGGTAAGGTGAGGTATTTGCGTATTTGGAATAGGGGGGTCAACTTGTCAAGTAGAGGTAGGTAACTGAAAGGAAGGAAGGAAGGAAGGAAGGAAACAGCTACACTTGTTTGGTTTGGTTTGCTTGGTGACTGGTGAGCTCTGACAAATATGCTTCAAAATCGAACTTTGCCGATTGAGCACGTCGTAAGGGGCGTCGAAGGGGAGGAAAATGGGATTATGGGAAGTCAATAAACCCCCTATTCTGTGCAAATGCCTCCAGGTTCGGCTTCTCTTCCGAGGAGCATGACTTAACTACAGCCTGTAAGTCTGCTCAACTTAAAGGCACAAAGCAGCCTCGACGAACCGACACCTTAGTCAAAGCCTACTTCAGTCCTGCCCAGTATTGCTGGTCACTTCTTGTTTGTCTCTCCATCTATTCTCATCAGTTAAAGACCCATTTTCTCTTGTTACAACTCCAGCTTTTGATGCCAGTCTAACAGTAAACGGTCCTGTCTATTTACAATACCAAAGCCGCTCACTTCCTGACACCGAGCAAGCTGGCTAGGTTAAAACGAACCTCCTCCACTATGGTCATGAGCATGGGGCGTCCGCCCGGGGTAAACGGCCGGCGCCGATCATGCTCTTCGGTCGAGAGCAAGCTTGCTGTCTGGGTCTTGGTTCCATCTTCCTCTTGATAATCGCTTTTTCTCTCCCCCCCCCCCTTTTTTTTTGGGGGGGGGGGGGGGGGGGGCGAGCTCGTTGGCGCTCTCGACACGCACGCCGCTTGATCTCAGCCCTGCCGGAATCCCCCAATGCGCACTTCGCAAATCTTTCGATGAGGAATTTGGCATGTTTCGCCATGTTCATTTTCTAATTACCTAAACGAATGAGGTCCCCGAATACATCCAGGGGCTGGTTGCCAATGATGGAATCTTTTGAGACCTAGGTATCACCGTGGTGCAGACTACCTAGGTAGCCAGGGAGCGCAGAAGAGGCCCTTTGATACAAACACTTTACTTTCACTTTCAAAGTTTTGACTCTCGGCTGTGGTCCAATTGATGCTGATTTCTTGTTCACTTCTCAGTGCTAACGGATGGAGGTAGACATCGCACATCAACCGTGTTCAAAAATGGAACGTAATTTCTTGAGGGAAGTTACCTAGGTAGGTATTGGTGTTTGGTAGGTAGAGGTAAGCGCCGCTTCTTGGGGCTCAATACAACTCAAGAAGGACTTGAGTGGTTCGACTACGTCCTTTCTTGCATGTCCTTTGAATTTGACCATCAGCAACAACTTCTCTTCTGAGACTCGCAGGTTACAAGCTTTTCCGAGGACATTGAACGTTCTCCTGCTTTGGTAGACGGGCAGGGACTCGGCTGGGGCTATCGTGTCGCCTCCCTTCTTGTCCATATGCATTCTTCCAACTTCATGCAACCATGAATGACCACCCGTTGACTTTTGCAATGGATCGAGATCTCTTCACCAAAAGCTTTCCTGCTCTGCGTAATACGAGAACGGCCGTTGTCCTACTCCCTGTTTGGCTACAGGTAGGTAGGTATCTAGTCTTACGCTCAGCCATCGACGACTTTCTGGCCAGGAACCCTGTTTTTGCTGCGGGACGGGGCGGAAATAAATATAAATAGGGAAATGAAGCGGAGAAGTAGGGATTTAACTAGGTACCATGAGACCACTGCCGACCATCAACACCTTCGCTTTATATCCCCAGATGGTTCTCCGTCAGACATTTCTTCGAGCGAGCTCATTCCTCAATGGCAGAGAAGTTCCGACTGTCAACAGCCGCATAAGCTGGCGGCGGAGAAGTGCTCCTAACAGGGGCGTGCAGTCTTGCGTTCAATGTTCCGAAAGAAGTAGCCTTGGACCTTGTAGTTTGGGTCGGACAGTCCAATTTCTTGAGTAGTACTGTGTATGAATTTCAAGTCCTCGTCCGGTTGCTCTGGGATCGCGGGGAGTTTCGGGCCAGGCTTACATGGTCCAAATTGTGGTAGCCAGCATGCTCCGGGTATCCCGTCTGAACCAGGATTGCATTGTTGTTGCTGCTGCCAGAGGAGGCCGAGTACCACGTTGTGTTCCTGTACCAGGAGACCTGCTTCCATGAACTTGATCACGGCCAGAGTCCTCTAACTTCCCTCTTCACCCGTTGCAATATCCCAAGCTAGATCGCACGGCGTTTGTCGGCGATTTTGTTGATGGCGGCACGCCACCAAAGCGTCAGCAGAGAAATCTGGAAACTAGGTACCTCTAAGTACCTGACAGGGACGCCCACGCAGCCATGGACTTACAGCCTCGGCGGTTCTCTTCTTTAGCACCGGCGAGCGACTTCTCGGAGATCATGGCCTCGTACGCCGTGATGAAGCACTGCATGAGATCCTTGGTCCCGCTCCTAGAATTGGGCTGCCCAGCGGATCATGAAGACCACATCGGCTCCGCTGCCATCCATCAGGACAAACCGCATCAGCATGATCTGGTAGTAGAGATTGACATCGTCTTGATGGCTGCTTGCACCTCACTTGGCCATTTTCATCCCAAGTGGGTCAGCTTCACTTTAAACCTGACCATGTTTCGATGAAAAGTTGATCAGTTCTTTCCAGATGGACGGCTGACTCGAAGTGTCCTTACTATAGCAGCCTTGATCGTGAGCCGTTCAAGAGCGAGCGAGATTAGGTAACCAACCTCTAGCGACGAAGGCAGCGCTGACCAGGAGGGAGATTCGAAGGAGGAACAAGCAAGATTTGAGGCCACCTTGGAGTTCGAAGCAATGCTGATAAACGACGGGAGGCATATGATGCATAACAGCAAGTCTCCTGATCCCAAACTCAGGCTGTACGCTTCAAGTTGCTTGTCAATGAGCGTGGCCGATCATAGGTAGTCGTCCAGCATCATGTGCTTGCGGCATGATCTCGGTCTTGAACACACATTGCCTTGCCATCGTCTTCTTATCCATGAGTGTCGCATAGGTGGCTTTCTTTCCTTTGCAAGCCACAACGTCGCGTTTGCTGCCAAAAGAATTTCAGACCAGACACATCAACTCCACCGAAAGAACAACAAAGGACAAACCCACGCGACAGTCCAGCGCCTAGGAGAGGAGCACACCGGCAAACCAACCCATCTCGCTGGAGCCATTGCGGCGACGGTCAACGCACAGATCTCGTTTGTGTGTGAGGTTTGCGCAGGCCTCACTTGGGATACAAAAAAGGAATTTGGACGCGCATTGCCAATGTCTTCGAATACACTACTTCTCCAACAGCAGAGGTAACCACTACGGCAGCAACCACCGCAGCACCGACAGCAGCCGGCAAGCTCTACGCAATGGATCAAAGAAACATTGAACGTCTGGACTGCAGGTGCCCAAGCAATCTCCACAGCAACATGAAAACATCATTTTACTCGTGTATTTCAATGTTGTTCAAACGCCTCGGAAAGATGGAATAGTACCTCTGATGGGGACGGGAGGTATCGGCACAGGAATATTGACGTTGTCCAACAAGTGGTATACGGTACAACTGGTACTTTGATAGAGGTAGACTATGCGCGGGAGATTACGGAGAATCTAGCCAAAGTTCGGATGGAAGTCAGCTTGGCAAGGGGTAAGTGATCAAGGATTTCCATGAGACGGCGATATAGACAGGATTATTTCACCGGATGACACTTGCGATATCCACCAGGACAGAATATTTCAGACGGTCACGCCCACTATTATTTCTCTTTGGGCGGATAGGTTGATCAAAGGGCAAGAGTCCGGCTCAAAGTCAGGACACGGGTTTAGGACCAGCGAGTATCATTTAATAATAGAGGTACCTTGACAAGGACGGATGTTACCCCAGTTGTGTTCGTCGAATGGCTTCTATGCCGGCCGCGACGTTCAATCAGTCTGCTTTGTGGACGGTTGCTAGAAGTTACCTCTAGGTACCTACACCTCCGTCTACATCACTTTCGGCGTTGACATCTCGGGTGTACTCGAGAACGAAATCTTTGCTCTGGCCAATGGCTTCGTTTTGGTCCGTGACGTACTTCGATAGAAAGTCCGTTGCGTTTCTGTATACATCAACGCTGTTCGCCGCGGCAAGTCTGTTGGCAGCTTCTATTGCTAGGTACTGCGTCTGCTGTCTTGATGACTGCGAGAGTCGTGCTCCAACAGTTTTGTCATGTGTTGTGACAGTAGAGAAGATCATCAACAATAACATGACCGCACCTGTGACAGGCACCATGGTTGGGATCTTACTAGGTACCTCTAGAGGTACTCAGGGAGACATTCATCAGAATGGAACTCCATCAACACGCTACCGCTGGACACCGGTTGTATGCAACAGCTATATGGCTCGACAGGGTTGCCAGATTGTTGCTGTCATGGATCGAACAGTTTGATGTCACCGCCGGAGTTTGAGATAACCCCCAAGGAACAAACAACCCACCGCCGCGCAGCGTCGAAGGTGCACTCTGCTGACCAAGCACTCACTCCATCGTCAACGAACTGTCACTGTCAACCGACAACATCACACGCAACCGTCACCCACACACACACACTGTCACCAGGATGGATGAAATCGACGCACAGGAGTACCCCTTCCAGGAACACCTTCAGAATGGCGATGACGACTTGGTACCCGACAACCTGGGCAGACTCGTTGTGCAGGCATGCTGGCAGCCCACATGTGAACTGGACCACCATACCGGCGCGCGGCGAGCTGGCAGTGATTACCATCCCTGGGAAAGGGGAGTTGTGCATTCATTGTCGTCTGTGGGCTTTGACCGCCCCAGAGAGAAAATGTTTTATTGCAAGCGCTTGCAGCCCGCGCCATCGGGGTACAGCCGGTTTTACCGGTATAGATACTGTTGAATAGGGGTATGAGGGTTTGATGGTAGATCTGATGAAAGGCCGGAGATAAAAGGTACCTGTATGGAAATGTAGGCAGATACGTATCATTAGTGGCCATGGAGTTTACATCTTTATACTAGTTGAATATCTATACGGGTGTACGGTAGTACCCTTTGAAGGGGGGGGAGCATTGTGGAAGGAGCGTTATACGTACGAACCATAGATCCGTACGGACCATAGACTACGAGAATGTTGTTCTTTTCGTTTTTTTTTTTTTTTTTTTTTTTTTTTTTTTTTTTTTTTTTTTTTACACGATAGGGGGCATTGACGCAAGATTTCCCGCTAGGGAGGGAAGGTCTCTCTCTCTCTCTCTTTTCTGGGACGATCAGGATCATCATCATCAGATAGATCAATGAATCCATTACCTAAGCCATGCTGATTCACGCATCATCTGAGGTTCGAAAGAAATAAGTGTACCTAGTTCGTCATCGCTGGGCCAAGCGGGTAGAACCCAGGTCTGTATCACTTCGATACGCACATCCCGGTAAAGTGTGGTTGGCCCGATAGTGCTTGGAAGAAGTTAACATCTCTGATATGTTGCTCCATCTCTCGGCGAAAAGCAAAGGAGTATGCGCGCGTCGATGTGAAATACCGCCAGTCGTCGCAGCTCCCGGACGGGACCGTGTTCCAAACATTTTCTCTCCGGGGCAGTTGGCAACAGCAGGCGGCAGTTCCAGTATGCCCAATGTATAAACCCGGCTTTCCCAGGCCTTTGGGTTAGAAAGTTGTCCTGATCAATTAACACACTTTTCAGATATCTGATCAAGGTAATTGATTCGTAAGCGCGTATCCCCTATACGCCGTATTGGAGATCACTGCGTCGTATCCGGACGTACTGAGCTCGCCAATCGTGTGGCTCAGCAGGTTGTCACGATACTTCTAGGTAGGTAGATTATGAGGACTGACGTTTGTTAGGTTCCTTTCAGCAGATTTGGTCAAACTCGGTTGCTGCTGCCTTTCAATTAGGAGAGTTCTGGGAAGGAAATTACATGTACATAGGTCTATATATGGGAAGCGGAAATAATCATGGCGACCAAGATCATGTCGATGTGGTCATTGGGGAACAGCCTTTCCCAGAGATGGCAGTCGTAAACAGGGAAGGCAGGCCACTTGGGTCAAGGTGTTCAACCTGCATTAGGTTGGGATTGTCTTGAACACGTGAATACCTCTAGGTACCAAGATATTGAGTTCCATTCACCCCTCTTTACCGCCCAGTGCTTTTCTTCCTCGATCTTGCAACTGTTTGGATGTTTGCCACCAGAATCGAGCAGCAGATGCGAGATGTTGATGCCGAGAACAACTGAACGGACTTTGCACGCGGAGTGCGGAATTCTTGACGACACTTCATCTCCCTTCGTCGGTCGAGCGGCTCGGAACAACCGACGGCATAAAGTCACAGCACCGCATGCCTTCCAACTTTTTTCCAAGCTTGTAGGACCAAGATGAACGCACCAGGCAGCATTCATGCATGCAGAATGTCATTCCGCCAACTTCCCCAAGCAATAAAAAACAGGCGGCTCGATGCCTCTTGTTCACTTGACTTGGTCACAGACCGAGCCGCAGATCGAGCCGCAGACTCCAGATGCAGCACCAGAAGGTACAGAAGGTACCAGAAAGAAGGAGAACATGAATAGTGTAGGTAGGTAAGCAGGACACAGACACCTTCATCGCAGGTATAAAAAGAATGGTCCCCCCCCCATTCCCCAAATTTCCGTGCTCTCCTCTTTCCTTCTCAAAAACACCACCCATTCAACCAAAGCTCTTCCTCCACCACTCCAAACAATCAGCTTGGTTCAAAATGCGATCAAGGCTCCGAACCTCCACGTGGCCCAGACCCGTATGCATGACTTGAGGTTGCCTTTGCACATCAAGCTTGCCAACCGCATATGGTCAAGCCTGCTTCTCGACAACTCGATGAACCACGGCGAGAAGAAAAGAAAAGAAAAGAAAAGGCCGACACCGACACAGGCGGAACAACACTTTTTGTCCCTTTGGGCTTCTTTTCGTCACTCTCGACAACTCATTATGCCTGCCTGGCCTGATCACTGCTCAGAAGATTCAACAAAGTGAGTACCTTACAATCGCAGAAAACGACGCTTCGCTTTGTACTAACGAACTGATGGAGTATAGAGCACCCCGGGCAATCTAGCAGACGCCATCTGCAAATGTCAATCACGAGCTGCTGCCACAAGTCAAGCCCCGACTGCAAGCTGGCCACCCATGACAGGTACCGCCGTGCCAGTTGAACCTGAGGTAATTCCGCCGTATCGCTCCAAACCGATAGCCATGACTCTGACAAGTGCCCAGAGTAAAGGGTGAGCTAGTCGATCTTGCCTAAGCCATAGGGAAGTTCCGTTCCAAAAGGGCACTTCTGCCCCGTGTGGCGAAAGGGAAGCCGCCCGGTTAACATTCCGGCACCTGGAGATGTTATGGGTTTTGCGCGGCAACGCAACTGAACGCGGAGACGACGACGACGACGACGACGGGGGTTCGGCCGGCCGGCCGACCACCACCAGATTGTTTATTCCGGTACAACAGCCGATGCTACCTCGAAACTACCCGAGTTCCTCAATTTATGGGAACTCAATGCGAGATAGCATGGATTTGCGGGACGGAACGTTCGAAACTACCCACCGTTCACCCGAATTCCTCAATTTACAGCACGCGCTGGATCAAATCCTTTGCAGACGACTTATTTGTGCTCTAAGCAGTAGAGTAGCCTGGTTGTTACGATTTTTCTGAGGGTAAGCCCTCCTTCGCCTAGATTTCCCATCGGTCAGGATCCCAGGACAGAACGATCGAAACTACCCATCGTTCTCCCGAATTCCTCAATTTACAGCAACTCAAAGAGCGGCATCATGGAATTCCAGGACCGAACGTTCGAAACTACCCGAATTCCTCAATTTCGGCGGCGACTCAATGAGAGATACCATGGATTTCCGGGACGGAACGTTCGAAACTAGCCGCCGGTGTCCCGAATTCCTCAATTTACAGCAGGGGTCGGCGCGGTCGTCCTGAAGGATGTTGGGATGGATCGGGATTGTGACCGAATACGACCAAATCATTCGAAGCCACCTCACGCCGCTGTGTTGGGATTATGGAGCTGTGTATAACCGTGGGCGTGTTTCTGAGGGGTAGTGCGCGGATGAATTGGTTATGGGAGATGGGATTGAAAGGAGACTGGTTCAGGGCGGGAGTTGGGTGTTGGGGGAAAGTGCTAGGCGGGCACTTTTGGGTAAGGGGATATTGATCCCGTTTTGTTGGTAGACAATGGAGGTGTCATTGTTAGTCAACGGGTGAATGATAGTAGGGTTGTTGGGATAGGGAAATACATATCTGCGGGTTGAATGAGTCTGCTGTGAAAGACGGGAGTGAAAAAGTGGATGGGACATGTTCAATAGTCGACGTGAATGGAATAAGTAACTGGACGCTTTGTTCATTCCATCTTTCGCCTGCTTGAATGGTGAACGATACCGCGCGATCGTTGCAAACATGTTCAACTTATATCCATTTAAGTCCACCTCTGCATTAGATTAGAGCTTGGAAGCAGGTCCAGAAGCCTCAAATTCGACCTTGTTCTTGCAAGTGCCAACCTTCTCGAGCTCCACCTCGACAACATCACCATTCTTGAGCCAAAGCTGGGGCTTGCGGCCCATACCGACACCCTGAGGACTGTTTGTTATACGTCAGCATTTCTCTCGTCATCCCTCCTCACAACCATTTCCCCAGGGGGGAGAAGAAATAGGCACTCACGTTCCAGTCCAGATGACATCACCCGGCAACAGTGTCGTCCCCCGGCTCAAAAAGGCAATCGTCTTCTTGACCGAGAAGATCATATCCGCCGTGCTGCTCTCCTGCACCGTCTTCCCATTCAACTTTGTGCTAATCTTGAGCGTCTGCGGATCCTTGATGAGATCCTTGCTGACGATACCCGGACCAAACGGCGCCCACCCATCGAACCCCTTTCCGAGGGACCATTGCCCACCACCGCGCTTAATCTGCCAATCCCGATGACTGACGTCGTTACCGACAGCATAGCCCAGGACGTAATCGAGCGCCTGGTCCTCTGACACGTCGCGGCAGCGCTTGCCAATGATGGCGACCAGCTCACACTCGTAATCCAGGCCTTCGCCCTCCTGCGCCATGCGGGAGATGGGGATGGGGTCGGTGGGGCCCGAGAGCGAGGTGACGGGCTTGTAGAAGAGGACGGGGTAGGTGGGGATGGGCATGTTGGCTTCGCGGGCGTGTTGCTCGTAGTTGAGACCCAGGCAGCGGACGGTGCGGACGTCCTCCGGGGCCAAGGGGGACAAGAGGAGGCGGATGTCGGCCACTTGGTCGGTTACGGTGTAGGAGCCAAAGATGTCGCCGGTGATGAGACGGGCTTGCTTGGCGGCCCGGATGTCGGAGACACCCTGGGGGAGGAGGGCGTCGCCGTAGTAGGTGCGGCCGTCGCGGGCGAGGAAGCGGATGAGGCGCTGTGGTGTGATGTTGTTAGCTTGACATTTAGGTGTTGTTGTTGAGGTGAGACAACTTACAGTGAAGGAGGCCATTGTGACTTGAGCTATTCGAATATGAGCGGTGAGGTGGTGAGTGAGAGGAAAGGGGATTTAAGTCAGTGAAGACTGAGAAGTGGAAGTGACATTGAAGGCATTTATAATCCAGCTGGAGATGGTACAAGTGAACGTTAGTGCCCCGGACTCGGAGTGGATAGTGCATTCCACTTGCCGCAGTGGGCGATCTGCGGGTATCGGCGGCGGGGGAGCAGCGGTACCTACTGTACTTCCATCCGTCAACCGCCGGTTCACGGCTCGCTGGCTGTTAGTGGCTACCCCACTCTACAGCCTCAAACGCGTGTAAGAGGAAGTCGACAGCATCATGAGAAGATAGCGCTTCGGGTAAAGAATAACGACTAGAAGATGTCAGTGTCTGGTCTCATAAGGATTAAACCCATCGTGAATAAAGAATGCCGGGGCCGGGAACCCCTCGCTCTCCACGTTAGCGCTCGGCCCCCCGGGGTAAGCTCTGCCGAGGTCTCCAGTTGGTGTCACTAACAATTAATCTAGCTGGTGATGCCGTGCCGAGCTCTCCGCCAATCCCGTGTCTTTGCGTCATAACAATTTTCAAGATTCACCACCACCACCACCACCACCACCACCACCGACGCCACCAATCTTCACCCTCTCAACTGTAGCAGAATCCCTCCTTTAACCAGCTGGGTCTTGACCTCTGTACTAATACAAAGGCAACAGCATCACTATGGCCCGCTTGTCTGGTCTGCAGAAGGAGGTCCTCGGACTCTACCGCAAGTGCCTGCGCGAGTGCTGCAAAAAGCCGGAAGCCACCCGGGCTCACTTCAAGGCCTTTGCTAGGTGAGATTTCCTGTAGATACTCACCTCGACATGACGCTAATCCGGATGTAGAACCGAGTTTGAAAAGAACATCAAGGTCGACAAGAGAGACTTCTCCGCCATCGAGTTCCTCCTGCGCAAGGGGTCGCGCCAGCTGGAAATGTATGCTTCGCCCGGAGTCAAGGATATCAGATAGCTACCGACCGAGGGAAGCTTCCTTCACTTTTTCACTCGTCATCATCACTCCTTCTCCTCCCGCTGGCGGCTCCTTATATTTAATCCCACTTGCTTCTTTCTCTCCGTCCCCTCCATGGTCTCAACTGAGTGGCATGACTGGCCCCTTCTGTCCTCAGCCTTCCCGTCTTGATCCAAACAACAACAACAACATCCGCACATCATCTGTCAGTCATTTCCAGCAGACCTCCCCACGACTTTGAACAATTCCCTCTTGGATCTGCCCCTCTTGGATTAAAATGGCCCGACAATGCCTGCATACAACTTAGCTTAGAAAGGAAGTCCGCACCGTCGGCCCAAGATCAACACCGCCTCTCCCTCCCGCAGTCCCAGTGTCGCCCGCCGCGCAGCCGACCAAGTCTTTCGCAAACCCCTCAGTCTGTCCTTCCAAAAACTCCGTCGAGCTCAGGCCAAGCGGCACGCCATCAAAGTCCGTGTCTCGTCTGTCCGCTCCAACGGGAGCCAGAACCGTCTTTCTTCGGGGTCCTCGAGAAAAAGGTCGCCGTATCAGCGCAGCAAGCCTAGCCCTCCAAAGCGTGGGAATGGTGGTGCTATACCGGTGATCTGGCAGGATATCGACTACAAAGGAGGCCCGAGACATCTGGACAAGAGTCACGGTTCGTATTCCAAGGTTACACCCTATGATGCCTCCTCTTCGCAGGAAGACCAGCACTGTTGCCTGGGAAGCCCGTCCAAGAAAGATGCGGAGAAACCACCCGGAGCGTACTGGGGAGAGCTTCCAAAATCACCTGTGAAATCACCGCCCAAGGTCCCCAAGCCGCCAGCCAAAGAGCCACTGTTACACATCAGCAGAGATAAGCGATCCGTCATCCAGTTGCGACCCCTTCCTCCCCCGCCTGAAGGCCCGAGTGCTCCAATGCCGAAGCCAAGACCAAGTCCAGGTACACCAACTCCAAGAGGAAAAGCTCCCGTGAGACCGGCTCCCGTCAGACCGGGGGCATCACAGCTGCGCAAGCTTCCACTGCATCCTCAGACGTGGGTCCCTCCCGAGACCTGGGGTTCCACTAACAGACGGCTCAAACCTCACAGGAAAGGCTCTGGTAGTAAAGACCGCGTCCACGCATCATCATCCAACAGCCGCCATATTGTATCCCGCTTCTGCAACCGTCGACGAGCGTTGAATAGGTCGAAAGAGCCCCAGGAGGCACAATCGACGGGCGGTGCTCGCAAGATTCCAGATTCTCCTGCTTATGTCGGTGAGACGCATGAATCCATTCGCACGGTGAATCAGCTTCTCCCCTACCGAGACCAGTTCCGAGAAGCCGGGCTTGCGGTGACATCCAAGGAGCAAAGGGCATACCACCGGAGAGGCAAACTCGCACCTTTGCTTGGGAAGATGTCACCACCAGGAAGTGAATGGCTGAGACTAGACGGAGGTACCGAGACTAAGGAGCTCAACAATGAGATGATCGACGGTGGCCTTAGTAAGAAAGATGACTCTCCCTCTCCTATCAATGTTGAACAGATATCACAGAAGAGCGGAGAATACAAGCCACCCAACGCGTCATTGTCACCACCACCCAATTCAACAACAACGCCAGAAGCAGTGTTTTCAGACGGCGAAGCATCATCCCCAGAGCGCCAGCCTCCCTCGATCCCCGACGAAGAGAAGAAAGGAAACACCCTACCAACAACCAACCCACCACCTGCACCAAAAGTCCAGGGCATTTCAAACTCCAACAAATCCCTCCCTGCCCTTCCTCGCGTCTTTTCCCAAGTCCTAGTCCGACACGGAAGTGGTCTCTCGCGCAACTCCAGCTGGAGCGCAGCCATGCGTCAATTCCCGCCTACCATTGTGGAACAAAAGGAACCATCACCAGACAAACAACAGCAACAAAAAGTCATTAACCATGGTCGTCAACAAAACACCACCACCACCCCATCCATTCGGTCCACTGCCACCACCACCAGTTACGGAACGGCCATTATCATCCAGCCAGCAGCAAAGAGTTACGGCCAATTACTGATACGCAATACCAAACGAAACAGCGTTAGCGAAGCCACTGTTATCGCCAAAACTCCCCATCCCAGTATCGTATCAAGCATAGAGGTGCCGGAGAGTGTCAGATCCGGACCCGGCACGCTTTCATGCTTAGATAAAGCTCTTGATGAAGCTGTGCGACGGATGCAAGCCATGGGGGAGAGTGTAGCTACTTCTACTCCTTCCAGTACAATCAAGTCATCGCCGAAATCGAAACAAAACAAAGTGACGGGGAAACATCAACGATCCACGAGCAGCAAAACTGCGCCGTCTCCGTCGCAGAGGTTGCAAAAAGCTGCGGCGTTGAGGAGGCAGAAGATGGTGCTGAGTGGTACATGTGCGGTGGGGGGTAATCGCAGTCCGCGGTCAAAGCCTCCTTCTCTGGCCAGCACGGTGGAAAGGGAGGAGGAGCAAGGAGGTGGAACGACGACGGCATCGCCCACGCCGGAAGTGGGAGAAGCAATGGCTGTGGTTATTCCCAGGGCGCCGTCGTCAAGGCCACCACCTCCCAGTCCGGAGTCGTCGTCGGTGTTGGCTTCTATTGAAGTGCACTGTCCGCCGTTTACGGTTCCAGATTCAGCTTCGGCGACGATGACGTATATCACCGGAATTGAAGGTCGCGCGCCGCTACGGATTACTCGCCCTGAATCGCGTCATGGTCATGGTCATGATTCCGCTGCGGTTCCTTCACTCTCACCTTCTAGACTTGGGCCGGAGAGTAAATCTCGGCGGAATTCCCGGGAACTTGATAAGGGACAGGCACAACGGTTTCGGGTTAGTAAGCGGAGTAGCTTTGTCTCCAGCCAGCGTTTCCCGACTCAACGTCCATCTCAACGCCTTTCTCATCGTCCCCCTTCTCAACGAACAAGCTCCCAGCATCCCCCTTCTCAGCGTCCTTCTCGTCGTCTTTCTTCTCATCGTCCCCCAACCCCATCCTCCCGCTCCTCCTCACTCCTGCACAACTTCTTCACCACCCAGAACCCGTCATCCATCAAAGAGGGAAGTAAAAGGAAGAGAAGAAATAGACCGCCCTCCAACCATCCAGACCGCCACCTCCCCGCGACCGATATCCTCAAAGGGCTACAAATCATGTGCGCCGCGTCGGCAGACGAAGAACTAGATGCGTGGTTTCGACATAAGACGGGGTTGCGGCTGAGGCGGTTCTTGGTGGATTTGAGGACGTTTGAGGAGGTGTTGTGAGGGGGGGGTAGGGGGGAGGGTTAATTTCTGACGAAAGTAGATGGGAAGAAAGAAAGCGGGAAAAAATAGCCGAAGTGGGAGGGGGAGAAAAAGTAGGAGTGGATGGAGAGCAGACTTGATGCAAAAGAAAAAAAAAAAAAATGATTGGGGGCGGAGGGAAACTAAAAAAAAAGACGGGTGAGTGACTTTGACCTACAGGAACTTCAGGAAGGGAATTGAAGGGGGGTGGGAGGGGGGGAGCGGGAAGGAGTGTTATTATGTGAAGGCTTAAGAGAGGGGGGAAGGAAGTGGGCGATGGGATCAAAGCGGGGAGGTGATAAATGGATGGATGGAATGATGGAGCAGATGGAGCAGGGAGAGGGAGAGGGAGAGAGAATGCAGTAGGGAGAGAGAATAAAGTAGTGGAAGAGAGAACAAAGTATAAACAACAAGAAGCATAAGAATTGAGACCAGGAAGAAGAAGAAGAGAAAGACAGAACCCCCCCCCCCCACACACACACACACATACACACATACACTATAGACGCATAGCAAGGGGATTAATCATTCAGGATAATACAAGCAAACAATCATCATTGAACATGAAGTCTGGTAACAAATGAAGATATGTTTTTTCTTTTCTTTTTAAGGGAAGCAAATCGACGTACGCTGGGAAGGGAATTACATACCTACAGGAGGGATTATGATGGGAGGGAGTTGAGGGGAGGGGGAAGGTGTGTACCTCTAGCAGCACAATGGAAATGGGGGAACGTCGGAGCATAGCTACCTCTAGGGATGGATGGGAATGGAGAAAAAACAAAATAGACGACGCTCAAACTCACTCAGATCAAAAAGAGACTCTGTAGTAGTAAAATAGTATAAAACTGGAGTAGTGATGCGCGGAGAGGGCTGTTGGTGGGGACGCACCAAAGCACACCAAACGCGGTACCTATTCTAGTGGAAGACTTGAGGCAATCAAGTTATCTGGCTCCACGAGTACCTAAAAGGTACTTAGGTGGTAAGGATACGCAACTTTGGCATATATGATCTGAGGCGTTGATATGAAGGACTTGAATAGAATGCAGACGTCGAAGAGACTTGCTGAGAATAAGAAGAGGACTTGGGATCATTATGAAAGTGCAGCAAGCATGTCGTGAAACTAGCCAAGTTTTTAGATTCATTTTCTTCCTTAGCAAATAACCGATTTAAGTTCCGATCGAGACTCCCCCTCTCGGTCCAAGGTGTCTCCCATCACGTCTTTCTTTTGAGAATTGAGAAGACAACGATCAACCCGGCTATCCCCAGACTGTCAAATCAACAGAAACAACCCCATGCCGTAACCCATGATCATCAGCTGAAGGATGCTAGATTAACCGTCAACCCGCGAAGTGAGCCTGGAGAGAAAACAAGAGGCTCCTCGTTGGCAACAGAAAAGGAAAGCAGCAGCTACAAGTCACTCAAGCCGCAAGACCACACAGTCATAGCCTCGCTTGGAACCACAATCATTCAACTCAATTAACGAGCTACAGACTGCGGCCCTATGCACCTAAAGATGCAGTAACTATGAATCCCTAAACGAACGATAATGCTCATCCATAAGGATCATGTTTGGTCACACTACCTTAACGATACATCCCACTAGCCACGGGTTTATCCACCTGACTTGGGTATAGCCGAGAGTCTCTCCGTGTTGGAACGTCTATCCTCGATCTTCCCACTCCCTTTCAGATGCGCCAAAGTCCCAGGTACCATGAAGCTAGAGATAGGTAAAATAAATCATCCTCCCGCCATACAGTATAAGGTTAAAGATGACACTAACTTCCAATCAAGTATAAGAACAAAAAGTGTGTTTCCTTGGACTCCCGAAACAAATGCAGCTGTAATATCAAACACCCATAAAGTTAGACTAAAAACTCTTTTGCGCCGCACGCATAAACACAAAAACATAAAAACGGCCTTCTCAAAACGTCAAAGTCATGCCTCCAACTGGGATACTTTTGGGTTTTCACAACGTCAACATCATGCTTTTACGGTGGTCGTGAGCCTATAACATGCCCTCCAGACTGGTACTCAAACATCAAATTCGGAGGGTGGGCGCTCGAGAGCTGGATCAGCTGGATACGGGTTGGCATACGAGCTTGAGTAAGGCATGGCAGTCGACATGCTCCTGGCCATTGGGTTGATTGGCTGAAAAGCTGAAGGGTTGGGAGCCCTGGTAGACTCGTTCGCATAGCCATTGTAGTTGAACGGTTGCATATAGGAAGGTCTGCCTGAAATACTCAAAGGATTAAGTCCACTGTAACTGGGGTGCTGCTGCGACGAGAAGAATCCATTGCTGGGGAGACCGTTGTGTGGGAGACCATTGCTGGGGAGCCCGGAATAAGAATTCGCCATGCTATCCCGCGGCGAGAAGTACGACAGCTGTGAGCCGTTCAGAGGCTTGGGTCCGGAAGATCCATGCTGGGCATTGGAGGGCAGAGGTCCGTTCGAAGGAAGCATCTTTAAGGCTGGGCGCTGACGAAGTTCAAAGCTGGAAACATGGTGGTCAGTAAAGTGAACTCAATCAAATGTCCGTGACGACTTACAAGGACCCCATGGGGCTGCCAGTACGGTCTAGAGCAATCAGGAGTTAGCTTGACGGTCCATAGAATCAGAATGGACCTCAAGTGACTCACGAGGACTGCGCTGCGGGGGATCATGGAAGACATCATAGCTGTCCATAGCTCCATGGCTGTGACCAGAGATCTGGCTAATGCTCTCATCTTGCTCAATGGACAGGGCCGCCTCGCGGGTCGACTTTGCCTTTGCGACTGCCTTGTTTCTCGCAGAAGAACGAGTGGCGCGCGGCTTCGCGTTGGTCAAGGTAGGAGCGCGACGGTTGCGCTTCTTCTTGTGGTTCTCGGCCTCTTCCAGCTCACGGTCCTGTGGCGAGATACGTTAGAAAGCAACAAAAAGAGGCAAAACAGAGATGTGCGACCGGGAATGATGACGCACTGGACTGCCCTCATAGTCCGAGGGGCTAGCGTAAACATCGCGCTCACGCTGAAAAGTCCAGTCTTCATTATAGATGACCTCCTTCTGTTCGATAGTGGTTGAAGCCTCCTCCATCAGCTTCAAGACAGACTCGTCCTTGCGTTGGTTGCGCTTGCGCTTCTGTTGCTCATTGGCGGAATCAAAGAGACCCATGCCGGGATACCGGATTCCCTTAAGCTTGCTAGATTCGTCGTCCTCCTCGTCAAACTCTGTAATTTCAGACGTAACCTCAGAGGAGGGGAGGATACTGTCCGAGGTCGCAGTCTCGGAAGGCCATCTAGTGTACTTGCTCGCAAACATGTTTTCGGGGGTGTCCGGGGCAGAATAGTCAGAGCGTGGACGTTTCAAGAGAGGAGTTTGAAAAGCGGGAGGGTCCAGGTATGAGTGACCGTGGCGCAAATTGTGAAATTGGAAGGATGCGTTGTTCGGGTCTGTAATCCAGTGGGCCAAGACGGGTGTGTGGTCTAGCTGCTCGCCAGCCGGCTCGTTTTTGACCAAGTCATCCCGATTCTGAAAAGCCTTGGGCCTATTCTGTAGCGGGAGTCCAGTCAACAAACGCCCCTCCGAGGAGAGAATTGGCAGAGAAGCAGTGCCCACTTACAGCTGTGCCGGCCGGCCGACCACGCTTTGCGGGTTTCTTATTTTCCTTTGCTTCAAGCCGTTCCTCAAGAAGCGCATGAATACCACTGGTTTCCTCCCATTTGAGGTATTGTTGTATGGTCTCCCTCGCCGCATCGTTGTGACGTGCCCGTATTTCCGTCTTGAAGCGGTGGGACAGATGGCTCTTGGACGAGCAATGTGTGAGCAGGTGAGAGACATCGGAAAACAGTGGTTGCTTGGGGCAGAGGGTGCACTTGAGTGAGATCGAAGTAGGGTCGAACTTGGTCTCTTCCATGTCCATTGGAGCGACGGCAGCCATTGTCTAGCAAGTGTAAGTCAACAATTAGACGGCAATGTGGTTTTGCATAGTTGCAACAGGGTAGTAACTCACTGCCGGGGGTGGACCGGGGAGGTCGGCGCTGGGTTGACTGCAGGACCAAGCCGAAATAGAGGCAGAGTTGTCTGGCTGCAATGACTCCGCTGGTGGTAAGGGGAAGACGTGTGATTTGATAGACGGATGGGCAGGCAAGACTTGAGGTATCTGAATGTGTATGTGTATGGGGGAGAGTGCTGGCAGTGTTGATGTTCAAGGAGTTCCTGACGAGTGATACATAAATCGAAAGCAGTGGCGTGTTGAAGGCGTCAGTCTCCGTGGCGTATATAGATGAACTTTGTAGGCTGTCAACTGAAAGACCCAAGGAAGCTGGACACTGGCGTAGCTCAGGACGGAATTGTACAGTGATAAGGCCGACTTCAGGAGCCTAGCAAGCACGAGTCTCCAAGAAAGTGAAGGCAGTGGTGATGGCAATGCTGTCGTTGTTGACAGGGTCCATCACATGCATCTCCACGAAGAAGGGATCCGGGGAGAAGTCCGGGTGGGTCAGTGAACAAAGAAGGGAGGAAGGGAGGAAGTGTGAATTCTCCGTTGATAATCGAAGATGTTTACTTCAGGGTCGTCTCCTTGATGACGCGATAGGAGGACAGAGAGACCGATTGGTGTTGTTGAGCGGAGGGGAAGGAACTTCCACGATGGGCAGACAGAAGATGCGTCGGTGTTGAGGGAAGGATGAGAGTCGGAGAGAGGAAGAACTTTGGAGGACAGAGATTTTGCAGAAACTGAACGAGAAAAATGCAACAGCCAGTCACTCCCACTCAGCCAGCCGAGGGCACAAGAAGATTCCTCCCTCGTCAAGGGGGCACACACACAATGGAAAGAACGGTTGGTCACGAATCTGAGGACAGTTTGAGGAAGGTACGTTGAGACTTGTTGGCAGCTTGGTGCCTGAGTGTCAGCCAGAGTCGGTGGACGAGGAAAGTGGGTGAGCTTGCCAGAGAGGGAAGGAACGATGAAGACCCAGGATCACGGATTCGGAGGGGTGAGTCTGGAAGGTACCTATGCGGTATTGTAACGTAAAAAATCACAATTTCTAGAGGAAGTCGCAGGAAGAGTTGATCAATGTTCGGCCCCGAGAGATGTCCAGATTGCCTGAGAGGAGTTCGTATCAGCAGCTCACAGGGCTTACTGTTGACGTTAAAGGCAAGTGTCGTTGGTGCGCTGAGGCTATTCCATGCTCCTGGCGGTCTGTCCTATACCGCAACCAACGGTAACGTAACAAACGGGCAACTTCGACCCGACTTCAAACTGTTCCCAAAGATACCAAGTCAGCAATTGTCCAATGGTAAGCGACCAAGCTGCGAGACGGGTAGATGCAGTGACAGGTAATTACATTGAAACAAAGCTCAAGGAACAATTCAGTTTGAAAGACGAAGGAAACGATGCATTGGAATGGGAACATCGATGGAGGAGGCATCGTGCCTTTATGCCTTGGGTTGCAGAGGTCAGAAGAATTGAACACACCAAAGAGTGACAACAAGGACATCAAGGAGCAAAGGTAGACATATAGACAGTGACAACACCAAGACAATGTGCGAGTGGTTCAAGTGAAAGATGATTGTATTAAAGGAACACTATGGAATGTCCCCTACCTAACCATGTCGATTGATGTTGGGAATACTCTCAAGCAACAATAAACCAGTAGGGAGTTACTCGTCTGGGCTCCAAACGCCTCACATACCCACTGAAGGGATGCAATAACGTCTTTTGCCCACACGAGAACGATGTTTCTCTTCTCCCGCCTTGTATCCTGCCGACGCCTGGAGTGCGTGTCGGAAGGTTATTAGATGGCAGGAGGTGGTTGTGTTTGTATCCTGTGTCATGTCACCATGATGGGATTGATAGCAGGAGCCATCGTACTGTATTCCGACAACACCACACCAAACTCAACGACCCAGGACACGCTTGATGGTCGACTTGGGCATGCAATACACCTCGTCAACCGGCTCCAAGCCCGGATAGTCCAGCAAGCTCAAACCCGCAATACCAAAGCAGGTGTGCCAGACATCCACCATGTCGCCAGGCCTGTCCGAGATGCCACCCTTGTCGGTGTCTTGCGAGCTCAGGATGAAGCTGGTGAGCTTCTCCTTGTCGATCCAGTGCGTCTTGCCAATCATTTCCAGACTGCTCAGCACCCACCAGCTATAGCACACGTCCTCCTTCTTCTCCGGACGACCATTCAAGCCGCCGCCGGCGATCTGCCTCTCACTCAACCAGCGACCCAGGCGATCAACGTCAATGAGCTCCTTGCGGCCAGCGATGGTGAGGGCAGCGACGCACGTGAAGATCTGACCAGAGTGGGACTCGGCACCGGGGCTGACACCGTAGCCGCCGTCAAAGTTGGCGCACGCAGCAATGTGGTCAACGGCCTTGTCAACATCGACAAGGTGGAGGAGGCCAAGAAGAGAAAGGGCATTGAAGGCGCCGTAGAGGAAGCGAGTGTCTTCCTCACCCCACTCATCACCCGCAAACGTGCCGGTCTGGCGGTTCTGGAGGCTGGCAATATCTGGACCCGACAGTGTCAGTACAAAGTGTCAATGGGGGTTTACCTAGGTTGATGACAAGCAACGCACACTTTCCGACCTGTGCCTTGCCCCGGCCACGCGTCTCGAGGTCATCAAAGGCGTCGACCATGGCGAGGATCTGCACGGCACTGACGGTGGACAGCATGTGGGCATCATGGCCGGGTGCCGCTCCGAAGCCGCCATTCTCGTGCTGGCATGATAGCACAAAGTCGATGGTCTCAGCGCGCGGGAGAGCCTCGGGGTGGCCGAGGAGGTGCAGAGCGGTCAAGCCCCAGTAGAGGCCATTGAGGCGCAGATGCTCCGTCAACCAGTAGTCATATTCGTCCTTTCGGGAGTCGAGACTCTGGATGTACTTGACGTGGGCAGAGGTTGCGAGCTGCAGCTCTTGCGGGAGAGAGGTGAAGCTTTGTGTCATGTTGGAGAATTTGAGGGTTTTATGTGTGGTGCGGTGGGTGGGAAGCTGGGATGGGATTAGGCTGCATTCAAGGAACCAGCATTGTGGAAACGGAAGTCGGAAGTCGGAGTTACGATTTGACGATTCAGCCTCCATTGCCCGCCGCACGCCGGTACTACCCCACCATGGACATGGACGCTGAGGTCTTACTTACGTAATCGGTACTTGGCAGCCACTGCACCATTCAGACGCCATGCCAAGAAATGCCCTCTCCAACTTGCTCAATTTGGAGGAAAGGCGCAATGACAATTGTGAGAATTCATCATCTCTTGTGACCTTGGCAGATGCCCCAAAGGCGGGACACGCGTATTTGCGAGAGTCATTTGATGGTTTGGATCTCTCGCGAGTGCAAATGAGGTAAATGAGCTTCATCTCATGAATGTCGTGATTATTTTTAAATGAAGGGCTCATAGGTTGGGCAGCAGTCGTACCGAGTAAGTGTACAGTGCACCGGCGCTGAAGATGAGGATACGAACGGTCATCGTACAGGGGGGGTTGAAGGCATTTGTCTCTCCATCCAAATTGAACTGAAGGCATCCCTCACCCACTTGGGACATTGTCCACAACAGCCTGATGAGGCGTGACGATCCTGTTTCTCGAAAACAGCTGGTTGACGTACGATGGCAGTCTGGAATGCCTGCTCCGGCCAATTTGCGCTTCAAGATGACGAATCTGACCGGCGCTTCGAATCGGTATCCTCTCTCTCGTTTACATGGGGGGAAGGTAGGGCACACCGGTGTCACAGGCGATTTGATACCGTATCTCGAAGCGACGTTGCGACGACCATCAACGTCGATGACTGGCGCAAGTGCGCAACAACGTCCGGCCATCCAGCCTCTTCCACGGTCGTCAAATCGGAAAAAAGAATGCGGTCCAATGTTACGAGATCTAGCCAGGGTAAGTGCAGTGCAGCTTTACACTATGTAGTCCTTGCAACAGATCACGGTCTCGTGCAATCATGATCGAGACGCCTTTGGTGACCGGTCTTGGCTTGGTGTTTTGAACTTTGCAACGTGGACTGCCCAGGTCGAATCTTGCCGTGATGCATCTAGGTCACTTGTGAATCGAGACTCTTTAGTCCAGGAACGGGAGGTGGTGGCTGAAACCACCGGAAAGCAAGGCCCAAGTCTCCGGTAGAGTTCCAGACTTTTGATAGGTAGTTGTAGGGCATGTTTCGACGCGATTTGTTTGCCCTTGATTCACATATTCAACATGATGCCGTCATATGATTCAACAAAAAAGCTCAGAGTTGACAAAAAAAGAAAAGTTGCAGTGAAGCGCTGGAAGCAACGTTGAACCCGTCCTGTCGGATTGGAGACAGCGCTTGTCGCGGAAGACATGGCCGTTCAGCAAATGGGACGAGAGAACAGTTGAGCAACCAGTGAGAATTGAGAAAGGACAGAAACAGTTTCGGGCTTGGCCTTGCTGTGTTCCTGGAGCTAGTCCCGAAATGGACTTGGTGTAGTCCGGCCAGGCCCTCCAGACTCGCAAACGCCGTGACAGCCGACGGAGAGCAACACCCATAACAGGGACACCGAGAGAAAAAAAAAAAAAAAAAAAAAAAAAAAAAAAAAAAAAAAGAAGAAGCGATTGATTGGAGTTGACGATGAACGAAACATTACGCGTATATGCGCCATTGGTGATGAGCTACTGCACAATGCTATAGTAACATTTTTTGTAAGGTTTGTTCAAGTCTGGACAACCGGAGTGCCGGTAAGACGTCCAGAAAAAGGTGAAGAGCCTGGAGTGAAATCACAAGAGTTCCGTGCCACTTGTTTTCTCTGGACATGTACAATTGTCATGATGAGCGAGCGCCACCATCAATCACCTGACTGTAGGGCCACAGGGCCATCATTTGCGGCTCAACCAGGCCAAGAGGCCCGTCCGAGATTAGTTTGCTGGAGCCCAGGTCAAGCCAGAGGAAGATCCGTTGCCGGTACCTTACCTTAGCCCATTTCTGGCCCTGGCTTCCCGCTCATCAAGTTTCCAGCGGTGTATGCACAGTATCTATGAGGGCATCGGGCGATCACCAGCACTTTACACTAAAAGGGGATCGGGATATTTCCCAACCCGTGTTTTCAAATAGGCATCAGCTGTTGATGTTGGTGCTTGCTTGACGGAATAGGTAGATGTGGTAAGCACCTTGTGAAGTAAGAATGAATATTGAGCACAGCCCCGGATGGACATTGGAGTCCTCGGTCTGGACATAAGTACCTACGTGCCGCAAATTCCATCTCGAAAACGGAAAATAGCGCTACAGTAAAGTCCCATGCTTCTGCTAACCTAGTCTTGTGCAAAAAAACGCTACTAGATGAAAAGAAATCCCGTACCGGAATTGTGTTCCCATACGGGGATTGCAAACTGTAACTTGTAAGGCGTCAAGCCGGATTTATAGGTACAAGGGTAGAGGTACCTTTTTGTCAGGACAGGATACTTCGAGCCCCTAGACCGGGCGACTTATTCCACTTTTTTGATAGTCAGAGGGTCTGCTCACTCACCCCCTCTTCTGCAAATACCCCTTTAAATGCAAGAAAGATGGCTTCTCAGACAACTTGCAAAAATAGAGGACTTTACTGTATTGAACTGCGCTGACACAGTACACGCGCCCTTTGCCCATTCCAAGCGAAAGCAGTTTACCCCGCTACCAATGCAGACAATTGTACCCAAATCCGCCAGGTACGCTTCGTTTTCCCCGCTGATGAATGCCCAGCCTGTGTCCATATTGGAGATGCTCTTGGTTGGCATGGACATTACGGACAACAAGAGAGATGGAGATTCGTAGTTAGTGGTTGGCCCATCATGGCGTTCAGTTTACACAAAGGAACAAAGGAACAGGGATGGGCCAATCCAAGCAAGCATCCGCGTCAAGAATTGCCCTTGCTTAGGTGGTGACCTTTGAGTTGCTTCTCAGTTGTTGTTGTTGTATGCTACCTAGGTTTCGCTTGCCGTTTCAGGTTTCCCTTCTGGAACTTGTGTCCTTCCGTCAACTCCAACACCAACATCAGGTTGAACCTGGGCCAGAATTTGTGCAGAAAAGGGATCCATGCTGCTATTGTCAAGTGCTGACCTGGTACCAATGACTACCTTCTATCTGCGGGCCCAGTCGGCGTGAAGACAAGTCTCCGCTGTTAGCATAACGTTAACAGAGCCGGCCGCTAACCTAGTGTACTTGTAGTCTCGTCGTCCGTCGTCAAGCTGCCCGGCGCCCCGATTGCCTGCCCTGCGTGTCTCCATCTCCCTACTAATCCCGTCAAGTGGAAAGTCCACACACACACCCCCTGGTCCCGCTCCCTTCGGTTCCTCATCACAGACTCCGGCAAAGGGACTGGACTGGACTCCAGAATTGCAGAACAGAAACTCCAAGCCAGGGAACCTACCTAACTCGCTCCATAACCGACCGACTCCCCCCATCCATCCCGTCAACGTCGGTTTCGTAGTATCCTGCCCAAAATCGACCACGTCCGACCACCTCCCCTCCCCTCCCACACGCATCGTGCTGCTGCTTGCTGCTGTTGCTGTTGCTGTTGCTTCTGCTGCTGCAGGAACGGACCCATTCTCCGACCAGGTTGACATCCCGTCGTCCAGTTTTGCTCTGAAACCTCCGAACAGGAACTTGACCCCTTGGCATTTCCAACACTACACTACACTACACTACAACACGACGGCGGCGGCGACTCTGCCTCTCCAACGGAACCTAGGTCTACTCACCAAATCGCAACCGGGCTGCCCGCTGGCGGTGCGGTCTCCCCGACCACAGAAGACAGGACCCGACACACATACGATAAACCATCTCCATCAATTCTGACTGAATAGTGATCGCGGCGCATCCCAGACCCTTCGACCTCCCGATTCCCTCCTCCAGGACCGTCCCGTCATTGAGGCGAGAGCGCACGTCCACGATCCCTTTGTTCCCTCTTCGTACGTAGCCGGGCTGTTCTGTTTTCACACTGCGGAACCGCATAGGTACATACATAGTCAAGCTCGAGTATATCTCCGACCCCTTACATGCCATCGCCTCGTCATCATCATCATCATCCTCATCATCATCAACAAGTACTGCGAACAACTACTCCGGGTCACCTCTAGTCTTGGTGGATGTCGCCGAGTTGCAAAAATCAATTGGTTTGCACAAGGTCAGCCAGCGCCGCCCGCCCGCCCGTCACATCATACATACATACATACATAGCAGCATATACCCGTTGCCCGGCTTTTGCGCATCCTTCCTCCGATCCTCCTCTGCCTGGCCTCCACAACATCCACCACACATCTCCATCACACCTTCAGCCCAGCCCCAGCCTACTTGTACCATCCTGGTCCATATCTGTCAGCTCTGCTGGATCCCCATCTCATCATTCTCTCTCGGCTCCGTCGCGCGCGCCCCCCCGGTTGTGTGCAGCCTGCGCCATCCCTACCTGACACTTTCATGTTACCTCGACGACGGTTGTGCCTCGCTGGGTCGCTGCCTCCATTGTCGCAGTCGGCCACTTTCGTCTATTTTAACCTCCCTGCAACTGCAAAGCAAATCCTGACATTCGACGTGATACCGCAGCGGACAAGACCGACTTGCTGACCTGGAAACTGACTGCGCCAGACAACGAACGAATCGGGATTCCGTTCGACAAAGCATCCATTAGTCGATCCTTGAAACACAGGCGCCACACCTGACAACCGATTTCGATCCGGTCTTTTCTCGTCGGTCGCTATTGTCCGCGCCTGGACCTGGAATAAGAAGTGAGCGCAAAGAGATGGCCCGAAAAGGCGTACCGCAACCGCTCACGCTGGCAGAATCCGGAACTCTTGGAAAGGAAACCTCTCCGCGCCTTGGTGACACCACCCAACAACAACATCATCATCATCAACAACAACAAGCCCCCAGCAGCAGCGCCGTCAGTGCCACCGGTAGCGGTGGTGGTAGTTTGGCCAGCGGGCGCTCGACTCCGCAGGCCTCGCGATCGCCGAGGTCCCCACGTTCCCCTTTCAAGATCGGCCCTCAAAAGGTAGAATCCCCCGGGGAGCCACCGAGAACCTCGTCACCCCCAACCGAGCAACCCCTCGAAGCCGTCGCCATTTCCCAAGACCAACGGTATCAAAGGCAGAAATCCCCAGACGTCCCGCCCGAGGACCATTCACGCGTGACCACCTCCACGTCGGCACCGTCGCAATCGTCCGATCATCGGGGCCACAAACATAGCCGAAACGACGAGGACAAGTCATCCAAGTCGAGTTTCTTTTTCAGCTTTGGAAAATCGAGCAGGTTGTCAGAACGCGCAATTTCTCCTCAGCTCTTGGAACCGCAAACAGAAGGTATGTCGAGGGAGACCGAACCATCTATCCATTCAGGGTCAAATGCCAATCACAAGCTTCTAGGTGTGTTCACAGTTGCTTCGCATTGATGATACCAGTTCTTGGTCCCATGTACTTCGGTATTTTAACTTGTTCCCGTCTGCACAGATCCGTCATATAACGAATACCCATCGCAAAGGAAGAGCCCAACGCTGCCCGGCAAGTCTGAAGTATCTCTAATCTCATCCAACGAATACGAAACAGCAAACAATAACCGAAGGAGCAAACCCAATCCATTTACCCTGATAAGTCGCACAAGATCGCACAAGGAGAAGGAGAAGGAAAATCATCAATATTCTCGAGAACCTGTGTACGCGCCCGCGAGAGCTGGCGAGCCCGACAAGGTGTACGCGACATCAGCACCGAGAACTGCACCAATACAATCACAAGAGCACACATTTCGCGACATGATGGTGTCCGGACCAAGAGGCCATTCGGCGGAGAGGGCGGGAGGAAGCAAGCACTTTGACGGCATAAACAGGAATCAGTCCCTGTCGCTCAAGGAGGCAGGCGGATCGCTGTTTAACGGACTAAAAGAAAGTAGGGCCGCCGGCTTTCTCAGCAAGAAGTTATTTGGAGGTTCAAAGGAAGACAAGTTCGCACCAAAGGAACCGGTAATAGACGACGAGCATTACGTTCTCAAGGTGATCAACCTACCGCTCGTTGAGCAGACGCGGTTAACTCGAATATCGAAAAGGCTGGAGGATTCACGCGACAAGACAGAGTTTTGGATGCCGGCATTTCCCTGGAGAGCGATCGACTATCTCAACTACAAGGGCAGCGATGTTGAAGGGTTATATCGAGTTCCTGGCAGTGGACCGCAAATCAAAAAGTGGCAGCGGAAATTTGACGAAGGTATGTGTTCAAAGGCTTTGGTGTCAGTGACTCGGTTTCTAACACTTGACTTTTCGCAGAGCTCGATGTGGACCTTTTCGAACAACCAGATTTGTACGACATCAACATTATCGGCTCAATGTTAAAGGCATGGCTCCGCGAACTACCCGACGAACTATTTCCAAAAGCAGCCCAGGAAAGAGTGGCCAAGGAATGCGCGGGGGCAGAGAAAGTGCCCGAGTTACTTAGAGAAGAGCTCTCCAACCTTTCGCCCTTCAAGTACTACCTACTCTTTGCCATTACATGTCACCTCAGCCTGCTGCTCGCCCACTCGGATAAGAACAAGATGGATTTCCGGAATCTCTGCATTTGCTTCCAGCCATGCATGAAGATCGATGCCTTTTGTTTCAAGTTCCTGGTATGCGACTGGAGGGACTGCTGGAAGGGATGCAAGAACGAAGCCAAGTACATCGAGGAGGAGTATGCGCTATTCGACCAACCGCCACCAAGGAGCTACAGGAGTAAGCGGGAGACGGAGTTGAGGGAAAGGGAGGAAAAGGAGGACCGGGAAAGGGCAATACACCGAGATCGAGAAAGGGAGCAAAGAACTCAGTCTCAGGTTCAGGCGTCTTATCAACAACAGGGGGGTCAGGTCATTCCTCCAGCCCACCGCAACGGAAATGTGCAACAGTCGCCAGCACCACCACAGCAGGTTCAGCGACTAAGGAAAAAGAACACGGCGCAAGAAACAACACAAACAGCGGTGGTCGACACGGGCTCAACGGTATCGACGACCATTACGCTGGTCAGTGATCGAGACACGTCACATGGGCGAGGAACAAATCATCCGAATCAGAGACAACTACAACCGGGTGAGCTACCGGCTCTTTCGCCCATAAAACCGCTGTCGCCGATGGGGTTTTAGTGGGCTATGCTGCTTGACCAATCTGGTCTTTCTTCGCTTCCTCCTTTCATTTATAAGGTTTGTCGACCTTTTTGCAGTGGGGAGGTTTTTGCGAGTGGTTCATTAGGCCAATAAGTCGGTTGAGGGCACGGTCACAGTCTCTTGTGGACAAAGAGGGGACGGACAATAGCACCAAACTCACAGCTCGCAGTTGTACTGAGACCACTCAAACACAGAGCCAACACACACACACACATACAAATCGCAACTTTGAACACACACACACACATACACACACAAGACACGACTTTTATGCTGTGGACGAACTTCTCCTTTTCTTTTCTTATCTCTCGTTTACTCTACCAAGAACAACAACGTTATAGTTATTACCTATCATATCAAACCATGTTTACCACACACACACACATCCAACAGACACACAGCAAGTTTCCACAAGAATGTTTCCTTTTTTTTTTTTTTTTTTTTTTTTTTTTTTTTTTTACAAGTCAAGTTGAGTCGGAAGAAGAAGTCAAGTTGAGTCGAAGAAGTCGAGGTCAAGTTGAGTTGGAAGAAGAAGAAGTCAAGAGGAAGAAGTCGAAGAAGAAGAAGAAGAACAAGTCAATGCAATGCGATCGTTATCTACGGATCTTATTTCCTTTTTGTCTCTATGTTTTTCCTTTTCTTTTTTCTTTTTTTGTCTGTAAACTTGGTTGCTGGCTTGTTTGTCTGTTTTTTGCGTTTTGAAATACCCCCTTCCGCGCGTTACAGTTGTTGTTTAGTTGAAAATCATCATCATCATCATCATCATTACATTTTTCTTTTTCGTTGCCTGCCTGTCTATGCCGCCTGCTGCCTCTCTGTCTGCTCACTGCTGCATGCTGCCCATTTATATTGCCTGCCTGCTTGTTGCCTACCGTTGAAGTCGTCGTCTGTCGTCGTTCACCACACAGTTGCTTCAGACCACGCACACCAAATCAGACAATGAAATCGAGAAAAGGAAAGGAGAGAAAGTGATCAAGGTGGAATAATCACTTTACCTGGAGCAACAAAGCAAAGTAATCAACTTGGTGATTGGTACATCGCGTGTCGTGTGGTAAATTCTGGACAACCAAAAGCGAGCAGACTGACTGATTGAGTGGAGGTGGCCAAGAACAAGAAGTAGTAGAAAAAGAAATTCAGGACAGGAAGGAGACATCAAAGTTGGCGAAGTGAAGGGACAGGAAGAGAAAGAGAAAAGTCGACGTAAATCGGATGGTGAAGAGAGAAAGAGACATAAAGAAGTAGATACCATGTATGTTGAATGGGTTGGAGGAAAGAAAAGATCCAGTGGAAGAGAGAGGCAAAAGAGAGGGGTCATAGTAAAGCGAGATATTAGCGTACCTAGACGTGTGGGTGGTGTGCGGGTGGTAAATTGAGTTGAATGGAGTCGACTTGAACTGATCTGTATCGAACTGAATGCAATTGAATCTGTTCGGTTCACAACGCACAAGATGAATGCGTAAAAATACAATAGGTCGAGATGGTGGTGGTGGCCATGGCATTGTGTGGTAACTAACATCATACCAAGATTAAAGAAAAAGAAAAGAAAAGGGGGGGGGAAAGAGAAAAAAAAAGAGAAAAAAGAACAACAACCAGAAAGAAAGAAAGAAAAAAGGTGATGATAACAGATGAGAGAAAAGAAGAAAGAAGAAGACTCATTACCAAGGGACCCATGAGCGTTTCTGTTAAGCATAAACACATACGATAAGCAGAGCAATGGAATTACGAAAATAAGCTTTGTCTTTGTAATGTGATAGAATCCTCCCAGTAGTATAGTAAAATAAGTATATAAACAACCTTGAACGCCCGAAATGCCCAGGCCCAAAATGCCTAGTAGATAAGGTAAAGGAACAACGAAGCCTCTTGTCTTGTGTCTTGTCTTGTCTTCTTGTGTAGCCTCTCAGGGAAGGGAGGCCTGCTGATGGCGGCTGATGCTGATACACGGGCCAGCACCACTTCACTTCACTTCACTTCGCATCACTTTGCTTTCCTCATTTTGATGACCTCCCTCCCTCCCTTCTTTCCATACTTCCTTCCACATGCTCCCCTTTTTCCTCCCCATTCTCAACTCTAGATATCCCCCCCCTTCTGCACAAGTACCCCATCATTACTGTTCAAAGGCACTCACTTTACTTCTTCCTCCCACTCTCCCTCCGCTCATTCGCCCTCATCTTCCGCTCATTCCTCTTCACCCGCTCTCTAATCTCCCGTCTCTTATCGCCCCTCACACTCTTCCCCTCCGCCATCCGCTTCTCCTCCTGGCTCTTCTTGACCTCAATAATCGGCGCATCCTCGCCCGCCTTGTTGGCGCCCTTGTACCCCCACTTGCGGCCCCATTCCCCGGTCGTCTCGTCATACTGCAGGTTGCGTCGCTGCTCGCGCGTCTTGGGCTTGATGCCGCGGCGCTTGGCGAACTGGCTCCATTTCGTTTCGGCCTTGGGCGTCGGCACGGGTTTCTCGCGCGGGAGAGGGGTTTGAGGAGGCGGGAGGGACAGTAAGACGCCGGCGGGGGTGGAACTGATGGGGCAGGCCGTGAGGAGTTGGTTGATGAGGGATTGGCATCCGTCGCGGGCGATGGTGGCGAGTTGGGGTTCGAGTGGAGTGGAGCGGTCGAGGAGGAGGGGGTTGGGGTCGTTGGCGAGGAGGAGGCCGAGGTCGAAGGTGTAGGGGGTGGGTTTGTCGACTGTGACGGGGAGTTTGGTGGTGGTGGTGGTGGTTGTTGCGTCGGACATGTTGATGGTGTTTTTGGTTGTTATGGGCGCGGCGGGTTGATTAAATGGTTTGGTTCAGGTTGATGACTGGGTGTTTTTGGTTGTTATGGGCGCGCCGTGTGGGATTCCGGGTGACGTTGATGGTGATGGAAACAAACAGTTGACTTGGGGTATCTTTTGTTTGTCCTTCAGGTGGCAGAACTGGGGATCACATTCTCTGGAAGGACGGGAGAGGTGCTGCTGGTTCTGGATCTACTGAAAATTTAGGCGGTGACAGGCGGCAGATTCGAGCTTGGAGATGGTGCGGGACCGCTGTCAATTGCAATCTGATGTTCTCATTGGCTGGAAGACCCCAGACCGGCAAACCGCCAACTTCTTGGCGCCGGGGAATTTGGAGGGACGGGTCGCCAAGTAGGTCGAGTTGGTCCGAGCTTGCGAACTTTCCAACGCGCGCCCGCTCCCGCTCCGCTTGCCGTGTGCGGCATCACAGGTTCCCGTCCCGCCCGTCCTGTCCCGGTTTGTGTTGACTTGCGACGATATTATTTGCCTGGTAGCTTTCCACGGGCTCTCAGCTGTGTTTCAACCACACCACACACCACCCACAGCAGTCCGATTGACCGACCGTCCGACCGGCCGACTACCCGCCCGCACACATGTCGGCGTCCAACTGCCTGAGGTGCCTCGTGCGCCCCTCGGCCGTGGCCCTGGTCCCCCGCCAGATGCTCCAGGTCGGCGGTGGCAGCCTCACCTTCACAGCGACCGCCGCCACCAAGGGCGCTTCCACCGCCAACACGGGAGGCCGACAGAACGCCAACCGCCCCCAGAAGCTGCGCTTCAAGAAGACCAAAAAGAAGAACGTGGTATCCTCGGGCAAGCCGCCTCAGCCCGGCGAGCGCAAGGCCTACCGCAAGAAGATTGTGCTCAGCAACAACAACGCCCTGCCCGTGCCCGGCCTCGAGACCCTGCGCCCCAACGACCTGGCCAAGCAGGACAATGTCGGCTCCGTCAAGGCCCTGCCCGAGGATGTGGTTGACGCCCTGCGCGCCATGGAGGCCTTCAAGCCCACGCAGTGCTGGGGCATCTTCCGCCAGCCCTCGGTGCTCATCCGCCAGGAGACGGTCGACCTGACCAAGAAGATGAAGGCGGCCGGCGCCGACGGCAAGACGATCCGCATGGTCATTGAGGGCAACAGGATAACGGGCAAGAGCTTGCTGCTGCTGCAGGCCATGACGCATGCGTTTATGAACGACTGGGTGGTGTTGCACATTCCCGAGGGTAGGTCCCGTTATACCTAGCTTCATGCTATCATTCATGTCCATAACTGACATACTGACTTTGTAACGTGTAAACAGCCCAAGAACTAACCACGGCCGTGACCGAATACGCCCCCATTGAAAACTCGCCGCTCTGGACACAACCCACCTACACGCTCAAGCTCCTGCAATCCTTCAAGCGCGCCAACGAAAAGGTCCTGTCGCGCATGAACACGGTCTACTCGCACGCCGACCTCCCGCAAATCATCCCCGTCAACTCGCCCCTGCTGCAGCTCATCAACAGCGCCAAGGAAGCCGACGGCGCCTGGACCGTCTTCCAGGCTCTCTGGCGCGAACTCAACGCCGAGAACGTGCCCGGCCGCCCGCCCATCCTGTTCTCGCTCGACGGCCTCGCCCACATCATGAAGGTGTCGGACTACCGCAACCCGGCCTTTGAGCTGATCCACTCGCACGACTTGGCTTTGGTGAAACTCTTCACCGACTGCTTGTCTGGTGCCACCGTGATGCCCAATGGCGGTGCTGTTCTCGGCGCTACGACGCGCGGAAACTCGCCTAGGAGCGCGAGTATGGAGTTGGCGATTGCGCAGCGCGAGGCGGAGAAGGCGGGCGAAAAGGAAGTCCCGCAAAGAGACCCGTATAGCAAGAAGTACGATGATCGCGTGGAGGCGGTCATGAAGAGCGTGGAGATTCTGAGGCTCAAGGGCGTGAGCAAGGTGGAGGCGCGCGGTCTGTTGGAGTACTGGGCTGCGAGTGGCATGTTGAAGAAGAGGGTGGATGAGAGCATGGTGAGTGAGAAGTGGACGTTGAGCGGGAATGGCGTGGTGGGCGAGATGGAGAGGGCTTCGCTTTTGACTATGAAGGCTTGAGTCAGGTATGAGGTCCGTGGGGTTCAGGAATGGGAGGGATGGGGAGTATATGTGTGTGTACGTGTCATAGATGGGTATGATGAACTCTTTGTAACTCTAGAAAATAGGGGTTAGTTAGATTGGTGTGTGGGATTGAACATATCAGCCTGTATTTTTAGTAAGAAATTTAGAGGGTTTATATGACTGACATCTGGTAGATTTGTTGTGATGAAATGAAATGTGGGCGATGCTTCTTGATCCAATGAACTTGGCCGAAATTTTCAAGTCAAAAGGTAGTCTGCCGTCTGATTGCAGTTGCAAAAACACTTCTCTGCAACTTGAAATCAACTTCACCAATGTTGGAACTCCAGAAACAGCCATGTTCATACTTCACTCAGTCCTCACCATCGACTCAATTACCGATACTCAGACCAGGACAACAACCACAAAGCGCAAGTTCGTCCGAATCTCACTTCACTTCAAACCAACTTTACAGCAGTTTCACCCACACAATTTTCACTACTCAACACCTTCAGAAAACCCAAAACTAAGTCATCCTTTCAACCCATACAACGCCCTATTTTGGATAGAAACAAGACACCCGTTCATAACAAATCACAAAAATCAGAAGCCAAGAAAAAAAAAAAAAAAAAAAAAAAAAAAAAAAAAAAAAAGAGCTGAACAAGTTTTCCCTTAAACCCCAACAATAGCGAAAATCCAGTCACAGTCACAGTCACACCTCTATGCCGTAAACTTCTAGATATCCTCACTACCCTCCCTCTCCCCACCGGCAGTAATAAACACCAGTCTCGTTCCATTCCCAGCCGTTTGCCAGACCTGTTTATCATTTTTGTCGTTAGCATCACCACCACTCTATTGACCAAATAAGAGGTTAAAGAAAAAAAAGAGAAGAAAAAGAAAAGGGGGGGGGGGGGAAGGGAAAAAAGGGGGGGGGGGGACAAAAATGACAGAAAGGGGAAAGTATGGAAGAAAAGAAGGGGAAAGAAGGGGGAAAAAAAGGGTAGAAAAAAGAAAAGAACGAAAAGTGGAAAGAAGAGAAAGAAAGGGGGAAAAGGGGAAAAAGGGTAAAAGAAAGGAAGGGAAAAAGAAAAGGGGAAAAAGGGCAAAAGAAAGAGAGGGAAAAAAAAAAGGGGGGGAAGGAACAGAGAGAGAGGAAAAGAAAGGGAAAAGAAAACAAAAGGGGGCAAGAAAGGGGGCAAGAAAGGGTAAAGAAGAAAAAGGGAAGAGTAGAAAAAAAGGGGGCAAAAGAAAACTCACATCCAAATCAGTATACTCATCCAGCGCACTCAACCACTGCTGCTCCGTAAACCCCTTGGCAATCACCCGTTCCTTCACCTTTCTCAAACTCATCTCCACCCCAAACTCATCTTCCTCTTCCTCTTCGTTGTCCAGACCATCATCGGGCCTGCACGCCCCGCTATCCGCCAAGCCCTTAACAAGATTATAAATCCTACTACTAGCATTCATCGCCCTCTTATTGCCAGCATTCCTATCATCCTGCGCCAGCGACTCCTTGCTAGCTTCCACCAGCCGCAGGGCTTCATCAACATCATCTTGCGTGACGGTATTGCTGAACCTCAGCCGCGCCAAAGCCTGCGCAAGACGGACGACACCTAGCAAAGTACGGGGGGTGGTATGCCCAAAGTTCTGGTTCTTCTTCTCTGCGCGCTTTTGCTGTGCGCGCAGGCGGACGTAGGTTTTCACCATGTATTCGGAGACTGCTTGCGGGACGACGGGGCGATACTCGCGCGCTTTGGCGACGTAGGCACGGACTTCCTCGGGGGAAAAGACGGATGACTCGGTACCGGAAATGTCGGGGTGGCGGTTGTGCATGTGCACGTAGGCGACGTGCTTGGCGAGTTGGGCGTCCGTGTCGCGCGTGGGCGTGTCGAGGAGGAGGAACATGATGTCGAAACGGGAGAGTAAAGCGGCGGGGAGGTTGATGTTCTCGACGGCGGAGAGACGGGTGTTGTACCGCCCGTAGAGCGGGTTGGCGGCCGCGAGGATGGAGGTGCGCGCGTTGAGAGTGGTGGAGATGCCGGCTTTGGAGATGGAGATGGTTTGCTGTTCCATGACTTCGTGGATGGCGGTGCGGTCGTTGTCGTCCATTTTGTCGAACTCGTCGATGCAGCAGATGCCGTTGTCGGCGAGCACGAGGGCGCCGCCTTCGAGAACCATTTCGTCTGTCACGGGGTCGCGCATCACGGCGGCCGTGAGACCGACGCCCGAGGAACCGCGGCCAGACGTGTACACGCCGCGCGGGGCTACCTTGGAGATGTACTTGAGCAGTTGCGATTTGGCTACACCGGGGTCACCCATCAGGCAGATGTTGATGTCGCCGCGGATCTTCATGCCGTCGCCGACTTCCTTGGTGACACCGCCGACCAACAAAAGGAGGAGGGCCTTCTTGACGTCGAGGTGGCCGTAGATTTCGGGGGCGATGGACTTGGCGAGGTACTCGTACGTGTTGCCGGTCTGTTGGAACTTGGCGATACGGCGAAGCAGGGAGGGGTCGATCTGCATCTCGGTGTAGGCCTTCTTGTGCTGGACAATGTGGTGGGCCTCGAGGTAGGTGTCGGTTAAAAGACCGGCGCGCATGGCCTTGAAGCCGGTATAAGGAGTAGGGAGGAAGATTCCCGAGATGTCGACAATGTCACCGGGGTGGACATTTCTGACCAGACTGCCGTACGCAAGCACGGTAAGGGTACGGGGAATCTGACCGATGGGGACCTGCTCGGCGAGTTCCTGGATCTTGATCTCCTGGAAGGGCAGGAACTTGGAAGCCCGCGACGACGGGTACAGCTGACCCTTGGCCTGGTTCTCCTTGCAGTCCTTAGATGGGCAGAGAGTCAGGGGGGCGTACTGCTTGTCGGTGACGGGCTGGAAGATTTCGCAACCGCAGCGGTCGCACGTGTAGGCGCCAACCTGGACAATGGGCTTGACGTCGGACACACGGGTAGCAATACCGCGGATGG